CCATTCTTAACCATGAATCATTTCTAATCGGAGGTTTGTAACTCAGGAACTGCCTGTACACAGAATAAGTTCTACCAATTCCCTCCTCTGAAATATAACCAACAACACAAGGTGTAAAGGACCGGGCTGTGGCACAACTAGTTAGTAGCCAGCTGCACTAAATCACTCACAAGAGGTCATGAGTTCAAAGCCAACCCGGATTGGAGTGACCTTTGCAGCTCGAAAGATAGTTGCATCTATCAAGTAGGAAATTTAGGGACCGCTTTATGCGGGAAGGCTAATTAACTAATTTATGACACCATAAAACCTTCCAGCAGTGTGCATAAGAATGAGGAAGTACTCCATCAAGGACTCGGTGTTACAAGAGGATGGTGAAGCAGCAGCTCCCCCTGTGGCCAGAACCAAGCATATCCTCATGAAGCTGGAAAAGCTGGAATTGCCTCTGTGTCTGTCTATATATGTTGTATATCTAATTGGCATTGAAAGTTTGCCGTGTATGTGCATTATAATCCGCCCTGAGTCCCCTGTGGGGTGAGAAGGGTGGAATATAAATACTGTAATATATATATATATATACACACACACACACACACACACACACACACACACACACACACACACACACATATATATATATACACACACACTCACACATACATAAGCCCTCTGTGCCTATCGTGTGTTCCAACAATAACCGCAATAGAAAGATTCTGGCCAATCCTAGTATACTGTTAAGAGTTTAACAACAGCAATAGCAGAGGATATACTCGTGGCATAGCAGTGGGAAATGGGGTTACCCTCAGTAGGAAATGCCACATCAGGAAGAGAGGATACATAAAACTGAGAGAGTATTTTCTATTGTAATTTAATGGTTGGGGAAACACGTATCTCTGGCCCTAGAAATTCTTGCTAGCAGGGCTAATTGTTTCTTGATTGAAGGATCTGCCTTGCTGGCTGTCCAAGGAGTGAAGCATAAGCAGCTGTTGCCTTATGTGATGCGAAAATACAATGGTGTCAGGGAACATATGGCCCTCTAAAACTGCAACTCCCAACAGTCCCAGTGAGGGGCAATGATAAGGGGTCATGAAAGTTTTGACTCAACCCCTGGAATGCTATAGAATTGGAATAGGCTTCATAGGCTATTGAGAAAAACAGCAGCAAAGATACAAATAAAATAACAGAAGTATGAAATATTTATCAACATATCATGCTTTTTGGAATTCCCAGGCAGGAAATTGACAGAAGGAATGTCAGAGTGCCTAACCCTGAGGCAGTGCTGGTGCGTTGCCATCCCCAGAGAATGATATGCAGGTCGTATCAAAATCCATAATTCTGACCCCAAACCTGCCTGTGACATACCATATACATAAGGTTGACATATATGAGAGTATAAATGGTAATTGGTTCTGCAGTTTAATCATTTTGCAGTGAAGATGTACCTTCTAATGTTTGACAAAATCTCATTTCTTGTAACATAAACCCTTACCCCTGGGCCTGCACTTTGAGACAGGAAGGAACAAACCTGCACCCTCTTCCCTAGGACTGCCCTTGAGGTATTTAAAGAGGGCCATCATGTCACTTCCCAGTCATCTCTTCACCAGACTGAACCTACCCAGTTCCCTCAAGCTTATCTCATATGTTTGGTTCTCTCTTGTCTTCATTGCCCTTCTCTGAACCTGCTACAGCTTGCCCATATCCTTCCTAAAATGAGGTGCAATACTCCAGGTGAGACTTAACTAGTGCAGAATATAGTGTGTCTGTTACTTCCTTTGTCTTGGAAGTAATGTAAAGTACAATATTATTTTGCAACTTTGCTGCAGCATCACATTGCTGGATCATATTTAGCCAAGTATTCCCTATCTGATACCTGTCCCAGCAATGCCAAGAGTATCCTTCTGGGCAGCTAAACCAGGAAATCCCAGTTGGATGCCCCCCTCCCCCTTCACAAGGGTCTTCCTCCAGAGGCAAACCAAGAATGAGCAACTGGGAAGTCCCTGAGTAGACTCAGAAGAGAAGTGGGCAGATCAAAAAACAACCTGGCAAAATGGCACTTCCTAAAAGAATCTCCCACCTTGTGCGACTCTGGAGCAGAACAGACAACTCCGTATCTGTATGCTTGTCCACTATGCCCTGCCTCATGTACAGAGGAAAAATTGTTGGAGGCTACAGACAATGCCGTTGCTGTTGCCCATTTTTGGTAAAAAGATATTTAGCTGCTTGTGCTCCTTCTATCTTCATCGGTTTTATACCAATTTATGCAATGCTTTTGATACGGAATGAATAAGTAAATAAACCTGTCCATTTGGATTTTATGGCTTAAATCAGTGGTTCCCAACTCTTTTTTGACCAGGGACCACACTCCAATATTAGTACCAAAGGGGTTACAAATCAGTTTTTAGTCAACTTTAGATTTGGTTTGGTTATTTGCGGGTGCTCATTAAGAAAATTGCATTGGATAGACCACATCAGCTCTAGTTTCTGATACAGAACATATGCCACCCAGTAGTCGCCATCTGCTCATCCACAGAAAACCATATTTAATAATCTAGAGCTGATGTGGTAGTAGTAATCTTTCATGGATAGTCAGTCTCTCCCTCCTGACATCCCCATTACCTCAGCACTATAGGAGAATTTGATACCAGTCGCTCGTTGTCATGTGGTTTCGAGGCAAAGGTATAATAATGGTGACAATATTCTCATTTTTTGCGGACCACTGGTGGTCCACAGCCCACAGGTTGGGAACCACTGGCCTAAATGGAGAACTTCCCATCTGTCTTTGATGAATATATTTATTTCTGTCCAACTGGCAAGTTGAAGTGGCTAGAAAATATAGTATACATAACTTATATCTGAATCTCCTACTGGAGTTCATCTGGGCTGCAGGGCTCTGGACTTCAGCTCAACCACAGCTGGATTACTAAGTGGCACTCTGGGCACAACATGGAGACAATGCCACCAAAGAAAGAGCTGGGCTACATATTACCCCTTCTGTGGGAAACTTTCCAAAGCAGCAACTTGGGCTTACTCAGTGATGAAGAAACATCAAATAATTTTCAATTGCTTCTTTTTAAAAAAAATTCTCATAGCCAAGGCATGTGCATGTCACAAACCTTCAGGAGTGTAGAAAAAGTGGTGTATAGCATTACATAAGGCTATCTGAGCATGAGTTTTCACCTCATTTAAGGCCCCTGAGACTATAAGGATGGCTGCCTTTACACAAGAGGGCACAAAGTTTGAAGAATTTACATAGCCTAACATGCACATACTACATTACATAACTCCAATGTAGCACTGAACAAACATTGCAACCTGAAAAATTCCTTACCTTGGTGCATCTTGCCTTCCAGTGCCATCATGTTTTCTTTTCCCTTGTTTGCTGTTCTATCACGTAACACCTTACAGCAAAAAATATTTTGAGATTCTTCTGCTGTGATCATGTATTATAGAAAAATGTATATTGCTTTATATTGATTGGGTGGTTACACGAATGTATTGACTGTACTTCACTCTTACTTTTAACCATTTTTCATCTTATCGTAAAGAGGTATCAATTTTTGCATGTATATTCACTTGTCTGTGGGATTTATTTGCAAGATCTGTCTAGTGCATATTTAAAAGGTATGCCTTTAAGGGGGGACTTTATCTCCACCCTTAGTAAACCATCTTCCCATTTGTGAACTTCCAGAAATATCTGGTAAGCCATCACTGGAAAAGGAAGCCAAGATCCAATTGTGCATTTCCATATCCAATGGGACTTGCTATTCTCCCCCAGATGACTTACAATAGTAGAGTAACAGTTTCTGACTCTCTATTCTTTTAACAACAACCAAAAAGGCTTTTCCTCACTTCCAATTAGGCTGCTAGAATTCTAGACGAGAAGCAGCTCATATATAGAACTGCACCTATCCTTGTGCATTCAGGCCATGCAAGGATATGGCTCACAGGATGCAATAATTGACTTCGCTCTCTGACCCATCATTTTGCAAGTGGTCCTTCTGACATAGTATTATGGAACTGAGTCTGGATGGCAAACTTCTGTTTCTTCTTAAATCTTTGTTTTCTAAATCTCCAACTCTAAAGTCATCTTTGCACTTGATGTCTATCCGTAACAGGATTACTGCCATCAGTGAAGTCCTATTCTGGTATCTCCAAACTAGGGATAATCAAATACAAAGAGAATAGTCTCAACCCTGTCCATCATGCTTCTGTTGTCCTGACTGACTAGAAATTGGGATTCACATCATGCATTTTAGAATAATGGGGAAAGCAGATCCTGCCACTCAAGTTCATTCAGTAGAAACCCATCTTTTGGTAAATAAGCTCACTTGTGGTCGTCAACCCTGTATGAACTTTATAGTTATCAGGACTGAAGAAGCCTTTGTATTCCCAAGTTCATCAATGTTGGCGAGCCCCCAGTGGCACAATGGGTTAAACCCATCTGGGGAGAACATGGATGAGCTCCCTCCATCAGCTCCATGTGGGGACATGAGAGAAGCCTCCCACAAGGATGCTAAAACATTAAAATATCCGGACATCCCCTGGGCAATGTCCTTGCAGATAGCCAATTCTCTCACACCAGAAGCAACTTGCAGTTTCTCACATTGCTCCTGACATGAAAAAAAATCAGTGTTGGCAATACAGGACACAGCTACAACATGGAGCTAGCTAACGATATTCACTGGGGTATGGGCTCATCTTGCCTGGCCCTACCATAAGCATTTTCCTAATATATGCTTTTATTTTTAAAATACCATTTAATTTTTAACACTGCTTGGAAGCATTCATAAAACAAAGCTATCTTAACAAGTCTGCCTCTTTTACAGTCTCGTGTTGTGCTGCCTCATTGACAAGTAACAGACAAATTAGCAAGGAGTCAAATGATGTTTGGTATTCTGCACACTGCTATGGCTTTTTGACTTCTGAGCAGACCTTGAAATGTGATTTATTAGAGAAAGAAAGCAAAGGTCAGAGTTCCACACAGAAAGGGAAACTAGCATATATAGAAGACCTCAAAGCAGAGACTTTTATTTGTTATGGAGATGTCTAGAATTTTATTTTGTGGTCTGGATCCAATGAACTGCCATACAAGTACAGTCACAGATTCAGAATGGAGTCTAAAAGCGGCACCCAGAAGTAAAGAAAACAAAATCAAGGCAATCCAATACACTCTTGGAAGTGCAAGGCAAACAGAGGGCAACAATGTTAGAAGACATCCTGTTAAGCAAGCACACACAGGACAGATGGTCCTCAGGCTCATAAAGAGTGGTGTTTCCAATACAAACATGTTGTTTTCATAGAACAACTCCTACAGAAATGCCTATAACTGACATACATGTGAAAATACAGCATGAAAATAGGTCTAATATACAACTCACTTAGGGACTAATTGGCAAATCACAGAAGAACCTGGTGAATGATGAGCCACAAGACAATCTTAGAACCAATTATATGGATGATCCAATGAGCATTCACTTGTGTGAGGGCAGTGACCACTCAGAAACATCATTTCTTGAATACAGTAATCAAATGTCAGAATTCGCTCAAACTAGTATGACATCATACTTGCATCAAACACTCAAGAGGTGTATTGCTAAGCATTTGGTGGAATAATCCCAATCTCAGCAGAGTGTCTGGATGGCACAGCAGTCTGTTTTGAATGCTGGATCCAGACTTAGGAAGACTCGAGTCTTAAAGCCCTAACACAGCCCAGGTTATGTACAGGTGGTCTTGAAAAAACACCTCTGAATCATTTTCTTCAGTTGGGAGGGGGGGGGAGTTTAAAAGGGAGAGAGCAAGAGAGGGATACATATGCCATAACCTGAGTTTTTGTGAGAGAAGTCTTAAAATAAAAACAACCTTTAACAACTCTGAATTATAGAGCAGCAAATCTCACAGGTCTCTTTCACATTACCTACTGAAGAGGCCCTTCCTTCTGTGTAGACAAGTGAAACCAGAAGCCCAGGGCAAACAGGTGAAAATGAACTGAGTTAAAAGAGAATGAGCCACCACTTGAGTCACAGCAGTGGCCTTGCCCAATCCGGGAGGGAGACTTGCCAGAGATGCAGAGCACACATGATAATGATAAGCAGAGGGGCTCTCAGGTGTTGCTAGGCTGTGCTAATGCCTCTTCTTTGGTTGCACAGGCTAGGGTTGATGGGATTTGCATTCCAACATTTCAAGGTCACACATTACCCAACTCTGATTGAGTTCTTTCTAAAACGTTGAACTGCATAGAACACACAGAGAACTCAGAGAACATTAAAGGTTTTCCCCAGATGCAGGGAAGGCAATCTAGGACGTAGAGAGTAATACAAAGCTTTTGCTACTTGGCATCTGTGGGGAGTAGTGCTCACTCTCACTCTCTCTGAATTAGAACACAGTAATCCTAGAAAACATTTCACAGTGGAGACTTTTTACAAAGAGAGTCCAGTGTAAAGTAATAATAAAACATAAGAGGAGGCACATGAAAAACACACAAATGAGACTGTGCTCTAGTTCAGCAGGAGTCAATGGTGGGTTTCTTTTCAGTTTTATGGTCACCCCTCTCACAATTGTTCCAAGATTTCTCCTGGTGCCAAAGGTCAATCAGAAAAGACTCCAGCATCCAGGAAACTCCTTCACAATTCAGGCTGCCTGTGTGTGGAGTTGTCATAAAACTGAAAGTGGTTTTCTTCTCCTGCAATGTGAATCCACAAGCCACCCCTACAGTACAGTTTCATGTGTAGTTGGACAAAATTTTAAACTAATCTCCGTGAAAGCAGATCAAGACTCATCCACAACTGAGGAGAAACAGTTCTCTCTTGCATTCTCCTTGTAGGAGGCTACTATTTCAAATGAAGGTTTGTGTTGTTACAGTAACTATGGTGATTCCTTCAACTTGAGTCAAAGGCAGAACAAATAAAAGATGAAGACTCTGCCACCTGGCATCTATTTTTTTTTTTTGAGAGCAAGGGTTTGAAATTTAGCAAGAGGGAACAATTAGGTTTGCCTACATGTTTACAGTTCTGGTAGATTAAACAACTCCATATTTAAGAACCCAGAATGCCTGCAATCATCATGACAGTGGTAGAATTTGGCACCAGTTGTTTAAAGACAGATGGAATACTCCTACGGGTTGCATGCCCATGACTTAGATATCTGTCACTCTATTCCTTAGTAATAAGGAAGGTTCATTCAGCGAATTGATGTTGAAAAACATTGTGTTTGAGGCGAAGGGAGACAACATGAAAACGCTACCCCATACTGTCATAAACATGATGGTCTAATTTATACATGCCAGTCACTACCTGTTGGGTGCAGTCATCAAACACCGAACAGACAAAAGTGAAGCAATCACTCCTACTTGGGCTTCGAAGGAAATCTGTCTGAAGACAGCCCTGTCATATCTCATCTCGACATCAAAAAAACAATAAGATACAGGGGGATGCAAAATTGTGAGGCAACATGTGAGACCAGTGAGATCCTCAAGTATTCCTCAGTACAAATGCATATTAGGGGGCAGGCACTTCACTTAACAACTATCTATATAGGTAGCAGAATCTCAGCATGTATTACTCTCTAGACAGCACCCATTATCCAATTAAGCGAGCGAGAGGTCTTGTCCTAATCTTCCTTACACACCATAAACTAGGGTATAGGAGAGAAGATTTCCTTCTGTTGTGGTAGTTTTAAAAACATAGGAAGAGTTGTGGAAGGAAACATTAAGACACACTCCCCTTTTTCTCAATGGTAGCCTAATGTAGTGTATTCTAGGAGGAGAGGTACTACATGAGGTGAATCAGCTGGGTCTGTTATACCATGACATGATTTGGATGTAGCAACAATGCTATAAAATTTGTATCTATTAAAATAAATTTAATAAAAAAAACCACTATGCAGTGATTTAGATGTAACAAAAGAAGTGACGTTCAAAATTACTGAAATTCACGGTATTCATTAGTGGACAATCAATACATATTTTTGTTCCTCTCCGATTGAGCTCTTGGCAGAATACTGAAAGTCACTTCCAATCCTCTAGAAAAGGACTAGAAATTGTTGGTGTAGGATGCTATTATACTTTTCACATAGTTCCAAGACAGTAGTATGAGAAAGCCAACCAACCTCATGGCTCTGAGCAGCTTATTTCCCCAATGCCTCATATTCTGTATGATTACTGCACTTATGTCCTTCTTCCTCCTGCCATGACTTGCCTACACTTGAACACTTATTCCAGCCTAGCACATCACCAGGATTGCTGCTGAGATAATCAATTCTAAAAGGAATTATGAAAGGAAGAAAAGTGAGAAGATAAAAGCAAAATGGGCTTAAATGCTAACAAATTTTCAAAGTATTTTTAAGAAAACGATACTGCTTCTAGCATTTCTGCCCAAACATCAACAGTTATTGACTCCCATTTTAAAAACTCTTATTTCCACACCCTCTCCCTCTCTTTTTTCCATCCACATACCAATTGCATAGTGATAGTTTCCAGAAAGGCAGAGGAAATGGATTATAAAAGACTAAAACATTTACACTACATGAAATGTCTTTGGGACACAAAGGAGAGGATCAAGAAGGAACCAAAACAAATTTAAGAGGTGGTGGGAGCTTGTCACTCCACATAAAAGCCTAAACAGAATATAAATGTTAATTTGACAAGAGTCTAAGTTAGTGGTTCTCAACCTGTGGATCCCCAGATGTTTTGGCCTTCAATTCCCAGAAATCCTAACAGCTGGTAAACTAGCTGGGATTTCTGGGAGTTGTAGGCCAAAACATCTGGGGACCCACATGTTGAGAACCACTGGAGTGCACCTCTTTTAAAAGGAACATCAGAATGTAATACATGAATGAGATTGAGTGGTACTTGCCAATACATCCATTTCACAGGTACACCTGTCAAAAAGTTAGGATTGATGGCAATTCCTTGGTGAAAGCACATCTTACTCTTTGCTTTAGTGTACTGGGAATTTTAGCCCAAGATCAAAGTACAACATATACCTGCAACCAAGTAAATTATGAAGGCTGCACTCATGTTCCAAACATAGTTTTTTCCTTTCCAAATCCACTGAGGGAGGTGTCTGATCTTAACCCTCATGTAACTTCTGTATATTTTAAAGCAGGGGAGTCATATTTAAGGTATGATTACATCCTTCAGCTTGGTGTATCTGTTTTGTATGAGCACAGAAACAAATAATATCTCAGAAGAAGCAGTCGTCAAGTGTGGCTAGAAACCATAGCAGCTTGAACACCACACTCACAAAAGGAATACCAAATATTACTAAGTTAAGGAGAGGGCAACTAAAGAAAGAAGTGGAAGACATTTGAGTATGGGGAAGGTCACTTGATAGTCAAGGACTCAGTCCAGCCCACATCATACAGACAGTGATCAGTAGTGGTAAACACCCCCAACCCCTCCCATGTTTTAAGCTAAGGTGCCTCACCATTTTGCACCAATCTATTCTGATTGATTATTCCACTCATATTTTGCTCAGAAAACAAAGGAAAAATCAAAATGATCTCCCAGTTGCCGTATACAGGATAAGGGATAGGCAACCAATAAAAACAATTCTTTAAAGCCTACATTTTCATTGCTGACATGGGTTGGAAGAACAATACGTTTTCAGTGCAAGTAGAAGGCATTCAAGACAGACACCATCCTAAAGCTGGTACCTACTTACAAAGCCCACCATCTGATTACTGATACACAAATAAAATCCACAACAGCACTCTCCTCTTTAAAGGTGTGGAAACCCTCTTGATCTGAAGGGGCAAGACCAGCAGCTTCATTGCATAGTCAACAGACTTTTCTCCTGAAAGATTTGCAATGTCTTTCGGTTTCATTGAAGCAGTGGCTTTCAGGTGATTCTCATGAACTCTAAGGTATCTCAGATCATCCAGTATACTTGAAGTTAATTTTTACAGCCTCCAAATAGGCAAATGCCCACTACCCATGGCAGATGCCGATTCTGAAAGTGATAAGCCAGGAAAGTAACATTCCTAGATTCTGCAGTATACACATTTTCCAGAAAGAGCGATTTACCACTGCTGGATCTTATCTTAAGGCAGGCATGGGCAAACTTTGGCCCTCCAGCTGTTTTGGACTTCCAACTCCTACAATTCTTAAAGTCCAAACACCTAGAGGGCCAAAGTTTGCCCATGATGCCTGCCTTAAGCAGTATAAGTTGCCAGGGTGCTTTGGACACGTTTTGAGCTATACATGTCAACAGAAAGACCCAGTTGTTGCGGGCCAAGAATGGGATGGGGCCAATCCAGGATAGAAGGGTGCTCCCACCACCCAGGGCAGAATGCATGAATGGAGTCCTCTTAAGAGACTGAGAGCTGCTTTCTGAGAACATTTGCAAAAACATACTTTCTCTAACTCTCGTGAACATTACCTGAATGTATACAAATGCAGAAAAGTGGAAAGATTTGTGTAGCAATGATGGGATGTCTGCGACTGACAAAATGCAGCCAAAATTAAACTAGAGTAAGGTAACAGAAAAGCACGGAAAGCAAAATCTGAAGTGTGACTATAAATGTCCTTCCTTTTAAAAAAGGAAAAAAATTACAATGCACTCCAAAATTCTTGTGTTCAGGCAATCCATATGCAACAGAAGGCACTGTTCTCCACGGGACCCCTTCGGTTTCAATGGCAAAGACCTGAGAGGTGCAACTCCATCCAATTTCACGCGTCTGCTGCTCTGCTTCCTTAGCAGAAGGAAAAGGGACAGAGACTTTCTGTTCAGTTCAACAACTTATAAAAATACCACAAGACTTTATACATTACAGTAGCTGGTTAGAAAGAGTGTCTGCGTAAGAGGGTGGGAAGAGGGTTAGCCGCTGCCTTTCCCAAAAGGGAATCTTCCAGAGCCCTCCCTTGTCTGTTCACGAGTCACAAATGATGCTGTCGTTTTAATAAAATGCAATAATGAAATATTCTGCAGTCTCTTTAAAGCATTTCCCCTTCAGTTGGTTCCCGGAGCACTGCCAAAGTTAAATCCTGAGACCATTTCTTTATTATTGAACGTGAAGCCCATTTGCTCTTCTATCCTCTTTCTTTCTGGAATTAAGAGAAATTAGAAGTATATTAAGACAGATAGCATGCATGCCTTTTTAGGACCAGTGACCCTTATCTTAAAAGAAGCAGCAGGACCAATTGGAATTTCTATAGAATTGCTAGTCCACCGATTCATCCATTTATGAATCAATGGAATTTACATAAGTATCTGCTTACCACTCAGTTGGAAGTAGCAATTGGATTTTGACCATATGAAAGTTAAAATGAGCTTAATGCAATGTATGCAAATCCCTCACTGTCCAATCATTTTAACTGGAGGCACCACAGAAGGAATCCAGCACATCCTGTATAGATTACTGCAACACACTCCATGTGGGGTTGCCCTTGAAGACTGTTTGGGAGCTTCAACTGGTCCAGTGGGCAGCAGCCAGGTTGCTCACAAGAGCGGCATACAGAGAGAGGACATTTCTCCTGTTGTGCCAGCTCCACTGGCTGCCAGTCTGCTACTGAGCACAATTCAAGGTGCTGGCTTTAGCCTATAAAGCCCTAAACAGTTCCAGCCCAGCTTATGAATCACCTCGGAGATTAAGATTGTCTGGAAAGGCCCTGCTCTCGATGCCACCTTCCTCACAAGCGCAACTAGTGGGGACGAGGGACAGAGCCTTCTTGGTGGTGGCCTCTCTGCTATGGAACTCCTTCCTCAGCTACATTAGATCCACCCCTTCCCTCCTAGTTTTCAGAAGGAAAGTAAAAGCTTGGCTTTGGGATCAGGCTTTCAGAGAATAGTGCAGTGCAATAACCGATTTGAAATATGTGCAATGACTATGGAACGTCTTTGGACTATGATTATGGATGGCGCGATTTATATTGAATGTAACATTGTGAATGTTTTAAATGCTTAATATGTATTAATTTAAATTTAATTTTAATGTTAATGTTACTGGAAATGTATGTTTTAAGGCATTGAATTGTGTATATGTAAGTTGCCTTGAGTCCCCTTTGGGGTAGAGAAAGGCAGAGTAAATAATAATAAACTAAATAATAAATAACTTTTTATATACATTTTTTTTCTTTTTCGTGTCAGGAGTGACTTGAGAAACTGCAAGTCGCTTCTGGTGTGAGAGAATTGGCCGTTGCCCAGGGGATGCCCGGATGTTTTGATGTTTACCATCCTGTGGAAGGCTTCTCTCATGTCCCCACATGGGAAGCTGGAGCTGAGACAGCTCATCCGCACTCTCCCCAAATTCGAACCTCTGACCTGTCGGTCTTCAGCCATTGCGCCAGTTATATATACGGCCTGGATTATGCTCGTGAATTACGTGTTTAACTCTTAATGTATTGTTTTAAAATGTTTTAATTGCTTTAATGTACTTTTAAATTCTATTTTAATATTTATTTAAGTGTACATTGTGTTTTGGGGCATCAAATTGTTGCCTGTATGTAAAGTCAGGTTGAGTCTCCTCCAGGGTGAGAAAGGTGGGGTAGAAATGTCATAAATAAATATAATGCAGAAGATCCGTTGCTATGCTATAGATTCAAGAAAAAATATCTTGGACAGTGGTGATAAGTTAGTCACAAATATGATTCATTATTATTTGTTAAATGTATATCCTGCTTTTCCTTCCATGGGTTCAAGACTTATCTCTTGCCCACTTTATGCTCACAACAATCCTCTGAAGTAAGTCAGGGTAAGAAAGAGTAACTGATCCAAGATCACCCAGAGAATTTCATGGAACAGTGGGAAATGCATGCTGGATCTCTTAAGACCCAGTTCCTCATTCTAATGACAAACTCATTTTTAAAATTTTTCATCGCATCACGAATATCTATTATACATGTATAGAACTTTAATATGTATAGAATATATTGTCTCCCCTCTGCTGGTGCTCCTTTGCCCTTTTCGACTGAAAAGGTGCCAGCAAATTGGTGATGGAGGAGAGGAATACAAGTGCCTGGATTCCTTTTATGTTGAGCTTCTTCGTTCTGTATATGTTCTTGTTGTCTGCAGTGTGGAATTACACACTTATTGCCTGCAATGGCTTATACATCACATTTTTCTCAGACTACACCTATCACTACCATTTGACTTTTTTCAGAGGAAAGGGAGAGATAAACAAAGAGTAAAAAGAAGCATTTAAAACCAGTTCTCCCCTTCCTCTCCCTGACTTACTCTAAAGCTCGGCCTCTCCTCTTTAAAGGTGTGGAAATCCTTATGAAATACTTCCCTTCTGCTCCACCCTAGAGAGGTTCCAATACACAGAAGCTACTTTCAACAGACAAAAGCAAAGAAAATTAAAATCTTCGCCACCTGCTCCTCTCTTTGTGCACTCAGAACAAAAGCATCTCTCCTTTAAAATGTTCTCTTTTGTGTTATTTTAAACCCGGAACAGCTTGAATTACATGACACGGTTACAATGACGAAGGATGCCTATTTACACAATTACTGTCTCTCTACAAATATCTCGACAACAAGCATTAACGGCTTCAGAGAACAGGCAAACCTGCAGAACTCCGCCGGTGTTCAGCTAATGCACAGATTTCCTGCAGCTGGGTCTTCTGATCATTGCTGAGTGGAGTGGTCAGCAAATGGTACCAGGCGGCATCTCGGCTCTGTACTTCTATCAACAGAGAATTAATATATCTTCTTTTAAGACAGTTTTAGAAAGCAGAAACAGATAAAGCTACAAACTGCATCCCATTTATAAAACAGTTCTTTCAGCAAACAGAAGTTGTCTACTCTTAAATCAGCTTTGTTCAACTTTTTCTCAAGATATAACTCCCATAAGCCCTAGACAGCAGTGAAAGCCTGTAGAAAAAGCAATACAAAATACTTTGGAGCAACGGTTTTCAACCTTCCTAATGCCATGACCCCTTAATACAGTTCCTCATGCTGTGGTGACCCCCAACCATAACGTTAGTTTTGTTGCTACTTCATAACTGTAATTTTGCTACTGTTACGAATCGTCATGTAAATATCTGATCTACAGGATGTATTTTCATTCAATGGACCAAATTTAGCATAAATACCCTATAAGCTCAAATTTGAATATTGGTGGGTTTGGGGGAGGGATTGATTTTGTCATTTGGGAGTTGTATGGAATTTATAGTTAACTTACCATCAAAAGAGCATTCTGAACTCCACCAACGATGGAATTGAACCAAACTTGGCACACAGAACTCCCATGACCGACAGTCATGGGAGTTGACCTGGAAGGGTTTGGTGGGCATTGACCTCAAAGGTCACGTGGCCAACATGACTGCATGGAATGCCATTTACCTTCCCACCAGAGCAGTACCTATTAATCTACTCACATTTGCATGTTTTCAAACTGCTAGGTTAGCAGAAGCTGGGACTAAAAGCGGGAGCTCACCCCGCTCACTGGATTTGAACCGCCAACCTTTTGGTCAACAAGTTCAGCATCTCAGCGGTGTAACTCGCTGCACCACCAGGGACAGAGACAGAATCCGAGACAGCTGACCTGCAAACCCTCAGCAAGAATCCTTATTATAGTGGCCTCTGAAAAAAACGATGATTCATCAAATGAAGGCCGAGGCAAGAAAAGTGTCTGAGGTTTAGGTTTTATTTCTTTTAAGAACGCTTAGAAAAGTTAAAATTTTTGGACTATGTTAACAGGGATTATGAGAACTGTGATCCACAGTAGTATCTGTGTCTTGGAACAAACTTCCATTTTAGTAGATCATAGATATATAAAGGTTGCTTACCTGTAACCGTATTTCTTCGAGTGTCCATCCGTGATATATAGAAGGTCAAAACAGCTCACTGAATGTAGATTTTATTTTTTAAGGTAACAATGAACCCTGCACCTCCATTCTTGGAGACAAAAGTAGCCATTTATTTTTGATGCATGTTAAATGTTCATACCTATTAGTGCCTGTGTAAAGAATTGATATTCATCCACAGCATCTTCCAAGTCAATGGGGGTGCTGAAGCCTTCTAAAGCAGTTTCTTCCAAAGCATCATCATCCCAGTCATCGTCGTCATCATCATCATCTTCATCCCCTGCATCACCTCCGCCGCCCGCATGGTTCTCCTGCATTTCCTGGGTTACTTCATTTGCCTCTTCTTCATCACTTGGAATCTCTTCTGTAAATAAGTTCATTCTTTAATAAAGCACTAAAGCACTTCGACATATGTGGAATATAAAAAAAGGCAAACACATTTATTTGCTCCTCTAAAAAAAAATCCCACTAATCAAACAAGCAATTTGAGTTCTGCACTTAAACTAATGGAATTTCTAGTGAGCATCAAAGTTAATGAGTAGTCCTTAAATTATAATGTTGGTGGATGCAGCCAGGGCACAAAAAGGAAAATATATATTTTTAGCTGAGGTTATTGGATGGGGTTCTTTCCAAGTTACTTAGCTTCGGAAATTAGCACCAGGAAGCTCTTTTGAAAATAATTACATAAAGAAGCCAGTTTCCATGGACACAAGGCTGACTCGTGGGCACAGAGTGTTTGCTCTGCCATCTAAGCAGACCCTTTGGTATGTCCCATGAACAAACAGTATTTCATATCCTGCCACTTTTCTCCCAGGGCCTCTCTGGGAAGATTACTTGTTATAATTCATCACTGGAGATAAGGTAAAGCGCTACCCACTAGGAAAAAGTAGGACAGTCATCGTACTGGGCATCGTAATGGATTCCTGGAAACAGAGAGGAAATCTAGATTGCCACTGCACTTCACTGGTATGACTTTTGGTTGTGGGATTGTGTTGCTTACTTTGAATGGTACAAACAGTGGTGTCTTGGTGTATTTCTCATGCTATTTTCTCCCCTGCTCCCATATTCCTTTTGGGATTCAAGCTTTGGTTCTTTGGGTTGCTTAGCTTTCTTTTCCTTTATGTTATTCTGTGCTTGACTCCAAAGGAACTAAACACACACCAGACAGGTGCCATCACAGGTTTGATTTTATTTTATTTTTTGGTAGGGTGGCTTATCTTGCCATGTCAGCTTGCGTGCCTTGCCATATAATCCTATTTTCTCTGTATTTCATATCCTGCCACTTTTCTCCCAGGGCCTCTCTGGGAAGATTACTTGTTAATGTTATTTGTGGTCTGCATGTTAATATTTATTTTTCACAGGGATGGCTACTAGGCTTATGCAATCCAGGTAAAATGCAATCCATTTCAGTGTCTTAGATTTCAGTCGGGATCCTGATCCATTTTTCAGGAGCCTCCCGAATTTGGGAGGAGTCTTTGATCCAGGAAACTGAAAGATTTGTTTTCTTTCCAGCCCATTATGGAGGGGGGGGGGAGTTCCCAGGCTATTCTTCCTGTCATTTTAGGCATCATTTGTCCTTATATCCTTCATTAAGACCTGAATTAAAAGCATCAGAGTTAAGATACCACTCTTTCTGCAATCCTTTCCCTTCTGTCTGTAGAGGAGACCGTGTTTAATGCTTCATTAAAGCTGCTTCTACTTTAGAGGAGACAGTTGCACTCTCCCTGTAGCACAAATTTTAAGGAGGCTTCCCCACTCTACAGGGAAGGGAGAACGATTGACCTGGAGCTATCCTACCCTGGGCTTCCTTTAAAAAGCCCTCTCTTTTTTCTTGATTTGCAGGCCCTAGAGTAGTGCTCTCCCCCCCCCCCCACACGCCTTTCTGCTTCATGTTTAATGCTTAGTAGTTAAAACTGTTTCTATTCTTGGGGAGACAGGCGCGTGCACACTCTCTCCCTACAGGAGGCAGTTTTCCAAGGCATTTTAAGGAGGCTTCCATAGAAGGAAGAGTGATCAATCTGGAGTGATCCTACCCTGGGCTTCCTTTTAAAAGCCCTCTCTTTTCTCTTGATTTGCAGACCCTGGAGTAGTGCCTTTCCCCCCCTCGTGCTTTTCCTTCTAGCGGTTTCTTCCCTCCTGCACTCCAATTGTAACTGAAGGAAGCCGGTTTTCTACAGCCACTGTTCTGTGGCAGCCGGAAGAAACATGGAGGCTGAGCCCTTGCTGTTACGGCCATCCAAACAAGCTGGATTAGCTGAATGGAACTGGCCAAATCAAACCTGTGCACAAGCCTTATGGCTACCATTACTACATAGTGGCTGTCCTATTTTAGATTTTATATTCTCATCTTATTCCATGTCTCCCACTGGCAAGAAAAATGAATTCAGGGCTGATATCCCGAATGTCACAATGGCACACAAGAAGGAGAAACAATGGGATCTGTGGATAAGAAAGTGTCATCCTTCAGCAAATTTAGGCAACTCTAAGATTGTCAGATGTTTCTTCACTTAAACACCATCAGCTATGTGAAACATCCTGAACTGTGATGAAGACAAAATGATGTTCTGGATACAAGCAAAACTGAGAGTTAAAAAATGAGACTGAAAAAAATGACACCAGTCCAGATTTCTCCAGCTATCCTACAAAGGATGAAGGAGATGGGGCAATGTGCCTATGAATACATCCCTCAAGAGATTTCGATACAAGCCCAGCTACTACTTGCTAGCCGAAAGATATGATGACATGCTGAGAATAATAGCTGAGAAAATAATCATTGCTGTAGCAACCATTTCCCCCTTTCCAGCTCCAAAATAATTTCAATCAGAATGTACAAAGGAATTTTTTTGGTACCATTATCTTCTGTGTCGTTCTTTTCAGCTTTAGCACGCTCTTCGTGTTCTGTATGCTGCCGGGTGGCACACACTTGTTTTAGGCCCAAAACCAAGAGGAGAACGGATGGAACAATTTGTGCAGCCACTGCGTCGACAGCAGGAGGTCGGTTTGGCAGCCCCATCAAGATGCTCAGTCCTATGATGCACATCTTCCTGTCATGAAGGCTGAAAACACACACACAGTTGGCAAAACATATCTATGGGTAAGACTTTCGCATGTAAGCTGGTTTGCTGTTTTACAGAAACAAGCTGGTTGAGCACTGGCTCTAACTATTATGCTTAACACAAATTATCTTGGTTTTTTATATTTAAGTTAAGATGATCAAAATAACAAACATATTTTAAGGTGTTTTTATTATTTTCAGCTTCCTTAAATACCTTTTGCATTGGAAGGTGAGGTATAATAAACACATTTTAAAAATAAGTCTTACAAAACCTGATGGAAGCTCTAAGGGACAGCTGCATATAGATTTTCAAGTTCTTCAAGATCCTTCTGTATTTCTTCTTCTTTCTTTTTATGTTTGAGAGACTAACTGCTTTGAAAAGAGTAAAACATGTGTTGTCAAAGGCTTTCATGGCTGGAATCGCTGGTTGCTGTGAGTTTTCCAGGCTGTATGGCCATATTCCAGAAGCATTCTCTCCCGACATTCTCTTCCAGGCAGGAAGCAGCCAAGCCTTGAAGCTGCAAGGCTATTCGATGCTAATCAAGGTGATCAACTGCAACATTCGCACTTGCCTCAAACAGACAAGAGTTCTTTTTCTCGCCTTGGACATTCCACAGATATATAAACGCCGCTTGTCTTATTTCCAACAGACCTCACAATCTCTGAGGATGCCTGCCATAAATACGGGTGAAATGTCAGGAGAGCATGCTCCTGGAACATGCTACAGCCTGGAAAACTCACAGCAACCAAGTAAAAACATGGTTCATTGTCTTTGCATTCTGAGTCAGGGTTGATAGGCACCTGCCCAAATGATACACAAGAAAATGTCTCTCCTTTAGATTGCTGCCTATCTGTAGCAGGTCACTGCAATCCAGTTGAACACCATTGCCTTAGCTTGCAGACATCGTTGTAGGCATCGTTTCTGACGGTAAGTGAACAACAGAAGACAGTTCAGAAGGCCATAGGCAAGTTCTCATTTGAAAATGTTTTATGTACCATAATTAACTTTAAACAGGCCAGGCTTTTCCACTGATTCAGAATGCAAAGATGATAAACCATGCTTTTACCCTGTTCTCAAAGCAGTGTATTGGTCTCTCAAAACATAAAACGGAAGAAAGAAAAGGTGGCAGAACCTTTGATTTTTATGAGGGTTTTTTTATATAAATCTAGGTTGCTTTTAAAAAAGCATAACGTGCAAGCAGTCTGTTGCTAAACAAATATATGCAGCTACTAATGAGGTGGATGCGGGCCTTTGGCAAATTATAATGACATGGGGCCAGCTACATATCTGAGAGCAAAATTAATATGAACTAGGTTAAAAAAAAGGAATACTGCATTCTATAATTAAAATTAGCAGAAAGAGAGAAACAAACAAGGAACTGGAGTGGGAGATGGGAGAGAAGAAAAGAGAAGAGGCGCTACACCTTTTGTGGCTTTGATCAATGAAGCAGTAGAGGTGCATTCTTCTAAAAAAACCCAGGAAATTCTGCAAGAATTCTCAGACAAAAATGCATGAATCCAACGGAGGAAGGAACAATAGTGACATTTCATCTTTGTTTACATTTATACGACTAGAAGTTTCCAAATGGCTGCGCCTGCGCAGAAGATAACCCATATGTGCACTTTCACATACACCACGAAGAAGAAGGGTATATCCAAATGGGTTTTAGCAAGAGGGAGATCACAAAACAACAACGGCTAGAGTGGACAAGAGAGAAGGCAGTACCTTGTGAGGCTTAAAAAAAAGTGTGGCACAGATTGGATATGTCCTCAGTGTCTTCTGGAATTTTAGGAAAGTTAGTCTAGAACAGTGGTTCTCAACCTTCCTAATGCCGTGACCTCTTAATACAGTTCCTCATGTTGTGGTGACCCCGAACAATAAAATTATTTTCATTGATACTTCACAAATGTAATTTTGCTACTGTTATGAATCATAATGTAAATATCCAATATGGAGGATGTATTTTCATTTATTGGACCAAATTTGGCACCAATACCCGATACGCCCAAATTTGAATACTGGTGAGGTTGGGCAGGATTGATTTTGTCATTTGGGAGTTGTAGTTGCTGGAGTTTATAGTCAACCTACCATCAAAAAGCATTCTGAACTCCACCAACAATGGAATTGAACCAAACTTGGCACACAGAACTCCCATGACCGACAGTCATGGGAGTTGACCTGGAAGTGTTTGGTGTGCATTGACCTTGAGTTTTGGAGTTGTAGTTCACCTACATCCAGAGAGCACTGTGGACTCAAACAATGATGGATCTGGACCAAACTTGGTATGAATACTCAATATGGCCAAATGTGAACACTGGTGGAGTTTTGGGCAAATAGAGCTTGACATTTTGGAGTTGTCATTGCTGGGATTTATAGTTCACCTATAATCAAAGAGCATTCTGAACCCCAACGATAGAATTGGGCCAAACTTCCAACAGAGAACCCCCATGACCAACAGAAAAGGCTGTTTTCTGATGATCTTTGGCTACCCCCCTGACATCTCCTTATGACCCCCCCCCCCCAGGGGTCACGACTCCCAGGTTGAGAAACACTGGTCTAGAATATATGAGAAATTATCCCCAAAATGAATTGAGGGAAATGATGATCAGAAGGAATAGTCTTTAGCATTCACCATGGAAGAGAATACAAATTCCCACTCATGAGAGCTTTACACCATAACCTGATTTCTTTCTCCCAACTAGGCTGATTTTGTTTGCTTTGGAGACTGAACTTTTTGCCTTTTCCTTGCAAAGAATGTGCCCCACCACACAACTTGGGTAACCTCATTAGGGTGGCTGCCACTACAAAACCACTCCCCCGACAGCTGCCTCCTTCATTAAAAGGGTGCCCTTCAAGGCAACCCACATAAGAGATAACCTTCAGACCATAGGCATTCTTCAACAACTAACTGCTGAGATAGTTTAGTAATTAGGCAAAAGTAATGAAGCACGTTATGAGTAAAAGACCTGTACTTTGACCTACCACAAACCCACAAGCTCCTTAAATGTCATAAATTGAGAACAGCTGTCATTTATTCTACAAGTATGCACAACTCAAATAACTGCACATGTGAGCAAAACTAGTGTGGTCATTACTGACACTATGAATCAAGCTCATGTATGGGTCACCTGAGTTTATCATCATTAATAATAACCACATGGTGCTATTTATTTATTTATTTACTGCATTTTTACCCCGCTCTATCGCAACCCTGAAGGGGACTCAGATGCTAGAAGGATCTTCCTTCAGTAACCTTATGAAGTACTCCTTGATCGTCAAATGGCACATGAGAAAAAAAGGCCATAAGATGCACTTTTGGCTAGCTTGTGCTTCTGCACACAACTGCTAGCAGCTCACAGGTCAAATCAGAACATGGAACATTACCGTATATACTTGAGTATAAGCAGACCCGAATATAAGTCAAGGCACCTAATTTTAGCACAGAAAACTAGGAAAGCGTATTGACTCAAGTATAAGCCAAGGGTGGGAAATGCAGAAACTACTGGTAAATTTTAAAATAATAGATACCAATAAAATTACATTAATTGAGGCCCCAGTAGGTTAAATGTTTTTGAATATTTACATAAAAGTGTAATTTAAGATAAGACTGCTCAACTCTGATTAAACCATTAATCTAACCTTCTTCAATTTAAATGTGGTTACATATTATTTCAATAATAATAAAGACAGTTAAATAACAAATATAATAAAATAATAATAGAGTAAAATAATGGAAATGAAAGAATAATAATAAATATAGTAAAATAATAAATGTAATAACAATAATAACGGAGTAAAATAAATGTAATAATAATAATAAATAAAATAATACATATAATAAAATAATTTTAATAATAGAGTAAAATAATGGAAATGTAATAATAATAAATAATAAAATAATAATAAAAATGTAATCAAAATAATAATAGAGTAAAAAAAAAATTTTGATTCAAGTATAAGCTGAGAGTACCTCTTAAAAGGATGGTCTAATTTCAAAACCACCCCAGCTTTCTTCTTCTTTTTAAAAACAGAAATGTATATCTCTGATAAGATTTTAAATGCAGCTGCAAGGGAGGGGGTCTTAATAATTTGTCCTTTTGTGCCCCATATCTTCAGGCTAATTGGAAATGACGCAAAATGCCACTTAAAGGGAGGGGAAGTACATCACGTTAATTCCAACCAGAATTCTCTTTTTAAGATTTAGCACAATAAGTCAAAGGGCCTTTTTAAATTCTTAAGATCATACTACAGTTAGTACACCTTGAAAAGCTGGATATTACCCCTAACCACAGAATGTAATAAAGGCAATAAAGTCATTTTACAACACACCAGAGCGGTAAACGTCACATTAAAACTACATTTATGAGATGCTATAACATTTTGCAGATATGTAACGTCAAATCCAAGACAAGAGCAAATATTACAATATGTCAAGGCAACCACAGCAATTAATGGTCTCTGTTTCCAATTAAAGGCTTCTTGCTAGAGAGCAACTTTGAAGGACTACTGCCTATTGCTATTATGAGAATCCTCTACATAAAACAATTTCTGATGGACTATGTATACATTTTATTTTAATTTATTTATTTAATTTATACCCCACCTTTCTTCCAATATGGGAAACACAAAGAACCACTGAAAGATGGCCATCCAGCCTCAGTTTAAAAGCCTCTTAGGAAGGAGCTTCTGCCACACTTTGAGGCAGAGAGTTCCACTGCTGAACAGCTCTTATTGTCAGGAAGTTCTTCCTAATGTTTAGGTGGAATGTTCTTTCCTGCAATTTGAACCCATTGCTCTGAGTCCTAGTCTCCAGGGCAGCAGAAAACATGCCTGCTCCCTCTTCCTTATGACATCCTTTCACATATTTATTCATGACAGTCATGTCACCTCTCAACCTTCTCTTCTGCAGGCTAAACATCCCCAACTCTTTAAGACACTCTTCATGGGGCATGGTCTCCAGACCTTTGATAATTTTAGTTACCCTCATTCGGACACCTTACAGGTGTCAATATTTCTCTTAAATTGTGGTGCCCAGAACTGGACATGGTATTTCAGGTGAGGTGTAACCAAAGCAGGATACAAAGGCACAATAACTTCCCTCGATCTAGCCAATATATTCCTTTTGATGCAGCCCAAAACCCCATTGGATTTTTTAGCTGTCCCATCACCCTGTTGACCCATGTTCAACTTGTTGTCCACGAAGACTCCAAGATCTTTAACAGGGACTGTTGTCGAGCCATTTGTGCCTTCAGTATCTCGCTGAATACTGACATCCATCATTAATGCCTGTCTCTTTGAACATTCCTATCCATGGGATCACACTAAGTGTTTGCCTAAATTTCCTGAATTTCCTAAAATCTAGAATGCATGTCTGACTTCTCTTAGTTTCCAATTTTCTCTGTATCACAAACCACAGGAGTACATGGTCACTCCCACCTAGGGATGCAATATATAGGCATCAGTGGAGACACCTCTTCCCTATGATAAACTCCTTCAAGGGTGAATTTCCCTTCCAAGAGGTAGATTTTTCACACTTAGTGTTGTCTCATCCCAGTCTGGGGAGAGCGGGTTGAGCTCCCTCTGTCAGCTCCAGCTCCCCAGGCAGGGACATGAGAGTAGCCTCCAACAAAGATGGTAAAAACATCAAAACATTCGGGCGTCCTTTGGGCAACATCCTTACAGATGGCCAATTATCTCACACCAAAAGCGACTTGCAGTTTCTCAAGTAGCTCCAGACACCAACCCCCCCCCCCGCAAAACCCTGTTCTTAACTGTGAGTTGTTTGTAAGTTAGAGGTTTGTAACTCGGGGACTGCCTGTATTATTAATGCATCTTAATATTGAATTTAAATATGCCCATATATACTTAAGAGTATAAGCTGACCCAAATATAAGCCAAGGCACCTAATTTTACCACAAAAAAACCCTGAGAAAACATATTGACTCAAGTATAAGCCAAGGGTGGGAAATGTGGCAGCTACTGGTAAATTTCAAAATAAAAATAGATACCAATAAATGTACATTAATTGAATCATTATATTTACATAAAACTGTAATTTAAGACAAGGCTTCAAATCTGATTAAACCATTCTTCTAACCTTCTTCAATGTAAATGTGCTTATGTATCCTTCCAATAATAATAGAGTGAAATAATAAATGTAATAATAACAATAATAATAGAGTAAAATAATAAATGCAATAATAATAATAATAATAATAATAATAATAATAATAATAATAATAATAGAGTAAAATAACAAATGTAATAATAAATAGAGTAAAGTAATGTAAATGTAATAATAATAATAAAAAATAGAGTAAAATAATAAATGAAATAATAAATAGAGTAAAATAATAAATAACCTTCTCAAGTATAAGCCGGGGGGGGGGGGGGGGGGGGGGACTGACAGACTTTAAGCCCTAAAAAGGGCTGAAAAACTTGGCTTATATTTGAACATATATAGTAAGTTGCTTTGGGAACTAGTCTCTGAAAACTGCAATTAAATATTTAATATTTTCACAGGAATCTCTCAAGGTTAAAAAAGAAAAAGGAGAATAAAGCATATTGACACTTACCCAAGAAAACAATCTGTATCATTCATCCACTGATTTATAAACTGTGCAGTGATTGGTTCTGGGTTGTGAGGAAATCGGATATTCTCTAACGTGTGCAAAAGGAGCGCGGGATTATAATAAAGAGCAGCAATGGCAACCTGCAGACACATGGTGCGGAGCTCGCTGGTTTTGACGCCTCGTGTTAAGCGTTCTAGAACAGCTTCAACAAAGAGAGGGATGCACTGGGGATCGACAAAGGAGATGTTGAGAGAGGAAGGGAAAAGGAAAAGGACAAAAGAAACACGTTTAGATACTTTTCAAAGCATTAATTCCCCAACCTGTTGGAGTCAAATATAATTGTCTTTCATTAAATGCTTTCATGTTACCTGCAATTCTGTGTGTGTGTGTTGTGTGCCTTCAAGTTATGTCCACCCAAAGAGAAAAGTATTACGAGGCTTTCTTGACAAGATGTGTTCATGGGGATTGGCTTCTTTGAGGATGACTATGTCTAATATTTTTTGGTGGGTTTCTATGGCTAAGCTGGGACACAAATCCTGATCTCCAGAGTTATTATTCAACACTCAAACAACTACACCATGCTTGAAGGGAAATTATATTATTATTGCAGAAGAACTTAGCTTCACAGGGCTTGGAAACCTGGCACTCTGGTTTTTCTCTTTCCCTCTGGTCTTTTCTCCTTTACTTCCTTGGCCCTCTTTTTTGCTAGTTTTTCTTGTTCATTTAGCTCCCAGCCCCTAACTCAGCAGCAGGCTTGTTTATTTCTCTCTGCCTTTTAACTGTCTGAAGAGTTTGGGGACCCTGCTGAGCATCACCTACGGCTGCTTAGAGATTTTCTGGAGATACACATTTTCAAGGCTTGTTTGCATCTTCCTCATTGCTAATAAATAAAAGTAGTACTGCAGGGCACAGTCAGATTTCATGTAAATAAAATGAATTAGCCCATTTAATTAAAGAAAAACAATCCTTAGGGTCCTTCCAGGTTTCAAAGTTAGCTAATAAAATGAAAACAGTCAGGCATACATTCTGTAGGTCTTGTCAGAACTTGACCACAGAATTGCACTAGAGAGGATTTGCTAATGTCCAAAGACATATTATCTCCAGGAACCTCTAGAAAAAATATTTTAAGTAGCAGTTGATGATACAATCAAATTGGGGGGACCCAGAGATTCCCATAGATAATATATTAACCACATTCATTAATATTCATATCTATAAAAGTTTAATCCACAAGTGTGGAGGGCTAACTATGTTAAAATATAAGCAAAGCACTACTTGTGCCATCTGGTGGTTGTAACATCTAATAACATTCTGATATTATTAGAACAGAATTATAGAATCAGAGTTGGAAGAGACTTCTTGACAGGCCAACCCCATGTCAAAAAGAAGGAAATCGCATTCAAAGCACTCAAAGCATTCAAGGATATGTTGGGTTGCTCTTAATTACTGTTAACTGGCTTGGATTTCACAAATAGGTGTGGTGGACTGCTCCTTGTGCCATCCTGTCAGTAGGTTGTTACCAATCCCTCTGCAATGCCAGAAATACAGCTTAATGGTGTAACATTAGAAAATGTTGACCATTTCTGCTACCTTGGCAGCCACCTCTCCACAAAAGTCAACATTGACACTGAAATACAATGCCGCCTAAGCTCAGCGAGTGCAGCATTTTTCCAAATGAAGCAGAGAGTGTTTGAGGACCGGGACATTCGTAGGGATACTAAGGTGCTTGTTTATAAAGCTATTGTCCTCCCAACCCTACTATACGTCTGCGAGACTTGGACTGTCTACAGACGTCACAGGCAACTCCTGGAACTCCATCAGCACTGCCTCCGGAAAATCCTGCAAATCTCTTGGGTAGACAAGGGGACAAATGTCAGCGTGCTGGAAGAAGCAAAGACCACCAGCATTGAAGCGATGATCGTTCGCCATCAACTCGCTGGACTGGCCACATTGTCCAAATGCCCAATCACTGTCTCCCAAAGCAGTAATTCTACTCCCAACTAAAGAATGGAAAACAGAATGTTGGTGGACAGAAAAAGAGATTTAAAGACAGGCTTAAAGCCAACCTAAAAAAAACTGTGGCATAGACACCAAGAACTGGAAAGCCCTGGCTCTTGAGTGCGCTAACTGGAGGTAAGCTGTGACCAGCAGTGTTGCAGAATTTGAAGAGGCACGAATGGAGGGCAAAAGGGAGAAGCATGCCAAGAGGAAGGTGTGAGAAGCAAACCCTGACCAGGACCACCTTCCACCTGGAAACCAATGTCCTCACTGTACAAGAACATATGGATCAAGAGTAGGGCTCCATAGTCACCGCAAAGACACTGCACTTGGAAGGCCATCATACTCAAGACAGCAAAGGAGGGCTTAAGTAAGTAAGTACCATCACAACCCATTCTAACAGGAATCAAATCAGGAGAGGAAGTTTCCCCACTCCCTGACTCAAGTCCATGGTAGAAGCAGCATCATAAGGAAAGTGGCAAAGACATCAGATGGCAGGCATGTCTAAACAATCCCAGAATAGGATTAGATAAAAAAGCCTTGATAGTTACTGCATCTGGAAATCCCTCCCAAAGAAGGTATGCATATCCTGAACCCTTGTTTATGGGTTTTCACCATAAAACAAACTCCTTCCAGTATAGAAAAGGGTTTTGGTTTTAGGAAAGTTAAGTTGGAAATAGTTTTTACTAGATGGCTTTATTTCTGCCCTGGTGTTCTATGCCTTATTGGCTTTTCTGGGTTTGTATTGTTGTTGTTGTTGTTGTTGTTGTTGTTAGATACATAACAAGATTAGTACATAGCAAACAAAATCACTATACTGGCTTTTGTATCTGATCACGTTGGACATTTCTCAAGTGTCTAGGACTGTGTAATGTATCGGCGAATAATACATGCAGATCCAAGTAGAGTGGCCTTTTGCAGCTGATAGATGGTAATTTTGTTGCTGCCGATTGTTTTTAAGTCCAGGCCAAGGTCTTTAGGCACTTTATCATCATCATCATCACTATCATCATCATCATCGCAGGAGGATCATTGTATTGTAATATTGCTCTAACTACTGTTAACTGGTTGGGATTCTGCATGAATAATGTTTTGTAAAAGGGGAAGTGGGGTAAGTCATGACACAAGAGGGGCCTTCTTGGATCGGTCCATCCATTTAAAACAAGCTTTATGTCCATTTTCCCCAGGAAATTATCTTCTACGTCTCAGACAAATCCCAGTTGGATTTAAAGTATTAAATGGTTCTATGTGTCTGTGTCACAATGGAAAGAAAAATGCTATCCTCTTAATATATACCACAACCCATATAAATCCTATATTCAGATATGTCATTTTTCAACCAATACACAACTGTATCTTATAAGAAAAGCAAAGATGTTGTGCAGCACATTACCTGATCAATGCCTCTCCCTTTGCATTGCAGAATAATGACCTCCAAGAGCTTGGCTGCATGACACTCAGCATCCTCGCCTGCGTCACCAGTTAATACCTAGCAACAAAAGCCATGACAAATTTAGAGAGTAGCTGACAAGGCAAAGACAATACTTCCATGGAGAGATTGAAACATGGACACAAGACACTGATGCGGGAAAGATGGCACAGTGTATATGTGGAAACTACTTTGTGTAATTCATATAACATTTGACACGACACGCTTCATTAGAGAGGGCCCTTCCATGTGAATGATCTGCTATATGAGAAGACACCAAGATATGCATTTCGACTGCACTGAAAACAAAAACTAGTTAGACCTCTGGTTTTTAAAGCCTGTTTTTTAACTTCACACTGCTGAACAGTTTCTAACCAGTCTCCAACATGCAATTTTTAGGCAAAGTGTTGGATTCTCCACTTCAGTAGTTTTTAGACCAGACAGATTGTCCAGATCTATTCTGAATCTTCAGGCATGGTTAGGAGATAGCAAGGCCTGGCTCTTTACTTGCTCTGACCTGATGCTCTATTCTAGATTTTAATTAGAACTTTAAAGGAGCTGTCCAAGATGTAAAGTATAATTAAAGTACAGCTCCTACACTGCATGGCTAAAGGTGACACTAAACAGAACAGATTCACTGGTCCAATGGCATTACAGTCACCAGGCAACACTGCTGCTAGGGCTGGAATTTATATATGACTTACACCTAGGCAATCTGAAAGATCTTATATTCCCATACAAGCCTGCCTGAGTCTTACGACACAGACATGCTTGGTGAGGACAGCCTTCTTGGTGACTGCTGTTAGGTCATGAATTCCCCCGACTGTAGTTTTCCCCTTTCTATATTCATTCCACCAGAAAGGAAATAAGTTATTAAAGCAGGACAACACCTTTTAACTGGTGTTGGCAAAAGGATTTTTAAAGATATGTATAGTATTTTTATCTAAACTATGCTTTAACCATTTAAAATATTTTAATTGAACTGTTAGCTAAATGCATTAAATTCTTCTATCACATATTGTTCTTGCATTTTTCCCAGTTTTATTATAGCCATGTTGTGTGTCGTATTAAGAGAAAAGCGGGATATAAATGTAATAATTCTCTTCCTCCTCCTTCTGCTTTTCCATCGTTATCACAATCACTTCTACAATCTAGATGGATATGGCTCTTGACTATACCTTCAGTGCACAAAAAATCAAATATTCTCAGCATGTGTCCTTCAGGTACAAATAGTATATTTCAATTTCTGGAACTTTGTTTCTCTTATTATAAACAGAAATTAAAAACTTAAAACTGAACACAACTCGCTGTGGCCTTCCAATTTTATACATTTTAGTTCACGTTTTTGATCTCATTTTGGGTACGAAGTTTGCAAAAAATTGAGCAGATGTAAAACTGACCTTTTTACACATACTGTAAATTATCTCCAGGTTTTTGGGATTTGACAATAAAGTATCAGTATCAACAGTGACATAGTTGTGTAAGAGAGGCATCATATCTAGAAAGAGAAAAGCAAAATAGTTATTTCTGAGAGCAAATGGAAATTTAAGATTGAATTCTGTTATTCTCTTTTTAAACTACCCACTTCATCATAAAACTTCTTAAATTCACAAAGAAACAGAGATTTTTCTATACTTTATGCTTAAAATATTTATATCTTGGTCTTTTTTTAAGGTCTACAGGGAATTTCTAAAGAAGCTATCACATTTTTATCCTCCCAACAACCTTGTAAGCAGAGCCTGGAAACTTACTTCCTGGAACTACAATCTCCTAAATCCCAAAGGCAACACAGTCAGAGGCCTTGCGAGCTCAGCAATTGTAGAACTTCTGGTCTCCCCCCCCCCCCCCACACACACCTTTAAAAAAATAACTTTTCCAAGCTTACTGGATAGTTTAAGTTTGGAGAGAGTGATTTTCAATTGCTTGCCAGTAATGGGACTTCAATTCCCACAATTCCTAACAGCCTACTGGCTATTAGGAATTGTGAGAGTTTAAGTTCAAAACACCCAGAGGGCCAAAGTTTGCCCATGCCTGATCTAAACCCTTTGCCCAATAATTGGTAAATGAATGCAACAGCAAGATGAAGTAGCTGTTTTAGCTAACGTTTTTACAATCTATTCAATATTTTATTTTGTACTGTTTATTTTTTCATGTCAGGAGCCACTTGAGAAACTGCAAGTTGCTTCTGGTTTGAGAGAATTGGCCATCTGCAAGGACATTGCCCAGGGGACACCCAGATGTTTGATATTTGACTATGCTTGTGGGAGGATTCTCTCATGTCCCCGCATGGGGAGCTGGAGCTGACCAGGGGAGCTCAACCCACTCTCCACAGTTTCGGACCACTGACCTGTCGGTCAGCAATCCTGCTGGCACAAGGATTTAACCCATTGCACTGAACTGCTTTTATCCATATCACCCATTAATGATGGAAATTCTACATCAGTGTGTCACAGTGTAAATAAGCACCAATGGAGGTATGTTCCACTTCCATTATGCAACCTCTACACTGGATAGCAATGTAGTTCAATAAATGCATATAGGAATTGAATGCACATAGCCATTAACATATTCCACAATGCACATGTGGATACTACTCTTTTTATTGCACAGCTGTCATGCATTAATTGTGTGTCAAAGTCTGCTTCTGTCATCTTAGCCTTGGAAATGTCCACTAAAAACACCCTCCTGTGCTCTGAACATGGCACTGCAAACAACATCATTATGATTTTGACTATGACTATTAAATGAAGTATGCTAATCTGTAGAGAGATGGTAGAAGTATGGGGATAATTTCCGAATACAGATGAATGACTGAATAATGTTTGGGAGTATGACATAAACAGATGTTTATCTCTCCCCGTGACTACCAAAATGAGAGGGAAATCTACAAAGTAAGGGAAATTATGCAAAATTATCTCAGTATTTATGGTTTACCTAGACTCATAAAATGGAAGAACACACAGGCTTACAGAGGGAATAGCTGGCCCTGAACACAGAGTAGTGTGAGAGAAAAACCTTCAAGGTTGCTTTCACTCACCTGAGACAAATTGACAATTGCCACTCTCTATCATAGCTTTCCAAACTACTGCAAGCCAACATTATCCTTCAATCAGGCTACTTCCACAACTCCGCTGTTTCAGTCTCATGGGTTATTATAACATTTATCAATTTGCTTTCAGAGTATACTACAGAACTCATTACCTACAAAGTACTCGAAGCAATCCTGCTGAAACACTTCATATAAGACACCCAAAAGCTGCCACATTTGTGGTGAAATAAGGTGGCATGTCAAGCTGTATGCGAGAGAGAGGATTTCTTCATAGAATTCTGAAGGGAAGCAAGAAACACAGAGAAAAATGAGATTTGGAAAGGTGGCTTTACAAATTTCACACAAACTACAGGGGTATTTTCTAGCCTTGACACATTTGTGCACCGATTTTAACTCAAAGCTATCCTTTGCTACGGTATTTTGATAGTAGGGTTACTAAGTGATGTAGCGAGACACAAGGCTAAGGTAATCAACCGCATTGCACAGATTTGATTCAGAGATTAAATAAAACTGCTCATTAAGTGGATGCATAGAAAAATTAAAGTGGTGGGACAAAACAACTTTATTTAACACTAGCCGTCCCCTGCCACGCGTTGCTGTGGTCCACATGGGGGTTCTGTGTGGGAGGTTTGGTCCAATTCTATCGTTGGTGGGGTTCAGAACGGTCTGTGATTGTAGGTGAACTATAAATCCCAGGAACTACAACTCCCAAATGTCAATATTCTGTTTTCCCCAAACTCCACCAGTGTTCACATTTGGTCATATTGAGTATTTGTGTAGAGTTTGGTCCATTGTCTGAGTCCACAGTGATCTCTGGATGTAGGTGAACTACAACTCCAAAACCAAAGGACACTGCCCACCAAACCCTTTCAGTATTTTCTGTTGGTCATGGGAGTCCTGTGTGCCAAGTTTGGTTCAATTCCATTGTTGATGGAGTTCAGAATGCTCTTTGATTGTAGGTGAACTATAAATCCCAGCAACTACAACTTCCAAATGACAAAATCATTTTTTTAAGTGAAGGACATACATTGGGTTGTTAGGTGCCTTGTGTCCAAATTTGGTGTCAATTCGTCCAGTGGTTTTTGAGTTATGTCAATCCCACAAACCAACATTACATTTTTATACAGATTCCTCCTGCTACTCTGCTGACTTGTCTTGACTGAGAAAGCACTCTGAACAAATCCTCAAGAGGTTTAAAACGAGTGCAGTGATTATTTAGAGCAGTTAGGAAACCAGTCAATGGGCCTAAGCTCCCCAGCAACAGGCAACAAAAACAAAAGGGAAGAATGGGAGATAGGACTACATACTTTCAGTCACTCACTGAAATTTTCCAACATTACTACACTATCCAAATCTTAGTGGCCATGATAATTGGGTGAATTTTAGGATCTATAACTTTTCTAAGCTCTGGTCAACTGTCTTTGGTATATATGGAAGACTAAGGCAGGCAGGCTCTTCCAAGAGTGGCATGTACACTGATCGTGCTACAATGGATAATTATAGGTAAAGGTTTCCCCTGACATTAAGTCTAGCCATGTCTGATTCTGGGGGTTTGTGCTCATCTCCATTTCTAAGTCAAAAAGCCGGCGTTGTCCTTAGACACCTCCAAGGTCATATGGCCAGCATGACTGCATGGAGCACCGTTACCTTCCCGCAGAAGTGGTACCTATTGATCTACTCACATTTGCATGTTTCCGAACTGCTCGGTTGGCAGAAGCTGGGCATAACAGCGGGAGCTCACCCTGCTCCCAATTCGAACCGCCGACCTTTTGATCAGCAAGTTCAGCAGCTCAGCGGTTTAACCCTAGGGGCAGCCCTATTATCCATATAAGGACATTATCAGGGAGCCCTGTATGGATAATTATAATGATGGATTATTTGTTCAATGCTCTATCTCAAAGAAAAGGCCTCATGAACAAAGGACGCATCTACATTTTAGAATTAATGCAGTCTACCACCACTTTAACTGCCATGGTTCAATGCTATGGGATCCTGGAATGTATAGTTTGGTAAGGCACAGCACTCTTTGGCGTGATGCAAGAAGTACTGCTTGAATACCAAGCAAAAAGTGGGTGCTAGAAATAATACCATACGAAAGCAGACTGGCAGTACCTGGGGATCACAACCAGACACAGTGAAGACATCTACCCTTGTGCTTTGCTATTCTGCTGCTGAGCATGCATGCCCAGTGTGCAATTCATCTCACCACATTAAAACAGTAGATGTGGCTCTTAATGAGACATGCCCTGCACTGCTGGAGAAATTATACTGTTTAGCCAGTATTGCACCACCTGACATAGGTTGGGAAGTAGCAGCCTGTAATGAAAGGGCCAAGGCATTGACATCTCCAGTCCATCTTCTGTTCGAATATCAGCCAGCACACCAATGCTTTAAATAAAAAATAGCTTTCTAACACCTACAGAGATACTCGCAGGAACACCTCAACAAGTGAGAGTCCAAAAGTGGCAGGTGAACTGTAATATATTCAACATCCGGTTTTAAAGTATCTTGGATCTCTCTCATACAAATAAAATCAATATTTCCAAGCAAACAATCTACAAATATTTTAAAAAGCTTGCTTTGAAAAAAAAAGTACCTATTACGTGCTTTTGCAAGACAAGACCAATTATTTGTAAGCAAATGCTCTCCAACTGTTGAGTTATCTGGAAGAGGAAAGAAAGATCACTTGTATCAAATTTTTATACTGAAATCACAAATGTTCTCTGTTTAAATCAACCATTTATCTAGCAAGCTTTACTTTATTTTACTTAATTCACTAAAAATCTGCATGCAAAGATCCCGGGAGGCAGACTAGATCCACACAAGATCCCCTATTACCTTGCATCTAAAGTGATGGAGAGGACTCACCTCCTTGTGGTCTTGCACAACAGTCAGGATTGTGTCAATTGTATGCAGGATCCCCATGGCCATAACAGTTTTATCCTCCATTTCTTCATACTCTTCACTTTGAAGAACTTTGCCAAAGATTTCTGCCTAAAGAAATCAAATTAGATATAGGGTGAACTGAAGAAAGAATCCTGGCAAAATAGAGGCTGTCCTTCTTTCTTATATGACGGAAAATAGATTCCAGTACTCTTGCAAAGCAGATCAGGTATAGTGATCTGAATTGGGAACTGGCCATTTCAAAGCTGAAACTAACAGGACTTGGAAGCATCTGCCCAAGCAACTGCACCTCACAACTACTGCCCTGCAAAGTAGCATTCCCATGTCCGACACATCCCTTAACAAACAGTTCAACTCTTACCAAATGTTGTGTCATTTCAACAGCAATTGTTGCTACTTCCTGGCTATATTCACAAATCAGCTTCTGGATTACATTAGTGAGATCATCATTCTCAGTCTCTCGGACAACAAGCAATAGCTCCTGCATAACAGCCCTGATGTAGGGCTTAATGTATTCTTTTGCTAGAGAAATAGAGGAAATAGAGAGGTATTAAAAAAGAGGTGACACCTGGGATGTCTTGACAATGGTTATAGTCCTTTGTTAGTATTTTATGATCCATATGCAGGCATGCACAGTCTGCCTTCTCTTTCTGAAGGCTTTACTGTGATTGGGAGCACTAACAGATTATATGGCAGACTTGCACACTTTCACATGGGACAGAATCTTTCCTAACTTCTTCTTTATTCAAAGTTGTCAATAAAAATACTTCCCAGAATCTGTAACATTCACAGCATTACAACAATCTACACTTCATCTCAAGCTTATTTATATAGTGAGTACCCCAAACTGTTACATTCTGAGTAAATAAGAGTAAAATGGCTGCCTTGAATCTCATCCAGTAATTTATTGTCGCGGTTAGAGGATCGTAGCTTGATTGAGTCTGAATTGATGTTTTTATACGTGCTTATTTTTTATTTTATTGTATTTTATATTGTGTTCACTTTTATATTTGTTTCTAGGCACTTGATGCTATCTGTAAGCCACCCTGAATAAAGTTGTTATTATTATTATCATCATCATCATCATCATCATCCAAGGAGAAAGGCTTAGAATATGTTAAGATAGTAAATAAATAAAAACATAAGCAAGCTGAAACAATCAAGGTTGAGTTGTTGTTGTAGGTTTTTTCGAGCTATATGGCCATGGTCTAGAGGCATTCTCTCCTGACATTTCACCTGCATCTATGCAAGCATCCTCAGAGGTAGTGAGGTCCTCACTACCTCTGAGGATGCTTGCCAGAGATGCAGGCGAAACGTCAGGAGAGAATGCCTCTAGACCAGGGGTCCTCAAACTTTTTAAACAGAGGGCCAGGTCACAGTCCCTCAAATTGTTGGAGGGCCGGATTATAATTTGAAAAAAAACATGAATGAATTCCTATGCACACTGCACATATCTTATTTGTAATGCAAAACAACATTTTAAAACAATACAATAATTAAAATGAAGAACAATTTAAACAAATATAAAGTTATTAGTATTATAGTGGGAAGTGTGTGCCTGCTTTTAGCTGATGAGATAGGGTTGTTGTTGTTGTTGTTGTTGTTGTTGTATGCTTTCAAGTAGTTTCAGACTTAGGTTGACCCTGAGCGAGGGCAGGGTAAATGACCTTGGAGGGCCGTATCCGGCCCCCGGGCCTTAGTTTGAGGACCCCTGCTCTAGACTATGGCCATATAGCCCAAAAAAACCTACAACAACCCAGTGATTCCAGCCATGAAAGCCTTCGACAATAAATCAAGGTTGAATATATGTGAGTATATAATTAAACCATAATTAAACCATAATTAACGGCCAGTACATGTCACCTTTATCCCAATATGACACCCAAGGAACCTTATAGTACAAGAAGAACACTATGAGGTCAGAGAGCAGAGAGTCAAGAACAAGATGCACTTATAGTAAGTCAATCTGGGAGGTATATAGGCATGTAGAAAGAGCAGGGCTACCATAGGTGCACAAAAGACATCATATTTTTATAAGATCAATCAGACACTTAAAGGAAGACTCGTTTTCGCCAAAAGTATGTGATCTTCAAAACCATCCCTCTATGGGTTGAACTTACACTCTATAATGACTGTGCTACTTTCAAGCTCAGCAGATACACCAAATCATAGAGTAAGTTCAGTCTAACTTACTCTAACATAATCACATTTATTTTCTCAAAGTCCTTAAAACCCAAATACACAGACAAAAGTCAATGGGAACAAACTGTGCCTAAAGGCAGATGTTCTAATGAGAGGTCAGAGAAATGGGCAAAATAAATCATAGGGTGGTGGTGAGAGGAGTTAAACTGGAAGCAAATGACTCTGGCCTGGAATGAGTCCTAATGGCATTTAAAATGAGAAAAGACAGGGAAATACATGTGTCAAAGGAAATTGTCAAATGCAAAAAGGAAGAGCAGTTATGAACAATATAACAGGTTTAGAAAAAGGACACTAGAATTACAGGGAGAGGACAAGAAAAGGAGGAGGAAGAAAATCATACATATACTTAAAAGCAAAAAGGAAATAGCCTGCTTTGAAGATGGTAGAGAAAATGGTTTCAAAGCAGAGCACAAAAAAAAGGTGAGGAAAGCCAAAGAAACAGAACTCAAACCTTGCTCTTGGTGGCTTATTAAAGACTGAAGTGCAATGGCTGCCTCTACTTTCACAGGCATTTCTTTGTCATCAATCAGGCATTTCTTTGTTAGCTCCACAGCATTCTGCAGGTTGAGTTCATTGTGAAATTTCAAAGAGCTGAATGAATGAAGAGTCCAACAGGACTGAGGGATAAGAAAAAAAAAAACAAGCAAATGAAACAGTGTCAAAGTTTGATTATTATTTTCAGAAACTTGTTGCGGGTGCTAGCAGTCTCAGCTTAGTTTTAGAACTACCTAAGTGACTTACACAGTTCAATTAAACACATCTACACAAATCAACATTTGTAATACAAAAATACTTCTATGAGTGAAAATGGACCCATGAGCATGTGCAAGGTATAATCATTCATATGGCAAATGCTGCGGTACATGTTCTCTTGATTTTCAGGATGGATTCTGAGAGTCAGGATGAGGGACTATAATAGGAAAAAGCAGTTAAAAGGCCCCCATGTCTCCTTTGAAACAATAAACAGGACAATTACTACCACAAGGAAAGTAATTGGATATTAACTCAAAGCTTTCTAAAATTAGCTGAAAAAACTATAGTGGAGGGCATCCTTCCTTGTTGATATTAACACATCACCACTGAATAATGTATATAGTTTGGTTACTTACTCTTGCTCTCAGATATCCCAGATTTGACATAAACAATGGGAAGACATGATTCTGCAGCATCAGCTCCATTTGATCCTTGAATACACTCTTCTGATGGAATTAGCAGAAGCCATAAAAATAATTAATCACTATTTTGATATACAGTACAATGTCTCTGGAGTAAATCATCAATACAAATTAAATTAGTCATCTAGCTTAAAGTTCACTCTTTAAAGATATTCTAGTACACAACAGATATAGAATATTTCATTGCTTAGGTTCAAAGTGACACATTACTGTTCTTGATGGGGTTGCCCTCCATCTAAAAAATTAGGCTTGTGGTTTGGGGTTGCTCCCAAAACGGCAGGTTGCCAAAGTGGTCAAGAGTACCTTTGTCCAGCTTTGGCTAGAGCACCAGCTGCTTCTTTCTTGGGAAAGACAGTTTTGGACAAAGTCGTTCATGCCTCAGATGTCTCTTAATTAGACTACTGCAATGTGTTCCACATGGGCTGCCCTTGAAAAGTGTTAGGAAGCTGTAGCTAGTGCAAAATCCAGCAGCCAGACTGATGTCGGATGTGCACTTTAAAAACAATATAACTCTGGTTCTGCAATTTGTAGAATCTACACTGGCTTTCAATTTGCTTCCAAGCTCATGTTGAGGTGCTGGTGTTGACCTTAAAAAGTCCTAAAAGATGTGGGCCCATGATATCTGAAAAACTGCCTTCTCTTCAGAGGAGGCCCTGTAGTATCTCCCAACCTCTTGTGAAATTAGGGATTGGTGGGTACGTGCGACAGGGCTTTCACTGCAGCAGTGCCTCAACTATGGAACTCCTCACTCAAGGAAGTTGCATGGCCCTATCTCTTTTAAGCTTTCAGCAGGCAGACACAACAGTGCTGTTCCGTATGGCATTCAGTGTTTGCAATTGTTCTTTAAAATGTGTAAAAACTGGTTCCTAGGGTTGTTTTAGACTGCTTTTAAGAGTTTTGAAGGGGTATTTAATGTATTATTAAATTATTTTATATTTATTTTTTAATTCATTTTTATTTGTTCATTGCTTCAGGAGCATTTGTGGACTGGAAGGCAATACAGAAATACACAAAATACAAAATAATGAATAAGAGCACTGTAAAGCTATTTTTGGAACTACAGTTCTAGAACCATGGAAGTCTACTTGAAGTGATGGTGGGAGATTTTGGGAGTTGTGGTGCAAAAAGTAACTTTATCTTAGAGCGAGGCTTCTTCCACACAGCTGAATAAAATTCCACATTATCTGCTTTGAACTGGAATATATGGCAGTTGGATTCAGATAACCCAGTTCAAAGCAGATATTGTGGGATTTTCTCCCTTGATATTCTAGATTATATGGCTGTGTGGAAGGGCACCAAGCCTGCACAACCTAGTGTTGGGATCTCTAGCTCCCAGAAACCCTAGCCAGCTTGCCCAATGGTCAGGAATTCTGGGAACTGTCATGAAAACACTTGGAGGGCCACACGTTTTGCAGGCCTGTCTTAGACAAAAGAAACCTTTCCTGGAAACTTGTATAGAGATGAGAGAGCAAAACCTGTCCTCTACTGCTGTTGCAAAGTTTCCCTGAAATTTTCTCCTTTATTGAGACTTGGCCTGACAGCTTCATATTTAAGATGCATCAGAGTGTTCTTATAACCGCAGATCAGAGATCTCTTTTCACTTTTGAAGACAAAAAACACACTTGTGAAACACACCTGCTGAAATAGAGGGTAAATAAATGGAACTGAATGTTTAAATAAGATTCTAGTAGCTCTTTAACCACCTCCGATAGCATGCAAATCAAAGATATGCATGCATATGGAGCAGAGAAACCACGAAATAACTTAAATTAGAATTAAAGAAGTACTGAACACACACCATCTGGACATATACTTGTTTTTCAGAAATACACATATGCATTCTGGTTCCTACATCTAAACATGCAATCCAATAGCTAGCTTATGTGTAGCTAGTCATTTACCTTCAGCAAAATATCTGCTAGAGATCCTATCACATGTAATGCTCCATCTTTCTTCCTAGGATCAACATTGGGTTCAGTGAGGATCTGATAGCAAAATGCCATCATTTTTGGTAACACCTTAAAATGGGGGGGAAAATAAAAAAATGAAGAAAATTACAACACTACTTTCTTTTCAGAAATAACCATGAGATATGTAGATAGATAGTTAGATAGATATCTCTGCTTATGACTGTGACTCTCAATTTTGAAAGGGAAAACACATTTTTAAACTTGGGGAAGATTTTGCTACATTACAAAGGAAGGCTGAGAAAATACAAGAACAAGTAGATTTGTGTACTTATTTATGGGAAAGTTGACCTATCTCTGGGGTTTTTTGTTTTTTTTTGGAGTGCTGAAACACATATTTCCTCTCACAAATAAAAAATACCAATTCTGTAGAAAGCAAAGTGATGATAAGAAAGAGAAACCAGGGGAAAACATTCATCCAAACCACATATCCACCTTTCGAAAAATAAAACAATCCAGGCACATTGTATCACCTTCTGAAACCGCAAACAGCTCTCTCTCATATATTTCTCAGACTCCTTCCACACAGCTGAATAAAATCCCACATTTTTTGCTTTGAACTGGAATACATGGAAATGTGGATTCAGACAGCCCAGTTCAAAGCAGATATTGTGGGATTTTATCTGCTTGATATTCTGGGTCATATGGCTGTGTGGAAGTGCTCTCAAAGACACCACACAGACAGAGATAGAGAGAATGAGGTGATTACAGATTCTGTCAAAAACCTCTGGTTGATCAAACCTGCAAATACCATAATGTTTTGACAATTTATAATAGGTACCTCTTTTCGCTTTTTTGCTGCAGTGTACAGAAGAAGCTGAGCTGCTGTTGATGGGGATGCATAATCCTCAAACACATCTTATGAAATTTCGAAAAAACAGAAAAGAAAATGTAAGTGAAAACTTTGAAGAAATCACTCTGAAGTAGAGAAAACAAAGTACTATCTAGAGAAGGCATTGACAAACTTCATCCCTCCAGGTGTTTTGGACTTCAACTCCCACAATTCCAGGCCTCAGGCCCCTTCCAAGCTTTTGCTGACCAAGCTTTTGATTAGTAAAGTTACACAGTACAATAAATAAATATGGAATATGTGCAATCGACATTTGGAATGGCCCCGGTCGATGAGTTTGGATCATGTGATTTTAATGTTTATTTAGGTGGTTTTAATTTTCACGTCCTCGTATCTAAATGTTGTTTTATCTTACGTTTAATTGTCTTACCAATTTTAATGCATAGTTATATGTTTTGTTTAGATTTATGATTTGGTTTTATATGTTTGTGAGGGATTGAATTTTGTCATTATTTGTTGTAGACTGATTTGAGTCTCCCCTGGGGTGAGAAAAGCGGTATATAAATACAGTAAATAAATAAATAGTAATAATAAAATAAAATAATAAATGTAATAATAATAGAGTAAAATAATAAATGTAATAATAATAGAGTAAAATAATAAATGTAATATAATAATAATAATAATAATAATAATAATAATAATAGAGTAAAATAATAAATAACCTTGACTTGAGTATAAACCAAGGGGGGCTTTTTCAGCCCAAAGAAAGGGCTGAAAAACCTGGCTTATACTGGAGTATATTTGGTACATCCTACCCCAAGAGATTTTGCAATCCATATGAAAAGAATCAGGAGGTGCCTATGGCCATACGATAATCCAACAAAACCTCACTGCCACCATCTTTCTTAACTGAAATCTAGTTATTTAACAGTAGTGTTAGTATTGTTGAATGTTGTGTAAGTGGTGCTCTTGGCTAATTACCCCCATTACCTGTGGAAAATTTACTGTAATTTTAAAGACTTTTCCCTTTCTCATCAAATAACTGTTTTATTGCTGACTTTTTAACCAAGTGTTTATAAAAATGAGTTTGCTACTCAACAAATATCACTAATGAGAGAAAACAGCTTGCAGCTACCATCCTAATGCATTTTTGTCCTCCCAGTTCCATCTCCCTTTTTGAAAGTTTGCTTTCTTTTAAAACACTCTCAGCTCATAGCTCATGAGGGATGGTTCACAGTTCAGGAAGCAGAAGCCATGGAAAGGAGAAGACTGGATAGCAAAACAGTGTTTGTCTTGCAATTGGGAGTGTTCATTTTCTTTATTTTAGTACCTTTACCATGTTATTAAAATAGAAACAAATGCATAACTGTTGTTTAAAAGAAGAGCTAAATGAATACCAAATTTCATGCGGATATACTCATAGGGGTCCTCTTGCCAAAGCTCTTCATCCTCATCTCTATAACACATCAGGGAGAAGATCACATCTTCACATAATGCCTTTACAAAGAGGGAAAAAGTGATGGCTCAGAGAGGGATAATTGCGTAACTCCACTGTTAAATACCTATCCCCAAAAGTTATCACAATAAAGCATCACAGTAAACAATACAGCATGCTACCCATTATAGTTACTTAATGTAGCAACTGACTGAGGTCTTCTCTATCACCTTCTCATATCTCCTGATTTGAAGTCCCTTCTGTCCACTATTATGGAGCTGTGTCACTTTCTAATGGGATGAGATATAATCCAAGGCTCTTTTTTATTTCTCCAAAATTCAGGAGGAGGTATGCACTCCTTTATATTTTCTAAATGTATATAAGAGAGTGTTTTGGAAAGTTAAAGCTAAAATCCCTTGCCTTGCTGTGATCAAAATGAAGTGCTATGACCCATACATGATTACCACAGGAAGCTGTAATGCCACATCTCTTCCTCCCTCTCCAAGTAATATTAAGCAAAGTAAAATGCATCAGGCAATTTCATAATGTTGCAAGTTGTCCTGCTTCTGTTCCATGTCACTGACTGCCACGTGCAGCAGCACAGAAAGTTGCAAATCAATGCCATAGCACACATTTTGCATAACTTCTTATGGGAAGAGATGTATATAGAGATGAAGGCTCTTTAAATGGCCAAAACTGTCATTGCCTTCTGGAAAAACCATTCTAAACCCTCCAGACAGTGTGACTCAGAAATATGCATACATAAAACAACCATGCTATTAATTAATCTTTTTATTCAAGTGACTTTATTCCCATACATTAATATTTGATCCAACACTGTAATGTTTTATGATAAGTTCTAACTGAAAACCTTCAGCAGTTGCTCAAGGGCATAAATTATTATTATTACTGTGCTCACCTGCATATGTGGTTTCATCTGCTTCCAGGTTATACAGTGATGGACTCCTTGGTTCAAATAATTTAATGTTTGTTGAAGGACACGAGGAGCAACATATTCTTTCCTCCTGTATTGGTCCAAGATTTTTAGAAGAACCTAAGAGGAAAAGAAATAGATTTAACAACATTTCCTCATAATCTGTGCTATGAGTAATTTTCAATAACTTTAAAACATAGGTTCTTTTTATTGCAATTTTCCAGTAAGAGAAAGGGTATCAGAAATGGTTCGGGCCCCGCCTATCTCCGCGATCGCATCTCCTTCTATGAACCGGTGTGAACTCTAAGATCTTCCGGGGAGGCCCTCCTTTCACCCCCATTACCATCACAAGTACAGTTGGTGGGAATGAGAGAGAGGGCTTCTCGGTGGTGGCCCCGACCTCTGGAACGCCCTTCCAAGGGAAATAAGACAGGCCCCATCCCTCTTCTCCTTTCGTAAGAGTTTGAAGAACTGGTGGTTTCAACAAGCCTTTGAGAATGACCAGTTCTAGTTGACAGATGTAAACATATGTGAACATTTCTCTTATCACTGTCATAGTTCTTGTCACAGTTTATTTTTTAGTTCTCATTAGCAGGTTTTAATTACAGGCCAGTAAGCAGGTAGTTAGTCATTGCAGGCCTTAATCTTGTAGAATGGTGTTTTTAGCCAAATTATTAGGCCCCATCCATACAACTTTCATACAATTCATTCAAACTATATATCATATTTCAAACATGCACATTATATTTCTTGTGACATCTGGGCATTTTAATCAATTTTACAAACTCTTTCAATAACAAGAGTAAAAAAAGGCACATTTATCACATCCCTGTTGCCTTTTAGTAATAGCTAAGGAGCATGTGATGAAATAAAAGAAAGATTTTACAAACATGAGGACAGCTAGAGGCAAGAGAAATTAAAAGAACAAACCTGAAAGGAGTTTCTGCCCAAACAGTACAAACCACCTTTCATTATCATAGAACTGCCTTGCAAACAGTTGGGGAAAAATAGCCATCCACACCACTGCTCTTCCTCCCCTCCCCAAGTAAGGGAATGAATGCCTTAAACTTGGTTGCACATGGGACAAGTTCAAATGCAGCTGGAGTGCTGCCATGCTATTTTACACAACAAATAACAAATCTTTACCTGTTGGATTCCAACGGCATAGGTTTTCAAGAAAAACTCAGAAAACGCAAAGTATTCTTTTGTTACATTTCCAGGACTGCCGTATCTTTAAGAAGCCAAAATATAAATACATAAATATTTGAGCTTAACATATACAAAAATACTACAGGAGATTTTGTGCCAAAAAGAGATGTGTACTATTGAACCTTTCATGTGACCTGATATTTCCCTTCACTCACAGTGTTTTAAGACATACTATTCTGTTTGAGAGAAAAAAAAAGATATTGAGCCTTTCAAAATTGCCCCACTCTTTGGAAGCAATCTCACAGATAACATAGAAATTTTAGCAGGTTTTTCTGAAAACTTGGACACAAGATCAGAAAATCATATATTTCTTGACAACAAACTTCAAAATCACACACTGGGAAACTGCATCCACCAATTGGGTACTGATAGGAGCTTGATAAGTGTTACAGCTTAAAAAATAAGCAAGTGTTTTTAACTTGTTTTTAACTTGAATCTAATTTCCATCAAGAGCTCATCAAATAGTTTTAGGTAAGTTTCTGTTCTCTCAGCTTCAGTCCCTAAGATGAGCGGGAAAAAGCTGCTTTACCAGGCTGTGGTGCAACTAGCTGATAGCTAGCTGCATTAAATCACGACTGACCGAGTGATCATGAGTTCGAAGCCAGCCTGGGTCGGAGTGAGCTTCTGGCCATTAGTCTAGGTTGCTGTCAACCTTTGCAGCCCGAAAGACAGTTGCATCTGTGAAGTAGGAAATTTAGGTACTGCTTTATGTGGGGAGGCTAACTTAACTAATTTACGATGCCATAAAACCTTCCAGTGGTATGCAGAAGAATGAGTAAGTCCTCCATCAAATGATGCAGTGTCACAAATGGAGGATGAAGCGGCAGCTCCCCCTGTGACTGGAATCACGTCAGAATTGAGCATACCCTCATGAAGCTGGAATAGCTGGAATGTTAAATTGCCTCTGTGTCTGTCTATATATGTTTTATGTCTAATTAGCATTGAATGTTTGCCATGTATATGTGCATTGTAATCCGCTCTGAGTCCCCTGCGGGGTGAGAAGGGCGGAATATAAATACTGTAAATAAATAAATAAATCTATCATACTGTTTTGCTGTAATGGTTATAAAGTGCAAAATTCATCATAGTATCTTTGGGGACTTCTTCATCAGATAAAGATGGTAAAAATTATACAGAGGAAGAAAAGAGTTAATTACTGGGCCACAAGTCCATGGCCATAAAGGTAAGACAATGTATAGGATAATAGAGGGAAGACTAAGTCTTGTCATCATTAAAGCAATGGAAAACATTAATACTTAAATGTAAAATGACAAAAACAGAATGTCGAAATTCTATGTTCCGTTACCAGCACGTTACCTTTCAAAAAGACGAGCAACAATCCGCAAAGCCCACTTCTTACATTTCCACCACACCAGTTCCGGCCTATCATCTTCATCAATTTGCAGAGTCTCCTAATCAAATGAAATAGCTCCGTCAGGTATACATAAATAGACATTTAACAAAGTGAAGATTAATATGTATCATTGGAACACAAGTTTATAACAAATCTCCTAATGCTGCTGAGCTGACAACAGGTCATTTATCACAAATTCTTGGCTTCAGAAACAGACAATCTGGTCTCCTCCAGATGTTTGCACATAGAGTTCCTATTAAAAGGTAAAGATTTCCCCTGACATTGTCTAATTGTGTCCAGCTCTGGGGGGGGGGGGGGGGGGGGGATGGTGGTACTCATCTCCACTTCTAAGCCGTTGTCCATAGACACCTCCAAGGTCATGACTGAATGGAGTGTCGTTACCTTCCTGCAGAAGCAGTACCTACTGATCTATTCACATTTGCATGTTTTTGAACTGCTAGGTTGGCAGAAGCTGGGCCTAACAGCAGGAGCTCACCCCGCTCCCCGGATTCAAACCGCCAACCTTTCAGTCAGCAAGTTCAGCAGCTCAGCAGTTTAATCTGCTGCACCACCAGGGAGCCCAGAGTTCCTACTAGCCTAAAGCAAAACAGCCAATGATTGGGATTAGAGGAATCATCATTCAAAACCTCTCTTAGCTCCAATCCAAAGCAGTCTGTATTTAAACAAAAGAGGAGTATGTATTTTTTTAAACAATAAAATAATGTCTCATATATCTAACATAAAAGCTACAGGTTAGCAATGATAACAAAAAGGTCATATGTGGTCAGAACTACAACAGACAGCCATACTATATCTACAATATCTATGTGATGTGAACTAATCCTGTACCCATAGGTTTCTAAAGGCTTCAGTTGCAGTTGGAGAGCAGTGTTACAGGCATAAACGTTGATACTGAGGATACTTTGGGCATCAAAACAGTAGCCATATTCAAAGACAGGATTCTTCGCTATCCTATCAGTCAAACTTAACATTTCTTCCTATGCTGCTAGCCTTGACTTCTCTACTTTTAAATATCGACTTTGAGAAACTTTGGCAGATACAGGCTTAGACATTATATATATCCTTTGACTACGCAACAGATGCACTGGACATGTTCATACAAAGGGGCAACCTTGTGACCAGAAGAGTACACCTTAAACAAAGGGTTTAAGGCCACCAGACTTATTTTCTGAAAATAAATAACTTTTGAATCATCAAATGGGACTTACTCCTAGGTAAGCCCCAAAACTAAAGGTGGACGTTTCCCCTGACATTAAGTCTATTTGTGTCCGACTCTGGAGGGTGGTGCTCATCTCCATTTCTAAGCTGAAGAGCCAGCGTTGTCCACAGACACTTCCAAGGTCATGTGGCCAGCATTACTGCATGGAGCACCACTGCCTTCCTGCAGAAGCGGTACCTATTAATCTACTCACATTTGCATGTTTTCAAACTGCTAAGTTGGCAGAAGCTGGGCCTAACAGCGGGAGCTCACCCCACTCCCCAGATTCAATCCACCAACCTTTTGGTCAGCAAGTTCAGCAGCTCAGCAGTTTAACCTGCTGTGCCACCAGGGGATGCTTAAGCCCCACAAGCAGTCTAAAGTAACCCAATAGGACCAAATAGGTTCTAAACTTCCCAGCAGGAAGTTTTTGATAGCCTTACTATGCCTATAACACATAGCTTGATGTATTTAACTGAAACTGGAAAAATGTAAGCAGAGTCACAGAGACCACAAAGGTTAGGTTCTCATATTTATCTATTGTCTTGCATTTCATAAAATTATTAAATTCGTGCTGAGCTGGTGGAACACAGCTACTAGAGACATAAATGTTTAACTGAAAATAGAGGAAGTTACATTCATACACTCATGCTAAATATCCACTTTTCCATCTGCCTACCAGCTGTTTTCCAGTAATGTAAAGCATTTTCCAGGAAAGTAAAACATACATACAGGAGGCACACTTCTGTCAATGACAGATCGGAAAATCTCCATCCACTGAGTCATGGTTTGGTTATTCATCAGCTGAAGTGGCAGTGAATACTGAAATAAAAGAGAGAAGGGAGAAAAAAGTAACATCAGTTTGAGATCAAAACCACAAAAAATGATGTACTACATCTCTAGAATTTTCTATGGTGATATTCTTTGGTTTTATGGTTGATGGAGGTGCCACTTTACAGAATCATAGTGTTAGAAAAGACTACAAGGGCTGTCCAATACAACCACCTGCAAATTAAGAATACAAAAAGACACTTCCTACAGACGTCCATCCAGTCTGTATTTAAAAGCCTCCAAAGGAGACTCCACTACACTCTGAGATTTCTACTGTCAAACAGCTCTTATCTTCAGGAAGATCTTCCTAATATTGAGGTGGAATCATTTTTTCCTGAAGTTTGAAGCCTTTCCATGTCCTAGTCTCCAGAACAGCAGAGAACACCTTCATTTTGACATCCTTTCAAATATTCAAACATACGCATGTCATTTTTAACTTTTTTCCCTTCCAAGCTAAGCATGCCCAGCTCAGTAAGCCCAGCTCACAGGGCATGGCTTCCAGACCTTTACTAATAAGAAGTATAGTACAGGCAGGCAATGTAATAATAATAATAATAATAATAATAATAATAATAATACTTTATTTACACCCCGCCACCATCTCCCAGAGGGACTTGGGACAGCTCACAAAGCACTCAAAGGTGCAACACGCAAAGTACGAAGAGAATAATACAAAAGCAATAACAATCAACATAAACATCTCAGCCCCCCCCCTCCCCCACCCCCCAACTTGGTTAAGATCAGTAAAATGCAACAATAATTAATACAGTCTCATAGAGTGCATGGTGAAATAGTTTCTAGGTCCTCAAATATATTCATTAAGGGATTCTAAACATGGTCAAAGACTTGTCGAAATAATCATGTCTTCCGTTATATACGGAAGGCATTTAGAGTGGGGCTGCCACTCTCCAAGTCATAGGAGTAGCACTCATGTGGTTTCTTTGGTACACTAAAAACCTACATGACAGCCAACTAGTCATATATGGCTAACAGTTTTGCACTTCCCCTAATTTAGAACTTTGAGGATTTGTTTCTTAGTTAGACTACTGGAATACACAGAATCCCACCAGTGCTCCACGTCCTCACTGTTACTACACCATTGCAATGAGAGTGATTGGTCTCACAAAACCCTCTTATAGTGCCGAGATTGATTATAGTTTTCTGTGGGCAGGCAGATGGAGACTACTAGATGGCATAAGTTCTGTATCAGAAACTAGAGATGATGTGGTCTAGTCAATGCAATTTTCTGAATCAGCACCCCAAATAACCAAATTGAATCTAAAGTTGACAAAAAACTGATTCATAACTCTCTTGGCACTAATGTTGGAGAGTGGTCCCTGATTGAAGTGATCCCTGGTCAAAAAAAGTTTGGGAACCACTGTGGTAAAACAAAGACCTAACAAGCAACAGAAAACAGAGCTAAATTCATTTTGTACAAGGGCCTGTTTCACCCACTTAATCCTGCTACAGACATATGGACAACACTGGGGCTCACAGCTGAACCATGCCAGCAAACCCTTTTCTATTATTTTTTTAAAGCCCATTTCACATTAAAGTAAGACATGCACTTGAGCCACACTCCATTTTGATGCAATAATGTGGCTCTTTCAACTACTGCTACACTGTTGAATTAAGTGATAAACCACAACGAAGATTTTAGTATGATTGCAATTTTGCTCAAAATATATCAATACATCTTTGCTTATCAAAGTAAAGCTTCAGTATAAATCACAGGAACCAAACCTTAAAATATCAACATCTGAACACTGCCTATAAAGAGAGGTCACCCTAGAAACCTCATAGACAGCATGTCATTTTCATGAAGATAACCTCCCAAACTCCCCAGGGGGTGGAAGTACTCTGCAAGAAGTTTCTTCAACTGTCTCTAGGAAACTCATCACTGAGCTCTAAGACAAACTGACATGGCATGTCAGTTCGAATCTGCAAACACCTCACTAAAAATTGTAATCTGCCTGCAGCAAGACTCAGATGTGGTTTCTCAATATGTGCATCCTGTCCCTTGCTGTCTGCCAAGTCCGAGTTTCTTAGGGATACACTCCCCTTGGTCACACTAAAACAGGGCTGATAGGGGACTGATCCAAGCCCAGGGAGTGACATATTGTGATAAATTTTAAATAAAGGGGAAGGCTCTTCCTTTGATAATATGCCAATAACTTCTTTCTGATGAATAGCTAAGAAAACACACATGAAGACACATGGATAATGCCCTCATGAATGGCAACACTTAAAGAATTCAGTTCTTGAAGCACTTCTAATAAAAAGTGCTACCATCCCATTTAGCAGTGAAGTGGGCACACAAAATGGATAAAAGAGTCACAATTAGATATTCCCAACATTGCAACACATGTCCACATCATCCTGATACCAGAAGTGACACTGAGTTGGCTACTTTGAAGTGAGGTGGCAGCTCCACCTTACTACAAAATTGTGGCTCTTGGAAATGTGTTTTGACACCCATCTTAGCAGTTTTCTGTATTTGAGTGCTTCTAATAGTATATTTAAACATTTTAATGCACAATGGAGGATCTTATTATAGCAACACCAGAGGCACTCCAAGTGGCCAGCTACTGGTCAAAGGACATTTAATAGAATGCCAAGTTTGCAAACTTTGTGTGTGTGTTTTAAAATACAATACAACTGTTTGATTCACTCCTGACACGATAAATAAATAAACTTGAAAGAAGGTGATCTTGACAACAAGACACTCTGAAGCATTCATATGTAGCTCATATTCTAAAGCAGGCAAGGGCAAACTTCGGCCCTCTAGGTTTTTTGGACTCCAACTCTCACAACTCACAACATTAGGCTGGTATGAATTGTGGGAGTTGAGGTCCAAAACACCTGGAGGGCCGAGGTTTGCCCTTGCCTGCTCTAAATATATCAAGGATGTTTTTATCTGGAATTCATCACAATTCTGAACATATTTGATGCTTAGGCTCATACCTGAACAAGTGCATAGAAATTCTTTAGGATTTGTTTCTGAAGGAGCACAGAGTAGTGGGAGTTATCAGGAAGGAGCTGGATCATCTGCTGTTGAATCCGAGGCAAAAATATCTGCATCGCAGCAATGAGGGGTTCACGCTCCTCAGCCTTCTTGTACCTGCAGACACAGTCAAACCCAGGAATGGTCAGGTGACATTGTTTTGCTCATACACCACAAATCTCAGGAGCCCCTGGTGGTGCAATGGGTTAAACCCTTGTGCCAGCAAGATTGCTGACCGAAAGGTCGGTGGTTCAAATATGGGGAGTGGGGTGAACTCCCATCTGTCAGCTCCAGCTTCTCAGCTGTCATGAGTAGTGTAAAAGGATAGCACCCCAACTGTTTTCCTCTGAACAAATGGATAGGCTGCTCTCACTCCCTCTCCCACCACCTCTGAGAAATTATTCTTACAAGGAACCCTACAAGGGTACAGGAATGAGTTAGAGCTCTCCAGACATTGTCATTTCTATCAGCTTCTCGAAGAGGAACCCTCCTTAATGACAAACCACTTACTCATAGGTTTTCACAAGCTGGTACAGGCACAGTAGGCTTCCTAGCCAGCTCCCGCTATTTGGAGACTGCAAGTAATAGCCTATTTTGTCCACCACTGCTGTCCAGTGTCCTGGGAAGTCATGTTTTATGATAGCACGGAGACACATTGTCAGCTGGGCCCTGAGAGAATGGAGAAGAAAGAAAGGGGGGAAAAAAGGAAGAAGATTATATTGCTCATATGAGAAAAGAGAGGAAAGATTCCAGGAAAAAGGTCAAGAGGTAGATGAAGGTTGTCTCCAATAAATTGGCCCCCATGGTTTTCTGCCATCAGTTCCCCTATGGAAATTATACTCCTATGCTAATATACATTAGTGATTTACTGCAATTTGGCCAATGCATATTTGTACTGCAAGGAAGACAACCTGGAATAAGTTGCACCCTGACAAACAAGATATCACCCCTTTTGGACATATAGACAGTATTTTAGGGCATTTTAAGGTAAACATTTGAAAGAAATTGCAAAAATTCATTTTGATCTCAAACAGGGTTCAGGGAGACTTCAAACATCCCCAGATATCACTTTTGAGCATTTTAGAGCTGAAATCATATTGTCCATTCCAAACTTTGCATGGATTAATGATAGAAATGAGGGGCCCCAGTAGCGCCGCAGGTTAAACTGCTGAGTACCTGAACTTGCTGACCGAAAGGTCGGTAGTTTGAATCCAGGAAGCAAAGTGAGCTCCCGCTGTTAGCCCCAGCTTCTGCCAACCCAGCAGTTCGAAAACATGCAAATGTGAGTAGATCACATTTAGGTACCGCTTCAGAGGGAAGGTAATGATGCTCTATGCCGTCATGACAGCCACATGACCTTAGAGGCGTCTACAGACAACAATGGCTCTTTGGCTTAGAAATGGAAATTAGTACCACCCCAGAATCGGACTCGACTAGACTTAATGTCAAGGGGAAACCTCTACCTTCATTTTTTATTATAGTAATGTGCAATCATTACTGTTTGCAAATAAAATAATAATTTTGACCCTGGGGGGAGTACTAGAGAGCCACATGAAACCTGTGGCCACATTTTGCCCATTCATAATTATGCAATAAATAAATAAGGTTTATATTTATTTGCCTTTATTTGAAATAAATCCCAAACTCAAGGTAGGAAACTTTTGATCTTCCCTATTTTTATACCTCTCACCTGCCCCACCCAGCTTGGCCAAAAGGAAGGGAAATTATGGGAACTGTAGTCCAACCATCAGAAAGGCCAATCAATCTCCAAACTAACCTGGCAGCATCATTCAGTGGAGGTGAAATATTGTATCATTTTTAACCAACCAGTAGCTCAGTGGTTCTCAGCCTGTGGGTCCCCAGGAGTTTTGGCCTTCAACTCCCAGAAATCCTAACAGCTGGTAAACCGGCTGAGATTTCTGAGAGTTGTAGGCCAAAACACACTTGAGGATCACTGCAATAACTGAACGTGATCCATCTTTCAACTCTATTCAAATCAAATATCTGCATAATGTCCATAAAATGCCCAAGGAGGCCGAATCATATTATCCGTTTCCAGATCCTGCATGAGATCACATTATGCTCTCATTATTGTTTTCATCTGGACCACTTAGCGGGCAGAATTAGGAATGTTCATTCTCTTGCTTCTCTAAACATTGTCACTAACAAGATATTTCAATAGTTTTTCAATTTCCTTATCATCTGGGAAACAAAAGGATACAGACATTCACACTGAACATCATAAACATCACTTACCATTACCCTTAATAAAGCACCATTTCGTTTTTGGGGGGAAATTAATACAAAAATTTGAAGAGTAAACATAAACAATACAAAGCATATGAGCTGTATAATTTATTCCAAACATAATTATTCATTTCAATGCTAGATGTATTAGGTATAAAAACAAAGAGATTTTCTGGCAGATGTTCTTGAACCCTGACAAACCTCACTAAGTCTGGAGAGCGAATGATTCCTTCCACAATGTTATCTCGAATCTGCTGTCGATCATTTTCATGAATGTTGAATGGAAATATCACTTCACCAGGTGGTGGCTCCCGATCTGGCCAGTACTGTGTCACCATGTTCTTCAGGTAAATAGCCGCTGAATTGAAAGAAGACGAAATACACATTATAACCTGAGAAAGTACCACAAGGAGGGCTGGTTAAAAACCATACATCAAATAAAGTGTTGGAAACTATTAGTCATATAGATGTTTTGTATTATAACTTCCACAGTCCCTCGCCAGTTAGCATGTTGGGGGCGGCACTAGGAGGGACACAGATTTAAAACCTTTGTTTGAAACAAAGAATCAGAGCAATCTGTTATGGAAGTCCTAGTTTATTTGTTTTGTTTTTTTGTCGTGTCAGAAAACTGCAAATCACTCCTGGTGTGAGAGAACTGGCGATCTGCAAGGGATACCCAGATGTGCTACTATCCTGAGGGAGGCTTCTCTCATGTCCCTGCATGAGAAACTGGAGCTGACAGGCGGGAGCTCACCCCGTCTCACGGATTCAAACCACCGACCATCAGGTCAGCAGTTCAGTCGGCACAAGGGTTTAACCCATTGAGCCACCACTGCTCCTATGGAAGTCCTAGTGGGAAATAGTAAACATGGATTTGTAGCTGAGCAAAGGCCCCTTTCAGTCACACAGAGGTCTGTTACACTGAAATAGCTTCATAGCTGCTTTGTAGATGTAGATGAAGCTGGTAGCATGAGTTTTTCCACTTGACTGACACATCTCCCTTCTGGTGGCATAACAAACAAGTGGAAAAGATATCTTCATTTGGATATCTTTTGCAGTCATATGGAACTACACCATAAGGAAGCAACTGCCTTCCATCTGTCAGTGCTGCAGAAGAAAAACGGGCCCCTTGGGAAGTGCAATCTCATACATATGAAGAGGTCTGGAGTCACAAGGCATAATCCTTTCAGTGTTTGGTGTGCACTTTCTACAGCCAAGAGTAAGGAAATGACAATCTAATAATTCCACGTACACACAATCTGTTCTTTCTCCATTTGTATTACTGATTCTATTTACTAAATAGATCTAGATACTAACAAACATAAATAGATTGCAACAGTATAGCACAGGAAACCTGACATAGAATACAAAAATAGAGTGGGGAGGGCAATAAAAATAATCAAATAACAAATGAAAGCAACATTGCCAGATTACTTTCCAGGGAAAGCTCAAATGAACAAAAAAAAAAAAAGAATGTTCATAGCCTTAAGGCAGACATTCAGGCCATGCAACACCATGAAGAGGACTTCGCTTGAAGACCACAGTAACGACATAAGGGGATAACCAGGACTGCTTCATCAATATTTGCACTCTGTAAGATAGAACTGGCTATAAACTGAATGGAGTGAAGTTTTGCAGTTTACACTTTATGCCAGCTGCTTGACAATTTAGATGTAGATCTTCATAGAGAAACATGAATGATTGCTAAGGAAGGGATACATTTTTGTCCATAGTCCTGCAATGCATCCCCATACTGGGACTGTAAGCAGTTTATGACAGCAAAGGATAAGAGGCCATGCACCAGCTCTCTAATGTCAATGGATGAACGTGTTGATGACTGGACCACTAAAAGAAACACGTTAGGAGAAGCAGCTACTTTACATCTTTAATATTAGTCTGTGACCTATCCACATTCAATCCCACAGATACATTTCCTCATCTTGTTATAATGCTGGATGCCATGTTATTGTACTGGAAGTATAGTCCAACTCAAGATGGGAATAGTACAGCTCAAACATAGGTGTTCATTTTCTACCATGGAATTATGTGACATTTACTAGTAAAGATGCTGCTATGGCCACGAGCTTAACTAGATTTTTAAAACATTTAAATAAGATATATCTATCAATGGCTGTTAGCAATAATAACAAAAAATGGGACGCCTGTATTCAGAAGCTTGCCATTTGCTTCGACCAAAGATGGCTTTCTCCAAAATGCTTGTGAGCTTTCCTTGGATTCATAAAACAGATAAATTGCTTTGTTCATTAAAATCGGGTCTTCCTAGCTAAGATCAGCAAGACATTAAAGAAGAATATAGTACTTTAGTTTGATTATGTATGATAAAGCAATTCCTAGAGTAAATTTAGCTCACCTGCCTGCCGGACTGGGAATTCCACTTGATCAGAAACAATGATCTGTAGCAGACTAGGAGCAAAGTTGATGATCTTGTAGGACTGAAATGTATACAAAAAATTAATCAGCAAAGTATGACATATTCTAAATGTTGAAGATTTAAGGAAGAGTTCCAAGTCTGGTAAGCACTTGCAATGTTAAACACTTTTACAGAATAAGAGTGAACCATATGCTTAACACTCTCTCACTGAACACAGACCAGATTATAATCAATGGCACAGCTGTGTCAGTCTGGATAAGAATACAAGAGTAGTGCCCTTGAGACTGAGAGGACCCAAGGGAACTTCCAGGCTTTAGCAAAAGCTTTTGTAGGTTCGGTCTGCTTAATCAGTGTTGCAATGAAAGCATTACTCTGCTCCAGAGTCCAAGGCTAAGTTTGATAAACAGTGAAAGGGGGGGTTGTTTTGTTTTCAACATATGCCCACTCTAATCTCTGCAGAACTTCAGAGTGGAAGGGATTTTAAAAGTTTCCCCTCCAAATGAAGTACACACACTTGTTTTCATTGTAGGCACAGTATTTTAAAATACTAGACTTGTTGTTTACTCATTCACTCGCATCTGAGTCTTCGTGACCTCATGGACCAGACCACACCAGAGCTCCCTGTCAGCCGTGGCCATCTCAGCTCCTTCATGATCAAGTCAGTCACTTCAAGGATAACACCCAACCATCTTGCCTTTGGTCGGCCCCTCTTCCTTTTTCCCCAGCATTGTTATCTTCTCGAAACTTTCCTGTCTTCTCATTATGTAGCCAAAGTACTTCATCTTTGCCTCTAATATCCTTCTCTCCAGTGAGGAGTCAGGCTTTACTTTCTGGAGTATGGACTGGTTTGACCTTCTTGTGGTCCAAGGCATTCTCAGAATTTTCCTCCAACACTACAGTTCAAAAGTGGCTATCTTCCTTCGCTCAGCCTTCCTTATGGTCCAGCTCTCCCATCCATAGGTTACTACGGGGAATACCATTGCTTTAACTATGTGGATCTTTGTTGTCAGTGTGATGTCTCTACTATTAACTATTTTATCAAGATTGGCCATTGCTTTCCTCCCAAGAAGTAAACATTTTCTGATTTCCTGGCTGCAAACTGCATCTACAGTAATTTTTGTGCCTAGAAATACAATGTCTGTCACTGCCTTTGTGGCTCTGGGCATTTGGATAATGTGGAGTATCTCTGGTTTGGCAGCTGCAAGAACAGACTTGTGTGGACATTTTTACAATCTTTTTGGGGATCAAAAAATACCCCAGATAAAAAGTACTCAGTGGAAGGTGAATCTTTTTTAAATGCCTGGATAAAAATTCAAACATTGTCCGAGTTCCAAGAGCTTCCACAATGCAAACTAGAAGTCCTGTGTGCCAAGGATCTTTCCTTCCCATGTTAATGGAAAATTCAAACTTTTGGGGTGTTATAGTAAATTGTTCATCCAGTTTTGAACCAATCCAAATGTAATCCAACATGGCAGAAGGGCAACTATGTACTGTATGGCCATCTCTTAGTCTCATTCACCATATCTAACCAACTTTCATACCAACTTTTTCTAACCAACTTTCATTAACTTAAATACATTTTCCATAGAAACCAGATGGCTTTGAATGGATACAGTTGACAAAATTGCCTTCACAATTCCTCCTGGTTCAAATAGAACTCTTTTTCTATCCAAATATTTGTGATATGTCTTAAGCTGCCTTGGCTAATGAATTTATTCATCCTCCTATAGTACCAGACACTGAACAGTACCAAAATGTGCATGAACAAAAAGGAAATCTAAGACCAGTCCTGGTTAATCAGCACCAGCCATTCCTGGACAGCACCCCACAGCATCTATTGCTGTTTTCCTCTGGATATACACTGTCCCAATTTCTTAACACATGCTCTGCAGTTACACAGGCTGCTAAACTGAAATGAAAATGAATACTATTGGGATTTTATCAAAAGGCTAAGAAAATGTTTATGAACCATTTCCTAGCAAAATGATAAAACAAAAGCAATTGAATACTCAGAAGGGTGCATTTCAATCCATATTTGACCCTAGAGAAATGCACGATGCAATCAAGATATCAATTATTAAGTATCACTGGATTCAAACAGGAAGCTCCCAAGGCTAGGCAGCTGTTGTCAGCATCACCAGGACCAATGTCAAAAGGAACTGTAAGCTGTAGTCCTACAAATTGGATGATATCAGATGTGTTTTATCAACCCACTGTCTGCTATAAAATCATCCGATCAACTACACTTTTTCAGTCAATATAATTTGTTTCCTAACTGAAGAATGCTCTCAGTCAAGACTACACAAAGGCGCAGTCCAAGTGAATAATGACCACCCTGCTGTAGGAACGTGAACGCATCATTGGTTCGCCTCAGTTTCTTCCTCATAAAAACTATCTTCAATAAATTGTATCCCCCTCCCCAAAAAAAGATGTGAATAACCAAAAAAGAAGACCCACTATAAAAATGTTTTTGAATCCTTTTTATATCAGTATTACATTTGCAGATTCCGACATACCATCTGTTTTTAAATATACTGTAGCACACACAAACACACTTAACCCTTTCAGTCTGATAATTTCAAGGGTTATTATTTAGCCCACCAAAAATAATATTTTGTAACATGTTGTTGTTGTTGTTCATTCGTTCAGTCGTCTCCGACTCTTCGTGACCTCATGGACCAGCCCACGCCAGAGCTCCCTGTCGGCCGTCACCACTCCCAGCTCCTTCAAGGACAGTCCAGTCACTTCAAGGATGCCATCCATCCATCTTGCCCTTGGTCGGCCCCTCTTCCTTTTGCCTTCCACTTTCCCCAGCATAGTTGATGTTAAGTAACCTACCTAACTACATATGATTTAAGATTATCTTTAGAGGGACAGTGTGATGTATTGTTGACCCAGAAGAACAGCTCGAAAATAAAGTTTTTGATCAGCACAATATCTGTGGATTTTTTTTGTCTTTATTTCATTGTCGGAATCAGAGCCAGAGTTTTATAGAGGTACCAAGAAATAGTTTTTAAGGCATGTGTGGGTGCAATAGAGGATACAGATATACTGCTGTTTGTACATGCTTTGAAAATTGATTTGTATCATATACTGCCCTGAATCCATATTTTTCCTATTTAGAAAATCTCAAATAAAGCTTTTGCCAAATGAGCTACAAATTAACTTCCTGCTGAGTCCTTAAATCGTTTATTTAGAACATATAAAACCAAATGCTGGCAGCATAGGACTTCTTGGATCACTGGGAGCATCTTGGTCTCCAGCCAAAGTTCACAAACTTTTCATTCCCTGTCATTTATCATAACTCAGCTGTTTCATGACATTTTAAACAATTAATTTACCACAGAATCACATTGTTGACTCATGGCTGAACCATGATTTTTGTACATCTGGACTTTATACCCCAACCTATTGACGAGCTTCTGTGTGGAGAGGGTGGTGAAATGCTAACAGGGAATAGGGAAAAGGCAGAGTTGCTCAACACCTTCTTTGCCCGTCTTCTCCCAAAAGGAGATTAGTGTTCAACCAGAGCAATATGAAGTGGACAAGGTAACAGGGGAAATGCAACCCAAAATAAGTAAAGAAGTAGTCCAGGAATACCTGGCTACTCTAAATGAATTCAAGTCTCCAGGGCCAGATGAACTGTATCCAAGAGTATTGAAGGAACTAGCAGAAGTCATTTCAGAACCACTGGCAATACTTCTTGTGAATTCTTGAAGAACAGGAGCAGTCCCAGCAGACTGGAGGAGGGGAAATGTCCCTATCTTCAAAAAGGGAAAAAAGAAGACCAAAACTATTTCCATACAGTCAGCCTGACACAATACCAGGAAAGATTCTGGAGCAAGTCATTAAGGAGGCAGTCTGCAATCACTTAGAATGGTCTGCCGTGATCACTAAAAGTCAACATGGATTTCTCAAAAACAAGTAATGTCAGACTAATCTAATCTCTTCTTTTGATAGAGTTACAAACTTGGTAGATGCAGGGAATGCTGTGGATGTAGCATATCTTGATTTCAGTAAGAGCTTCAACAAAGTCCCACATGACTTTCTTGTAAGCAAACTAGTGAAATGTGAGCTATGCAATGTTACTATTTGGTGGATCTGTAATGGATTAAGCGACCGAACCCAAAGGGTGATCAGCAATGGTTCCCCTTCATCCTGGAAAGAAGTGACTAGTGGAGTGGAGCAGGGTTCCGTCCTGGGCCCAGTACTGTTCAACATCTTTATTAATGACTTGGATGAAGTCATTAATAAAGGGCATGCTTATCAAATTTGCAGATGAAATCAAATTAAGAGGGATAGCTAATACTCCAGAAGACAGGATCGAAATTCAAAAGGACGTCAACAGATTAGAGAGCTGGACCAAAACTAACAAAATGAATTTCAACATGAACAAATGTAAAATACTACACTTAGGCATAAAAAATGAAATGCAAGAATACAGAATGGGTGGTGCCTGGTTCAACAACAGTTCCTGTGAAAAACATCTTGGAGTCTTTGTGGACAACAAATTCAACATGAGCCATCAGTGTGATGTGCAGCAACTAAAAAAGCCAATAGGATTTTGGGCTATATCAAAAGAAGTATAGTGTCTACATCGAGGGAAGTCATAGTGCCTTTGTATTCTGCTTTGGCTAGACCTCACCTGGAATACTGTGTCCAGTTTTGGGCACCACAGTTCAAAAGAGATATTGACAATCTGGAAGGTATCCAGAGACATGATAGCCATGTGAAAGGGTGTCATAAGGAAGAGGGAGCAGGTTTGTTTTCTGCTGCCCTTGAAACTAGGACTAGGAGCAATGGGTTCAAACTACAGGAAAGGAGATTCCACCTGAGAATTAGGAAGAACTTCCTGACCATACAAGCTATTCAACAGTGGAACTCTCTGCCTCGGAATGTGGTGGAAGCTCTTTCTTTGGAAACCTTTAAACAGAGGTTGGGTGGCCATCTTTCAGGGATACCTTGATTGTGCTTTTCCTGCATGGCAAGGGGTTAGACTAGATGACCCATATGGTCTCTTCCAACTCTATTATTCTATGATTCTGTGACAGCCAGTCATGCTGCTGCTTAGTAGGCTTATCATGGGGCTGTGATCTAATATAATGTAATTCAATGTGCTATGTATATCATAATTCCATTAAATGAGAAAGCTCCTATTAACTGTTTACTCGTTTATAGAAATGGGGTACCTAAAAAAGGGAAACATTTAAAAATCCTAGGTGTGGAAATTTCAGTATGCAAAGGGATTTTGAGCATCTGTTTCCCCAGATGTTGCCTGTCACCAAAGGTCCTTGAGAGGGCAATGTTGCTTTCCAAAGGAGGTTGTAATTCATTGATGATATGTCTGATGATACATCTGATCAACTGCACCCACTCGGATGTATCATCAATGAATTACGGCCTATTTTGGACAACACTGCCTTCTCGAAAGCTCTTGGTTCTTCCTAATGTTCAGGTGGAATCTCCTTTCCTGTACTTTGAAGCCATTTTTCCTCATCCTAGTCTCCAGGGCAGCAGAAAACAAGCTTGCTCTCTCCTCCCTATGACTTCCCCTCACATATTTATACATGGCCATCATGTTTCCTCTCAGCCTTTTCTTCTGCAGGCTAAAGATGCCCAGCTCTTTAAGCTGCTCCTCATAGGGCTTGTTCTCCAGACCCCTGATCATTTTAGTCTCCCTTCTCTGGACACATTCCAACTTGTCAACATCCCCCTTCAATTGCGGTGCCCAGAACTGGACACAGTATGATTCCGGGTGTGGTCTGACCAAGGCAGAATAGAGGGGTAGCATGACCTCCCTGGATCAAGACACTAGACTCCTATTTATGCAGGCCAAAATACCTTGATTCATGTCTGGGTTATTGATATTACACAAGTGAAACTTCCCTTATCCGGGAATTCAAAATTCTCAGTTCGGGCTTCGCCTATCTCTGTGATTGCATCTCCCCCTATAAACCGGCATGGACTCTTAGATCTTCTGGGGAGGCCCTTCTCTTGCTCCCGCCACTACCTCAAGTGCGGCTGGTGGGAACGAGAGAGAGGGCCTTCTCAGTGGTGGCCCCCCACATTTGGAACAACCTCCCCAGAGAGCTAAGACAAGCTCAGTAACTAGCTTCCTTCTGAACAGAAGACCTGGTGGTTCCAGCAGGCTTTTGATAATGATTAGCCTCAGGCACTGCCTTGACCATTAGTTAAGGCCCTGTTCTGCATTTTACCCACTTCCCTGGCCCTATGTTTCCCATTGGCCTTCTCGTATCTATGCCTCAGGCCTTGGAAATAAATAGCTCCAGATCCCACCCTGACTATCATGCAGGATCATGCTTGCACTTTATCCACTCCCCTGGCCCTAGTTCACTTTGTTATATTAGTCCAGCCCTCTCATAGTTATCGAGACCCACTCTCAAATCTTGGCCTTAGGTAACTGAACTTGCAAGATGGAATTAGCACTGAATTGGTTTTTAATGTATGTCTGCTTTATAGTATTACGTCTTTGTTTATAATTGATTACTTGTATATTTTTATGTCTGTAACTGCAATGTCTGATTACTTGTATATTTTTATGGCTACAATTGCAATGTCTGACTTATCTTGGAAACCGCCCTGAGTCCCCCTGAGACAGAGTGGTATACAAATAGATTATTATTATTATTATTATTATTATTATTATTATTATTATTATTATGCCTCCAAAATCTGAGAATGACGGCTGAGAACTTTGCTTTGTGATGCTCCAGAGTACACAACACATGGTTTCGTAAATAAAATTGTTTATAATATTGGGCACAAAATTACTTTTGTGCTAGGCATAACATAAATGTTGGGTTTAGACTTGGGTCCCATCTCTAACCTATCTCATTATGAACCTATATCAGGCATGGGCCAACTTGGGCCCTCCAGGAGTTTTGGACCTCAACTCCCACCATTCCCCTTCCTTTTTCCCCTCCACTAGACATAACATAAACGTTGGGTTTTGACATCTCCAAGCTATCTCATTATGGACCTAGATCAGGCATGGGCCAACTTGGGCGCTCCAGGAGTTTTGGACCTCAACTCCCAGCATTTCTAACAGCCTTGGGCCCCTTCCTTTTTCCCCTCCACTAGACATAACATAAACGTTGGGGTTTGACATCTCCAACCTATCTCATTATGGACCTATATCAGGCATGGGCCAACTTGGGCGCTCCAGGTGTTTTGGACTCCAACTCCCACCATTCCTAACAGCCTCAGGCCCCTTCCTTTTCCCCCTCAGCCGCTTAAGCGCCCATGTTTGGTGTAGACCTTTTGGGCCTTCACCTCCCATCATCTCTGGCCACCATTGCTTCCCTTCCTCTTCTGGGGCTTTTGGGTGGGAAGAATTGGCAAGACTCTCTCCAGAGGAGGAATAAAGAAGGCCCCATTTGGCAGAAAAGGGTTGAGCAAAGGCAGAAGAAAGCAGCCATGAAAGGGAAGGAGAAAAGCCAAGCCACCTTCTCCAGGAAGGAACAAAGCCCCTCAAACAGGGAGGGAGGGAGGGGATGGAAGAGCCGCCGATCCCGGAAGTGTCCCCCTCCCTCCGCCAACCGAAGGGGGAGGCCGGCCCTGAGGAAGGACTCTCACCTGGTTGAGTTCATTCTCGGCTGCCAGCCTCAGCTTCGGATCAATAGTGCCTTTGAGGGCCTGGATGATCCTGTTGGGATCCATGGCCTTGCCTTGGCGAGGAGGAGGAGGTGAGCGGAAGGGGGAGGGTGGCGCTTTAGGGGGAACAGCCGCCGCTCAGGCTCTCTCACCCGCTTGCCTCTCCCCAGAAGCCATTCACCGGTTTACGACAGTCGGGGTTGTCGCGAAACAGTTGCTTTACGTCCTCTCTGGCCTTCTCTTCCTCTCGCGGGGCTGGAATGCGGGGCGACATGTTGTTGTACGGAACAGATACGATTCCCGTCTGCTGACGAAGCTGGCCTACATCGCCTCCTTGGAACTGGAGGCGGCCATGATTGGTTACGGAAAGAGACCTCTTGCTTCTAGACTTCAATCCTTTTGCAATTGTTGGTTGCTCCAACTAATGATAATAGTGGGCTTTGCGAATGAGTCGGATGGATTATAGAATCAAAGAGTTGGAAGAGACCTCATGGGCCATCCAGTCCAACCCCCTGCCAAGAAGCAGGAATATTGCATTCAAATCACCCTGACAGATGGCCATCCAGCCTCTGTTTAAAAGCTTCCAAAGAAGGAGCCTCCACCACACTCCGGGGCAGAGAGTTTCCACTGCTGAACTGCTTTCATAGAATCATAGATCAAAGAGTTGGAAGAGACCTCATGGGCCATCCAGTCCAACCCCCTGCCAAGAAGCAGGAATATTGCATTCAAATCACCCCTGACAGATGGCCATCCAGCCTCTGTTTAAAAGCTTCCAAAGAAGGAGCCTCCACCACACTCCGGGGCAGAGAGTTCCACTGCTGAACAGCTATTTGAAATCAAAGAGTTGGAAGAGACCATGGGCCATCCAGTCCAACCCCCTGCCAAGAAGCAGGAATATTGCATTCAAATCACCCCTGACAGATGGCCATCCAGCCCCTGTTTAAGCTTCCAAAGAAGGAGCCTCCACCACACTCCGGGGCAGCGAGTTCCACTGCTGAACGGCTCTCACAGTCAGGAAGTTCTTCCTTGTGTTCAGATGGAATCTCCTCTCTTGTAGTTTGAAGCCATTGTTCCGCGTCCTAGTCTCCAGGGAAGCAGAAAACAAGCTTGCTCCCTCCTACCTATGACTTCCTCTCACATATTTATACATGGCTATCATGTCATATCTAACAACCCTAGATATGCAGATGACACCACTTTGATGGCCGAAAGCGAGGAGGAGCTGAGGAGCCTTCTAATCAAGGTGAAAGAAGAAAGAGCAAAAGCTGGGTTGCAGCTAAACATCAAAAAAACCAAGATTATGGCAACAAGAATGATTGACAACTGGGAAATAGAGGGAGAAAATGTGGAGGCCGTGACAGACTTTGTATTTCTAGGTGCAAAGATGACTGCAGATGCAGACTGTAGCCAGGAAATCAGAAGACGCTTCCTTCTTGGGAGGAGAGCAATGTCCAGTCTCGATAAAATAGTGAAGAGTAGAGACATCAGACTGGCAACAAAGATCCATTGCCTAGTCAAAGCCATGGTATTCCCTGTAGTCACCTACGGATGTGAGAGCTGGACCTTAGGGAAGGCTGAGCGAAGGAAGATCGATGCTTTTGAGCTGTGGTGTTGGAGGAAAGTTGAAGTACATTGGCCACATCATGAGGAGACAGCAAAGCCTAGAGAAGACAATTATGCTGGGGAAAATGGAAGGCAAAAGGAAGAGGGGCCGACCAAGGGCAAGATGGATGGATGGCATCCTTGAAGTGACTGGACTGACCTTGAAGGAGCTGGGGGTGGTGACGGCCACAGGGAGCTCTGGCGTGGGCTGGTCCATGAGGTCACGAAGAGTCGGAGACGACTGAACAAAAGAACAACAACAGTGTCCCTGACGCACCTATTGGTATATTTAGATCTCAGTGTTCTGCAACACTGATGAAGTACTTCCGCAATCCCCGCATGCTTTTGCTGGAGTGTCTTTTTATGGCCTCATAAATTAGTTAATTTAGCCTCCTCACACAAGGTGGTACCTAATTTTCCTACTTGACAGATGCAACTGTCTTTCGGGTTGCAAAGGTCGACAACAGGCTACACGATTGGTTGGAAACCCACTCCAACCCAGGCTGGCTTCGAACTCATGACCTTTTGGTCAGAGTGATCTTAATGCAGCTGACACTCAGCCAGCTGCGCCACAATCCCGGTGCAACTAATGATAATAGTAGGCTTTGCAAATGAGTCGGATGGATTAGAAAAACTGGAGGAGAGTATTTAAAGGACAGAACCACCTTGTCTCCTGTGCTATGCTAATAATGTAATGTAATGTAATATAATATATAATATAATATAATTTAGTGCAATCTGGTAATGGAATATAGGAATGGAACAATGGACGACGAACCTGGACTACGCTTGGATGATGAGAAGATTGGGTACAGTTGTTTTTCATAATAATTGTGCATTGTAATTGCTTATTGGTAATTTATGGATAATGTGTTAAGTCAATTGTTATATGTTGTATGGAACCACTGCTGTTTCTACTGTTTTTACTGTTTGTGAACCGCTGTGAGTCGCCTTCGGGCTTGAGATACAGCGGTATATAAGCAAAGTAAATAAATAAATAAATAAATAATATTATATATCATCATCATATTTAATTACTTATTAATCGCCCTCCATCCGAGAATGCTCTAGGCGATTTATAGCTAAATTGTAAAAGATAAAATACAAACATACAGAAATTAAAAATTAACAGAGATCGAATGCTCTAGTAAAAAGCCAGGTCTTAAGTGCTAGAGTAAAAGGCCCTAAGTCACGCATGGCTCTCATGTAGGGCAGCAAAGAATTCCATAAGGCCAGGGCAGAAATAGAAAAAGCCCTGCGTCTGGTCCTTTCCAAGTGCACTTCTCTAGGACCCGGTATATAGATATAATATTTATAATATTACAATGAAATGCAATATAATACTAAAAATAATAATATATTATAATTATATATTTATATTACATGTAATATTACTAATAATATTACAATATAATGGTATAGTACAATATCTATATAAATAAAAATGTAATGTTAGTTTGTGGGATTAACAGAACTCAAAAACCACTGGACGAATTGACACCAGATTTGGACACAAGACATCTAACAAGGCAATGTATGTCCTTCACTCAAAAAAAATTGATTTTGTCATTTGGGAGTGGTGTTCACCTACAATCAAAGAGCATTCTGAACTCCACCAATTATGAAATTGAACCAAACTTGGCACACAGTTCTCCCATGACCAACAGAAAATACTGGAAGGGTTTGGTGAGCAATGTCCTTTGGTTCTGGAGTTGTAGTTCACCTACATCCAGAGATCCCTGTGTACTCAAACAATGATGGATCTGGACCAAACTCTACACGAATACTCAATATGCCCAAATGTGAACACTGGTGGATTTGGGGAAAATAGAATCTTGACATTTGGGAGTTGTAGTTGTTGGGATTTATAGTTCACTTACAATCACAGAGCATTCGGAACCCAGCCAATGATAGAATTGGGCCAGACCTCCCACACAGAACCCCCATGTGGGCCACAGCAACGCGTGGCAGGGGACGGCTAGTAATATAATGTAATGTAATATAATATATTGTATATAGATATGTTTATAATATTACAATGTAATGCAATATAATACTATTATCAATATATTATAATTATATATTTCTATTACATGTAATATTACTAATAATATTACAATATAATGGTATTGTACAATATAGTAATATATAATACTGATATTGTACTATGCTAATAATATAATATATTGTATCTATATATATCTTGTAAGCCGCTCTGAGTCCCCTTTGGGGTAAGAAGGGTGGCATATAAATGTCATAAATAAATAAATAAAGTGTGATATTACATTGCTTCCCTAAGAAAGTATGGAGACACAGAGTTGCTGTGAGTTTTCCGGGCTGTATGGCCATGTTCCAGAAGCATTCTCTCCTGACATTGCGCCTACATCTATGGCAGGCATCCTCAGAGGTTGTGAGGTCTGTTGGAAACTAGGAAAGCGGGGTTTGTATATCTGTGGAATGGCTTTTGTCAACACTTGAGTTCTATGATATTTCTTTGTGCGTCCAGCTCAGCGGCAGACAGGTCACTCATTCCCTAGAAAAGTTTGAAGACACTTTTCTGTCTTCAGGTATTACTTTCTATATTTCAGGTGCTTTCTCTTACATTTCTTACATTCTGTTATACCTTTTTATCCCTTTTAAAATAGTCGTAGCTTTTATTGCTCTTGGGGTGCATCTACAGTGCAGAATCAATGCAGTTTGAGGCCACTTTTAGTGCCATGGCTCAATGCAATGGAAATATGGGAGTTATCTTAAAGATGTCCGCTGATCATCTTATATCAATCGATGTCAAAACTTTTCCCCGCGATCTTTATTCATGTCATAATTATGTAATTTCTCTCAAAAAACCAATATCTTACAGTTGTTGGATCAATAGTTAAAGGTAAAGCTTCCCCTTGACCTTAAGTGTAGTTGTGTCCAACTCTGGTAGGTGGTGCTCATCTCCATGCCGTTGTCCGTAGACACTTCCAAGGTCATGACTGTATGGAGTGCCGTTACCTTCCCACCAAAGCGGTACCTATCGATCTACTCACAGGTGCATGTTTTCAAATTGCTAGGTTGGCACAAGCTGGGGCTAACAGTGGGAGCTCACCCCGCTCCCCAGATTTGAACGGCCAACCTTTTGATCAGGAAATTCAGCATATCAGTGGTTTAACCTGCGCCACCAGGAGCAGATAAAAACACACTAAAACATAAAAATATAAAAACTAATTACAATGGCATTCCATCAGACAGTAGCCAGGAATGACTAAAATGGGCATGTCCAAGCTAAGAAGGGCTGGGTAGGGATAGTGCAGTGTACTATAGGGCCAGGAAAGTGGATGAAGTGCAAAACAGAGTACTGTCTGGCAACCTAAGGACTGGGCATTTATAAACAAAGACTAGTTGTTCTCGAATGCTTGTTGAAATATCCAAGTTTTCAAATTTCTGCAAAAGGACAATGTGGGAGCTTGTTAAATCTCCCTGGTCCAAAGGCGGGGGACCACCACCAAGAAGGCCTTCTCCCTCGTCCCCAGCAGTCATGCTTGTGACAGTGGTGGAAATGAGAGGACCTCCCCATCAGATCTAATACTCATGTCAGTTCATAGGGGGAGATGCAATCATGAAGACAGGCAGGGCCCAAACCATTTAGGACTTTGTAGGGCATAAGCTGCTCCTTGAATTGGGACCAGAAAGTTATCGGCAGCCAGTGGACCTGGTTTAATAGGGACATTGTGCACTCCCTGTAATTAGCTCCAATTAGAAGCCTGGCTTCTGACCTATGGACCAATTGCAGTTTTCAGGCCATCTTCAAAGGTAGTCCCACATAGAGTGCATTGCAATAATCTGGATGTAACCAAGGCATGGACCACCGTGGCCAAATCAGACTTCTTGAGGTATGGTCACAGCTGGCGCACAAGTATTTGGTAAAGCCTGTCTGAGTCAAGTCCTTCCTTTCCCCCCAAAAAAACTAATCTTAAAAGTTCCCATTTACTGAATGGTCGTCAGAATCTTTGTAAACTATATATCCCTTTATATTATAATGCTGAAATTTGTCTTGTCGAGACTAGCAATTGGATTGCTAGAAGCTGCCATGAGGAGCTACAAGCCATGTTTCTATGTAGAATGGAGCTATTTTTAAAACTATAGCTATGTATTTTTCTGAAAGGGAAGCACTCTGGACAGGATATATTAATATGGATTGTTGTAGGTTTTTCAGGCTATATGGCCATGTTCTAGAAACATTCTCTCCTGACGTTTCGCCTGCATCTATGGCAGGCATCCTCAGAGGTTGCAAGGACCTCACAACCTCTGAGGATGCCTGCCATACATGCAGGCGAAACGTCAGGAGAGAATGCTTCTAGAACATGGCCATATAGTCTGAAAAAACCTACAACAACCCAGTGATTCTGGCCATGAAAAGTTTCAACAATATATTAAAATGGCAATCTCTTCCCTTTCACACTGACTCTCGCTGTAAGCCAACTACTGCTTAAGACAGAAGAAATGAGAATCTAAGAAATGGTTGCTTACCTGCATCTTTGGTTCTTTGACTGGTCTATCTGTGCCCTCCACACAATGAAGTCTCTGATCAGGCGCAAAAACCCATTTGTGTGAGACAGACCATTATTTTTATTTTTTTTAAAAAATGCATTGAAAAGTTGTCATATCTGTTTAAAACTGGTGTTACACCACCAACAAAACTAAAAAAATGAGGCAAACACATAGAGAACTTTAACACTATTTTATTGATTCAACTCGATAATTGATGGAACTTCAGAGTTTTTCCCCCCACAACAATGATTTCACAAAAAAATAATCGTAATCAGGATATGGAGGACTGGTTCAGAAAGAACAGAGAGGGAAGGTGCATGTTTGAATCCTTGTTTGGCCATGAAAAACCACTGGATGATTCTGAGCAAGTCAAACTCTTAACCTGGGGGGAGATATTTTCATTTTAGGGTCGCTATAAATTGAAAGCAACTTAGGGGACAGAATGATAGACAGATTAGAGAATAACTGTTTTTAAGGAGGATTGCCAATGCAATTGAGTCATCAGTCACCAAAACAAAATATAGAAAGGGTTGAGAAGGTGTGAGAAGGGCGGCATATAAATGTCGTAATAAATAAATAGGGATATAATGGGGAATAGGAAGCACTGTACAGGACAAGAAAAGAAAACAAGATCTGGAACATGAAAAAGAAAAACACAGATTACCATATCAGTTCATTATCTTCAGTGAATGGGGAGAATATCATAGTGAGTTTCGTGCTTTCTTTGAAAGCAGTGCTATGTTTAGAAGTTTCAAGGCCCTGCTCCTGGACTTGGCACAGTCTCAGGATGTCTGGCTGGTTCATGTGAATTGCATGCCATGGAGTAGCTCCTTCAAGCTTTTCAGCCTCCACAACATCAAACTAGGCAAGGCAACATTCTTTCAAAAGATGTTGGGGGCCAGCTTTCACCCCCTTTAAACCACCATCTGGTTGCTGTGATAGGCAAGAGTCCAAGAAATATATAGCCAAAACAAATTAACAGCAGCGCCCCCTTTTCTTGAACATTGCATACAATAGAATGGAGGAAATGAGTGACCTGCTTCCAGCTGAGCTGAATAGAATAGAATCTAGCTAATTTGCAAGGTCTTGTTTGAAGGAAATGGGAATAGTCCAATGTATGCAGAATGTTTTCACTATTTGAAGGCGAACAGAATTGTGTGACACCCCTGAAGCAATGAACTATGTAGAGTGGGGTGCTCAAAATGCAATCCTGGTACTCCACGCAGCTCCTGCTCCCAGGCTATTTGTGTGTGCTACTGGCTTTCTTCTTCTCTGGCAAGCCTTTGTCTTCTGAAAGCTTTCAAGATTAGTGGTTCACCTTTTAAGTAGGTAGAAGAGTAACTCTCCCTAAACCTAATACTAAATAAACTAATATAACAAGTAGATATTATACATTCTGGGTCTACGCTATCCTTTCTCCCACAGTAATTTTGTCATACAAAAACTATGACTCCCAGTATGTTGTATTCAGAACAAGAATGCATAACCTTGTGCTTCAGCATCAAGGATACTATTGTTACTCAGTTTGCCTACTCATTACGTACTAATAATATCCCTGACTAACAAGTAGATATTATACACTCTGGGTCTACGCTATCCTTTCTCCCACAGTAATTTTGTCATACAAAAACTATGACTCCCAGTATGTTGTATTCAGAACAAGAATGCATAACCTTGTGCTTCAGCATCAAGGATACTATTGTTACTCAGTTTGCCTACTCATTACATACTAATAATATCCCTGACTACAGACAGTCCCTGAGTTACAAACAAGATAGGTTCAGTAAGCGTGTTCTTATGTTGAATTTGTATGTAAGTTGGAAGGGGTACATTTTTTGAGTGTTACTCCATACCAAAAAAACATATTATTAAAGTTCTAGATAGCATAGTAAAGGATCAACAACCCTGGAACTTTTTACTGTTTATGCCCTTTCAGAAGATTTCACCTCACTTTGTGTCCTTGAAACAACTGGTTCTTGAAAATTTTGTGTTGTTGATAAAACTAGGATTGGTTATAAAGCTTCAGTGGAGACACATTTTTCCCCATGACAATTCTTACAGGAGTGATTTTCCCTTCCTAGGGGCATATTTCCCCAAGACATATGTGAACCTTCTTCTGGTCCCAAACCAAGTCACCCTAACACCATCCACCTTACATTGAGTAAACAATCCTAAAAAGTAAGACTTTGTTCCAATGAGCAAAGGTAGATGCCATCATGGCACATGCTACTAAACATCTACAAGGACAGAAATCTTGTATTAGATAAACGGAGAAAACCGAGAGCAAAGCATGTCAAAAGATTGATTCACATCTTAACAGTATTAGGACAGTTTTATTATGTAATACGGGAACCAGGCCTTTCCCCTGTTGCACACATTGTTGGCAGCTCCACACCATTCCAACATAAAGCAGTTAAAATGGATATCTTGTGTTGGGGGAAGCATTCACTGGGCTATCTGTTATAGACTGAAAGCTATTGGTAATACCAAACAGATTTTAGCAAGTATGTGATAGTTTGGAGAAATCACTTAAGTGTAATTTCCTAGACAGAACTACACTCCTGTATGTGCAAATGTTAACAGCATGTCTTATCACAAAACGGAATGTTTCTTCCACCTCAAATCAGTATGATTTGAGATACAAAAAAACCGAAAGGATAAGGCAGAAATTGGTCTGAGAAACTTGCAGTTAATAAAAGAGGACACAGAAATGACAACCAATGCAGGAAAGCTGGCCATCTTCCAAACACAGAGTTCCATAAGGATCATCTTCCTCTTATGTGGCAGTACTGGTATTAAGAAAAAGAATTATCAGTAAAACAAACACGCCCAAGGTAATGTAGGACTCATGTAAGGAGCTGACTTCTAACAAAAATTGAAATGCTTCCAAAATTAGTTTAATACTAGTTTTTTAAATAGCTAAATTTCATGTTTGTGCTTGTATTCTCATAAAAAGATATGGTTCTCATAATTCTAAAAGTAGTTAGGAAAGGGCCTATAAAATCATTTCAACTATTTGCTTTGATTCTTTAAATCTGGCTTTTTAATATAGAAAAAATATAGCAAAAAAAAAAAGATTGACTAGAAATTTTAGGCAGAAATCTCAAGTTTCTCAAGTCGCTCCTGACACAAAAAAATCCACAAAAATGATTTCCTCCACTTGAACTGCAGATTGTATTTGAGGTTTTCTATATACCAATCCATGTATGAATTTTCCCTTTGAACAGTATCAGAGATCATTTGTACTCATATTTATTTCAGTAGTACAGACACCAATACTAAGGCATATTAATTTTTTATTATTTTAGGCACAAGGCATTGTGGATAGCCTAGACTGGAGGCAAATTTGAGTAGTTTACTAAGATGATAACTACAGTTCAAGAATAAGTGCAAGCAAACATTCACAGCTTTACCATCAAGGCTACATCACAACTGATAAAGTGCCACATCAGTGCTGACCCAACTCCATCTCATTGCAAGACAGATCCCTATACCCACATTTCAGAGTTGTGTTATAAGCAGTCAGTATGCAGTGCAAACTATTTCCCCTAGTTTTCACCTTCCTTCACCAAACTGTTTGGAGCAGCTTTATTGTAAACATAATGTTCAGTCTTGATACAGGAGGTATCCTGAGAATGTAGAATATTTCCAACTACTTCCATAAATCGCTCCTCTATGGAGACGCAGCCAAATCTGGTCTCCTTGAAAAAGCTGCAGGACTGCATGATTACTAGCAGTCTCATGATCCGGAGCACCATCATTGGCGTATGCAGATACTAGAACCTCTTCGTTTTTCATGAGGTTCACATATAGCGGAACATTCACAGCCAGCTTCAACATATGGAATATGAACACATAGGTGCCATTGACAGGACAATTAAACCTACCAAGTTGGATATCAAAGGTGTCGCCAAGGTTGTTTAACAGGAGGTCAAACACGATGGGCTGGTCTAGAGTCCCAGGAGCCAAGTTAGAAGTTCTAGCAGCAGAGAAGGCAACTCTCATCTGCTGCGGGAGGGGATAGACGTGCACAGGAAGGATGGTGGCTGCTTGGCCTGCCACTGGCATGTCAACGGGAGTAATGCTGCGGGAGTCACCCTGCCCAGAATCCCCACTGTTAAAGGCCTCACTGTCACGCTCTGGGCTGCTCACCTGAGAAGAATCACTCCAGCCGGCTGTTGAAGATCATGAGCAATGGTTAGTTCTGGAATACTCTTAAAAATCAGTGAAAAATAAAAACACATTTTGGACTCTTCATGTTTATTTTCTCAAGCTTGTATGTGTAAATTACTTTTAAAATGAGTCATCTGCATACAACCTAGACTAGGCATGTGCAAACTTTGGCCCTCCAGGTGTTTTCGACTTCCACAATTCCTAACAGCTCAATAGGCTGTTTGGAATTGTGGGAGTTGAAATCCCAAAAACCTGGAGGGCCAAAGTTTGATCATGTCTGACCTAGACACATTATAGACCTCCCCCCTTACAATTTCCTATTAATTTTCCTTTTGAATAAAGATGGAGACATACCTTTAAGAGATAACTGGGTGTTTTCCAACAGTTTTATTCCAGTTTTAACTCTAAATCACCACATATACAGCCTATGGACAGGCTGAAAGCATCCCATCATGCTTCAATCACTTTTATTCAGTTTTCTGATCCCCAAGAATTCCTAATCTGGTCCAACATTTGGTCAGCATTTCAAAAAGCTTCACTGTTTAAAGTGATGAAATCAGAAGTGAATGCTCTGCATACTTCCTGATCCACAAGAGCCTGCCAACTAACACTGTTTAGAGTCCAGCTGTTAGGGCAGAATTGTTTCACAGTTGATACAAGGGCCAAATAATTCAACGCTGCACAAATTCAGTTTTGCTGTCAACTAATTTCCTGCTCCACATTCCCCAAAGGGTGAACGTGTGGGGGATATGTAGTCAGTATGCTTCTGCAGTGATCCCAGTGCCTGTTTTGAACCAGGAATGGTAGAAATTTAAATGCAAGTTTTAATAACATGCAGAGCAATACACATCCACTATTAAGGGATTTTTTAAGCAATTTATTAGATCTGGATGTTTGGTAGTGCTTGTATAATTTTACAACTACTCCCAGGTCCCTTATATATTGCTCTTCAAATGAAGACTGAATTAAGATGACTTATAGCAATACACAGCAATAGAGACTTAACAAGTTTAAGCTGCAGTCCAAAGCAATTTTAGTAAGGTAACTTGAAATAGTTATGCATTTATAGAAAAGATTGATCTAAGTGGACTGCTTTCTCACACTGGCAATTGTGATGCCTTGTTAAGTCTCACAGCACAAATGCACATTTAGGTTGTGTGATTCTTGGCATCAAGAAAGGACACATCTTAAAAATCTGTGTTTTATTTAGTGTAGAAAACCAAGATACCAGTATCAACTGCACTGCCAATCAACACTAACTGAATGAATGCTTTCTGGCAGCTATGAGATTTGAGTCTCTGCTTCTTTTCCATTTCTGTCTGTTTTCCTCAATTCCCTTCTTCTGAAGTATTCTCTACCACCGGTTCTACCTTGAGCTCTACCTGATGAACAATTCTCCTCCTGTCTGCTTTCTTGCCTGTAAGCTAAAACACAGAAACTTTTAAGGGTTTTATGACGACTGAATGACATGGCTCAACTGGGCTGCTGTATTCTGTTTAACAGTCTGAATGTATGATTATGGTATATGAAATGCAGCCGACACTCCACATTAGTTCAAGTTCACTTCAGGCAAACTCCTTTTGAACTTCTTTCAGCCTAAATTAAAACTTGCACTCCATAGCGAGAAACTGGAGGGAGTGGGCAGAAGTCCTTCTATATCTTTAGCTAGAAGTGAACAACCTTCTATAGAGCTATATTTCAGCTGGATTAACAGTTATTTGCAGCATGTAACTGCAGGAGTTGAAGCTCTTCTGTCTCAAGATGCCAACAATGGAAACCCTGCTCAGACCGATCCACATTTTGTACTTAACAATTCTGTTAGAACATAGCTCTGAGCTTAAAACTCAGAGACAAGGGTATTATTGTCACTTTAGAAAAGAAAGAACAACATTTCTGCTTTCTCTGCCCATAGGTGTTTGACAAAACAAATACTGCTGGCTCCAATGGCAACAGCTCAGTCAATCACTGCATTAATTCCAATCAAAACATATTGAGTGCAAAGCATATTTGAAGAGTAAATAACCATAGAATATAGTCCAAACTTTACCTCTTGAATTTGCACGAGCACTGCTAACACCTCCTCGTTTATAGTTCTGCTGATAATTCACATCCTAGGAAAAACAATATTTTTTTTCTATTTAGTAAAAGCAACAATGACATTTCCAGTCATTTGAGAATTTCAGCCTCAGGTATCTGGAATGGGGGTTCAGGCAATTGTACTACAAGAGTTTTGGTAAATGAGATTTTTGCATTACATGACCCAGAATCCACAGGTCAAAGGTTTAGCCCCCCCCCCCCCAATCATATTGCCAAGGTCTGACTATTCTTGAACCACCATGTCAGATATGTACAAGGCAACAACAGATTTGAGTAATCCACAGCCCATGTACTTAATACCACTGACATTAGAGGAATTCTCATTAAGCGTGCGTAGCCTAATCATGGCCATGTCTTATTCCAATGACACTGAAGTTGAACGGGTTTCCTTAAACTAGCATGTGTTTATATATTTGATTGTGTTTTGCCTGTGTGGCAGGGACTTGGACTGGATGACCCATGTAGTCTCTTCCAATTCTATAATTTCAAATCAAGGAATATGCCAGATGATCAACCTTTGCAGGAGGCACAACTGTGCTGAGAACTGATTATAAAAGATGGATCCATGCCATCTGTCAATTCAATAAATATGACACATAAACTCCAAATCAGATACATTTTTACAGATGAGATGTAAATTCAAACATTTGGTATATTGTTTTAGGTTTTTCTAAATGATATTTCAATATGAACCTGTAATAAATCACATGCACTTAAAACAATGTTATATTTGTAGTGCAGCCCTAATCTGATTAAGTTGAAATCTGCACCTTCTTTTGCTTTCTGAGCAAACACCAAAGCCAATATATACAGATTTAGCATATTTTGCAGGGTTGCAGCACAGAACTTGACATTACCCTCTGAGGATACTGTACGGGAGGATAATCTCTGCCAGGAAGCTGCAACTGGTTGTAGGGACCATTAGGGGCAGAAGGTGGTCCCCTATATGCCTCAAAACCTGCTGGATGAAAAAACATCAACATTTCATCCTACCAAATATGGTTTGCTTTAAGGAAAAAAAAAAGGTTTGGCATGCTGGAACACTAGATTGCTCAAAAGGGAGCAGTATGGACTCCTATACCAGACCAAAAACATTATTTGTGAATACCAAGCAAAAAAGGGGGGACAGTGGCACAGCGGGCCAAACTGCTAAGTTGCAGAACTTGCTGACCAGAAGGTTGGCGGATCAGATCCACAGGACAGAGTGAACTCCAATTACTAGCCCCAGTTTCTGCCAACCATGCAAATGTGAATATACTGATGGGTACCACTTCGGCGGGAATGTAATGGCGCTCCATACAGTCATGCTGGTTACATGACCTTGGAGACATCTGTGGACAACGGCGGCTCTTCGGCTTACAAATGGAGATGAGCACCACCCCTAGAGTCAAACTCGACTAGACTTCATGTCAAGGGGAAACCTTTAACCTTTACCTTTAACTTATGGGGGGGGGGGGGAATCTAGTGCAGAGTACTGGGGAGTTCAGGTATTTGAAATGTTCTGCTCCAACCAACATATCAACAGAGCATCTGGCTCAGACTAAGCAGAAAACTTTACAAACAGGATATTTAGTTCTTTAACACTTGAACAAACAGATATTCAAGTGTTAGATAGAATAAAAAACAGCATCTACACAAGCACCCAGAGATTACCACATTCGAGCTGGCCAAAATCAGATCCAGAAAGGAATGGGAATGCTAGACCTGCACTCTGCCAGTCAAATCAGCACCTTCGTGCATGGTCAGGGGTCTATAATAATGTTGGTGTGCCTAGAAGGAAGACCTTCTTATGAAACTGGTATAGCCCAGTATACTAGATTAAATGTAGAAAAAACATGAGAAAACTGTAGAGTGCTGTTTCTCTATGGAATTGCTGCCATACATTTTCAATATGCCCAATGGACATTTAATGAGATAGGCCAGAATTAGTCAATAAAGCACTAGTTAGCTATTCGTGTTGTGGCATTAACTCTTCAGACGTAACACCAGCCTACATGCGAAGTAAATTGAAGCTACCAATTTTCACAAGTGAAACTGAGAAAATTCACTGACATTCTGGGACAGAGTTCAGTGTGACACACACACACCTGCTAAACCAGAAAAAAACAGGTATTAAAAAGGCCAGTGGCATCACACCCCAATCAGTCTCTTTTCATTTTAACACAGCTATTTTAAAAATTTAAAATACATCTGGTCCAGAGGAAATGAGATTTGAACAAATCATTGCACAAAGCAAATGCTTATGTGACCATGATTGGCACATTGGAGTAGTAATTTTGACGGCCCACTCCTGTCAAGGAAAAGGAGCCAACCAAGTATGGATGTCACGACCCAGGAGGATCCCTGTCTCCTCTATTTGTTCAGTTCCCCAGTCATGGAATGCTCTTTCTGTTCTTACTGGGAAGTAAGAGTAGAGAAGCAGAAGACTTAACACCAAATGGCATGGATGGATGGCTCATCAATTTTAGCCAGAAGTGACATCCAAGGGTCCTGCAATGTGCCATTTTCTGCCAGCAAAGAAGAAGCCATCCATCCATCTATGGGAGTTCTACCAAAAAGAATCTGATTAGAAAAAGTGTGTGTGTGTATATATAATATATATACATATACAAGAATCAATAGCCAAGAGAAAGCAAGAGGAATGTAGTTATGAACTTCCCTTGGCAATGCAAGGTGAAATAACTGAACGAGGAGCTAGGAATCCAACAGAAAAGGATGAACTTAAAAACATGTGATCTTTCATCTCACCTCAATGGCAATAGGAGATCACACATGAAAGAATGGCTCATTTTCGGTAGTAGAGAATGGCCATTTTCACACCATGTAAAGAAACTGATGGAGAGAAGTCTGGGAGCTGGACTTTGTTTATTGGATGTCTGCAAGTATATTGCCCAAGGGACGCCCGGATGTTTTACCATCCTGTGGGAGGCTTTTCTCACGTGCCCACATAAGCTGGAGCTGACAGACAGAAGCTCACCCCACTCTCCAGATTCAAACCGTCAACCTTTTGGTCAGCAGTCCTGATGGCACAAGTAGGATTGCTGGGGACTCCGGCATTATCCTCTATTTATAAGTAGGACTGTATCAAAATTATAACCACCAATAAAAATGTCTCTAGAAATCATACATACCTTTATAGCCACCAGGAGAGCGATAAGAACTGGCCATTGATCTTCCACCTCTGAGGGAACCTCTGGCGGATCCACCACGGTTTGTAACAAAAGGCTGAGGTGGTCTAGGGAAAGTGGCTGTCTGTGCTGCATAAAATGTGAGACTACCATTGCTTACAGGAACAGCTCCCTCAACCTGGTAATTACCTGCTTAAAGTGAGAAGCACACTTTTTAATTATTCCCATATTCTATTGCATAAAAGTCAGGTGACTTCTCTCTTAATTTTTTTCCCAGCCTTTAGAGGTTTAAAACTAAAGAGTTCCAGAATTGTCTACAAAAGTTGCTTACCAACACCTGCTACCGCCATACAGGGAAGCAAGTACAAGCATAATTGTTTAGGGCTTAGATAATGGACCAAGTGAGATGAACAATTCATTCAAGAGTACTCTTTCCTCCACTATATATATCTGGATATTGATAAGGGCAGCAGTTATTGTACAATGCCAACCATACTAGGTTGAACATACACCACTTCGAATAATATTTTAATTTTAGTTTACTTTCTGAACAGAATAAAAGCTGTTTTGTCCACATATTAGAAAAGTTTGTAAACACACTGTAAAATTTGAAGGACAGTAGAACAAAAGTAACAGCAGATCTCAAAGAGCAACATAAAGTAACGGATGGAAACAGCACAGGCATGTAACAGCCTATGAAAATAAAGCGGTGTTTGTCTGTTCCCAGATGATGTGGGCAGTATTAGGGAAAACACCTCTGTTTGATAACCACTGGTCACATCTCAGACAACAAAGGCAGCCTAAAGAGTATTTTTGGCGAGAATTTCAAGTGCAGGCACCATAGAAGAGTACAATGTTCAAAAATTGACACAAGCCATTACGTTTTCCTGTTTCACAGGCTGAGATCACAGGAAATACCTCAGAGCACAGATGTTTCTTAGTTTCACCATATTTAGAAGTGGCAAACAGCAAACACAGCAGAAAAGGCACCCTCCAAGAAGACAATAAACCTTCCTGAAAAGGGCCTTCTAACTGCAGAGGATTTGAGCAATCACTGAGAACAAACTTCCCTAATGTGTTCCCTACTGAGCCACACAAATTAGTAACAATCAGAGTGTGGATCATCTTCCCTCACAATTTAATCTAATCTGCAGATGTCTGGTTCTGAGTCACTGCTAGATATGGAATGTATTTTTATAAATGTGACAGTACTGTGGCCTATAAAAATGGCACATCAGCTCACCTAGAAGAGATGAAAGGGAGAATTTCAAGTAGTAATTGTAGAGATTACTATATACAGGCAGTCCCCAAGCTGAATTTGTATGGAAGTTGGGACAGGTATATTTTATAAGTGTAACTCCTGCCAAATATATACACTAGATAGATATGAACATTCATAAATGTACATACGTAATAGCTTTGGATAGCACAGGGAAGGGTTAACATCCATGTGTTGTTTGTTTTGCTGTTTGTGCTCCTGTTCAGAAGATTTCACCTCCCTTTTTGTCCCTTTGATAATTGGATTTTGAACAATTTGGCTTCTTGTGGTAACAATGATTGGTGACAAAGCTTTGGTGGATTCACCTTTTCCCCATGATAACTTTTTCAGGAGTTAATTTCCCTTCCAAGGGGTAGATTTCTCCCACTTCCTGTTGTCTCATGCCCATTGTTATCTATGAGTTGCTTGCAAGTCAGATATTTGTAACTTGGGGACTGCTTGTATAATGAGAGAGACACTCTAATGTAGCGTTCTACATTAATTGCCTTGTTCAGTAGAAACGAACTAATCAAGTCCAAGGCACAAAAATAGGGAAGTTGGTATATCTAGTTATTTCAGATGAAGGATAGGACAAGCACAGCAATGATGGGAAGCAGTGTTAGGTCTCACTGCAAAAAAATCATTCAATTGAGAAATAAGCCATCTTTGTTATATAGAAATGACACAAAAGCAACATTATTCTGAGATAAAAATGCTTAAATAAGCATTACAGCTTCCTTTAAAACAGGCATAGGCAAACTTGAGCCTTCCAGGTGTTTTTGACTTCAACTGCTACAATTCCTAACAGCTGGTAAACTGGCTGGGATTTCTGAGAGTTGTCCTATACACCTGGAGGACCGAAGCTTGCCCATGCCTGCTTTAAAAGGTTCCTAGCTGCATATCTAATTAGCTTGTCCAATTTTTGATTACAAAGAAATTACCTCCAGCCTTACAGATGTTATTGCTTATTCACACTAAATACTGTGAGGCACAATCATTAAGTCGTACCCTAATCTCCTGATCTTTTCAATCACCATTCTTGCACTAGCATTTTCCTTACCGTTTGGCAGAGACTCTTGAGGAAAAGCAGTTTGTTCAGCGTTCTGAGCAAGCTGTAGTTTATTCTGGGGAGGAGTCTGTGTACTTGCTGTAGAAACGTTTGGATTATATCCTGTAGGGTGCAGAGAATTTTCTTTGATATCCTGCTCCCTACGAGGGGGCAAAGGCGCATTCACTTTGAACACCTGCAACAGAATACAAAATGAGGTAAAATTGTGCCTACTTTCATAGGTGAACTATCTGGATCTTTTACTCCCCACCTCATCAAAGTCCTTAGTCCTGAGCAGAAACTGAAGCATTTCTCATATGAACTGTAATGTAAACAATTATTATTATTATTATCCCACATTATCTCTCTAAAACAGAGACTCAACACAGCTCACAATAAAACCAATACAAAACGCAGCAATTTAAACCCTAAAGTATACAAACATTTAAATAGAATTAAACATTAACAGTATTAAACATAAACAGTTTTAACTCTTAAAACCAAGTGAAAGAACAGACCTATTCCATTCCCAGAAATATTACTACCAGCCATGTATTATTACCATTCTTCCCTACAACATGCATTCACTGAATCTCACTAGGAGAAAACATGTGATTTCTAACTTTGTCTTCTCATTTAATTATATTTGACTCAACTAATGCACTTACAGTCTGCATGGCCTGAAAAGGAGGTGCTTTTAGGTTAATCGTGCTGCTGCTTGATGGAGGAGACTGGAAGGCTTTCCCTTGGGATACTGGTGATATGGTAGTCCTTGAAGGTGCCAATGGTATCTCTGATTCACTTGAAACAGCAGTAGTAGTAGCCTTGAGAGGGGAAAAAAGCAACATTATAGTCATTTCAGTGGGAAGTAGTTCAAATTGTTAAACCCTATGCCATCAAATAGCAGTAGTTTCTGCAAGCCAATAGCTGGGCTTGCCAAATAACTGAATCGTTTCTGTTCACAATTTGAATCTTGCTGTGCATTCAATTTTCCATCAGTCGCCAGTGACTATATGAAACATATTTGAACTAGACACATTGCCTCTTTAAATATTTGCATTTGTAGAACTTAACAGAGATACAGCTCTTTATGCAAATGGTCTTTGTCATATTAAGCTTTTATTGTTTCTCTACGTAATGTCTTAATAACTATACTGCAGCAATTCTACTGCTATTTAGGATATCACACAGCTATGGCTTTTGTGAATATTCAGGGCTGTTTTTAGATAATCTGTATAACACAGCCCTAACAGCACAGAAATGGCTATTCATCGAAGTTCAGAATTTCAATTTAAGCACAGTAAATGTATTGAACTTACCTGACCAATTTCGCTCTTTGGAGGCACTAATGACTCCGAAATCCCCTGGCTTGCCTGATACAAAGATGAGGATGAATTAAACATCTCAGGTTCTTGAGAGTTTGAAACAGTTGTCTAGAAATACAAGCAAATTCAACATACAGTTGAAATGCAGCATGAAAATAGAAATGTTCCCAATAGAGAAACACGTGGGATTCTGTGTATGGTTTATTTTTTGTAGTTTTATGACTGTAGGCAACTGACTTGAAAGTAGAGAGATTTTGCATCTTTTTGTCCTTCAATGTCATCTTTTTAGCATGTTTTCTCTACAAGGCAGTAAAAATGTCCAGAACTTCAGTTGGGAAAGGGGTTATTCTCCTCCATTTCCTGCAATTCTGGCTTTACTAATTTAAAAAGGAACCAGTTGGTATGGTACATTATGATATTGTAATGGAATGCATGATGTGATGTAAGATGGGTATTTAAACTAGAAAAATCTTCCATAACTTGATCCCTTTTTCTGTCTGAAATTTAGGCCTACTGAAGTAAACAAAATATGAAAAAAGAAGGGCAGAATAGGTTGGGCAAGTCACTATGAACTTTGTAAATGTGGCCCCAGAAGGACATAACTCCTAGTTCCAGCATTCACTAGGCCAAGATTAGGTTCATAAGGAAAGCACCACATCCTGGAAAAGGGATAAAGGGGTCTAATTTGGAGGGGACCACAGGAAGAGCATGTCAGTGTATCATTTATGTATGATGTATGTTTAAATGCAATTTTATGTGATAGGATTGTGATTGTAAAAGACTGTAATAGAATTGTATTGCCAGGATGTATGTTTACACAAAAGAGCTGTGAGAATGTGACCCTGAGTTATTGCTGTGTGAAGAATAAGGGAGTGTCAGAGATAACTCCTTTCCAGCTGCAATTCTTGTCTTTAGTGTCTATCTCTTTCGCTTTGTGTTCTTCGCATCTGCTCGCTGATGGTGTGTGTTAGATTTATGAACTGTTCAAGTAAAGCTGAAACCTGCTTTTTACCGGTGACTCCAGAGTCCATTATTCAGTGCTTCCATGATTCTTCTGCTAGCCCTAACAGAGCATTCCAGATAACTGTGACTATAGAGAGGGTCTCTGTGTTAGATAAATGGAACCTTATCGACTGGGAAGAGCTGTTGGTCTTAAGTAGAAACTGCACTGCTTTCCTGGGGCAACTCTTACACCCCAGTTGGGTTGGGGGAAGTGAACAGAGACTAAACACTAATTACCACTTCACTGATCAATAATATGACTTAAGATGTGGCTACAATTTGCATACCTAACATAGAATTAAACTTTGATTGACTCTAAAAGAGGAATTTAAAGTATCTCCGAAGCTGTTGTGGACTTAGGCTGGGCTCTCCATAATACTGTGGTACAGTTAATACCTGGTGCTTGAGAAGCTAAAGTCAATATGCGTAGACAACGTGAAACAGTACTGTCTAAGAAATAGGTTATTCAATATTGAACAAATAGTTCAAGCAAGTCATACTATATCTGTGCTTTCACCAGAATGTTTTTAAAATACATATATGCAGGTCAAGCATCAAAAATGCTTTGAGATTCTTCTTAATCGAAAGTTATATCTTAAAGCACAACCTGCTTTTTTTGGATCTTTATTATGACAAGTCTTAGAACTGTTTTACCTGAATTGGTAAATTATACACCTAATTACAAGATGACTTAAAACAGTTTCTTTACATGTTATTTGACACATATCTTGAAAAGTGTTAAATTTCACTGTTACCTGTACTGGCTCTTCAGGAAAATTATTTTGGCTTGAAAGTTTCTCATTAGAAACTAAAAAAAGGGGGGGGGGGAAGAGAGAAAAAACATTTGGTCATAGCAACTCTACATTTTACATTTCTGAAGAGCTGTTCTGCAGGCAATCTACTTCTATACAGTACAGGCAGTTCCCAAGTTACGAACAACATAGGTTCTGTAGCTTTGTGCTTAAGTTGAATTTGTTTGTTTCTTGGAACATCTGTAAGTGTAACACACATTTTCTCTCTCTCTCTCTCTATATATATATATATAAGCTTTGGAAGGGTTAACACTCCTATGGTGTTTGTTTTGCTGTCTGTGCTCATGTTCAGAAGTTTTCGCCTCTGTTTCTGTCTCTATGATAACTGTATTTTGAAAAATTGTTGTGGAAACCAGGATTGTTAAAACTTCCGAAGAGACACCTTTTCCCCATGATAACTATTTCAGGGGTGAATTTCTCTCCCAAGGGGTAGACTTCTCTCACTTCCTGTTCTCTCACCCCCTTTCTTAACTATGAGTCATTTGTAAGTTGGATGTCTGTAACTCGGGGACTGCCTCTATATATTTTTTCTGATTATCCACTGCTCAAGCAACACAAACAGATATGCATCTATTACTTAGGTGAATTAATCTGTGTTTCAGTACTTCAATTTCAGTTGTGTCAATCCTTGTGCCATATTTACACAGTATCCCATAAAGAACCAAAAGCCTTGTATTTTTCTTTAGGAGAAATTAGCTGGCTATCATCAAAAACTAGTTTCCATGTAATCATTTTCCCCACAAAAATCATCAAAAGATTAACAGAACTTAAAAACACATTATTGGTCTCTTTATTCAATATTAAATGCTGTTTGAATTTGTCTCCCTCCCATTTCTCTGTCATTATTGTTTAAAATGTATGCTGCTGTCTGTGCTTTCCTTTTTACGTAACTTTTATCTTTTATCTCAAAATAAGGCTTTAATGCAAAATACAATATTAAAACATTTTAGATAAATTTAATTACCTGTAGAATCAACTGAAGGTGCTTGGGATGAATAAATGGCACTTTGTGAAGGTTTATCAAAATCTAGAAGCGAATCCTTGAAGACAAAGCAAATTATCTCTTAGGGAGAAATCTCTTCAAAGATGCACAACAGAAGTCATATGTGTTTCATAGTGCATTGAAAGTTTCAAAACAGAAATCTTTATTACATGGATTTTGACACAGAACAGATGTATAATATTTTTATAATATATATTTATTTTACAATATTTGTGCATAGTCTGCTCTCCCATCTTAAAGGAGACTAGAGATTACATCCATACTCTCCCACATTATGTATTAGCTTTCTAGTGGTGCCATGTTAAAATAGGAAACATACTTGCATGAAATTGTAGGTCCCCTGTATCTGAGTCATTAGATCCTGCAGTTTTTCCCTTCTTAACACTGGATCCTTTGGAAGACTAGAAACAGAGCAAAATTCTGCCGCTGTCTGATGTACAGGTTTAGTAACCTAATGAAAAGGAGATAAAAGGGCATTAGGGAAACTGGAATATCAATGTTATCAAGCCAACCAAAAATGTTTGTTCAAGGAGCATGTTTGAGGAGCATGTTAAAGCAAGTGTGGGCAGACTACAAGACTTTAATTAGCCCTGTAGGAGACCTTAAAGCAGGGGTCCTCAAACTTTTTAAACAGAGGGCCAGGTCACAGTCCTTCAAACTGTTGGAGGGCCGGATTATAATTTGAAAAAAAATGAATGAATTCCTATGCACACTGCACATCTCTTATTTGTAGTGCAAAAAAAACCCCACTTAAAAACAATATAATAATTAAAATGAGGAACAATTTTAACAAATGTAAACTTATTAGTATTTCAGTGGGGAAGTGTGGGCCTGCTTTTGGTTGATGAGGTAGAATTATTGCTGTTGTGTGCTTTCAAGTCGTTTCAGACTTAGGTTGACCCTGAGCGAGGGCCGAGTAAATGACCTTGGAGGGCCGTATCCAGCCCCCGGGCCTTAGTTTGAGGACCCCTGCCTTAAAGGCTTCACTTGCTCCTGCAAAAAGAAATAATTCCTTTTGCCCTCCAACCATCCTTTATGGGACATTTTGGTGATTTCCTAACCCCCAGACAACATTTTAAGGGGGAAAAAATCTTCTTTGAAAACTCACAAAATTTTGTTTTGAACTTGGGTGTCTACGTAATTCCAAACATGCGGAAATATCCTCAATACTTGTTAGAGATTATTTTGGGGCACTTTGGGGCAGAATAAAAATTGAGGGACACCTACACATTGCTCACCACTGGGTTAAAGGAAAACTTTAGTGATTTTTTAAATAAATGTAAATGTGCATATTACATTCTTCTGCTCTCTTTAAACTCAATTACTAAAAACTGAAAAGGCTAATGAATAAGGCTGAACTTATTTCATAGTAAACATTCATAGTCTGTGTTTCACATGTACAGTCATCAACATGCTTCAAATGTTCTTTTCAGAATTCTTTCAACTAGATGCGCTCCTTTCAAGCAGATGTGCTCCTATACACTACTCAATAGAAAATAGAAGCATAAATAACATGAAAAGAAAAAACGAATAGGTTCCGCCACCAAATAAAAGAAAAATAATTCAAAGATTTCAAAAAACCTTTTTATTCAAAATTAAACAAACACACATGAAATTAAACAGAAGAAATATGCCTATCATAAGTAAACAAAATCATGTTCTAGAGATCACTTGAAGACTTTTTCTAAAATGCTTCCAGAATTTTTATTTCACTAGTTCCCACTTTTCTTATGATTTCCACTTGGTGACTGAATGGATATATCTGTCTTTTTAAAATGCTGCAGATAGCTGATGAAGTAGGGTTATCTACTTTCCCCTCCTCTCTGTTTTGTTGTTCACTCATGCTTGGTAGAGGCTTCTGGAGGTAGCTGCAGTTTAACTTGTCGGCTGTAGACAGGAACGTGTGGCTACAGGAAGATCAGTGCAGCAGAATCTTTCTTTCTCAATTCAAGCTTTATTGGTCAAAAATAACCAGCATGGTAAATCTCCACTTCGGCATGGAAACCCTCTGGGTGACTATGGGCAAGTCACATTCCCTCAGTCTCAAAGATAAGCACATCCAATGAACAAATCATGCCAAGAAGAGCCTGTGATAGGGCCACATAAGGGTTGGCAGAAATGACTTGAAGGCACACAACAACTGCAAAGAAACTGCAATAGCCTGATTTCCTTTGCTATATTCCCAACGCTGATGCTGCTAAAAACTTCGCAGCTAAATAGCAGCCAAACAGTGACGCTTGGCAGGCACAAAACAGCTATGTAAAAAGGAGCTTCTTTTTCAGAGGCTCTGTTAACCGAGATATGATTGTAATGAAGATCCAAGCCATTCATTTTTATAGAACACAACCCTCTTCCTGTGAAGACTAGAATTATATATTTCAGACAAGGCATTTAAGTGGTTCACATGATGAGTTAAAGTGCTGCAAAATGCTTCAGGACCAGGTATCATCAGTTTATTTCTATGATCTGCCTAGCCTACCTGCATAATATTCTGAAAACTCCTAGATAGTTTACAGGATTCTCCAACTGATGAAAGACTCTCTTTCCTCCTGACAGCATCAGTGCGGTGTCCACTTACTCCATCTGTTTTTCCATCCTATGTAAAGTAGAAGTCCCATTTATTAAAACACAATTCCACATCCTATCTTGGAAGCAAGTCTGTTACCAACAGTAATCCAGTGCTAAAACCAAAAGTTTAGTAAGTGTTTGGATTCTTGTTAGTAATTACACAATATTCACAAGTCTTCCATTGGAGTTCTATACTAAAGCTAGTATTAGTAGAAATACACAACTTTCATGCAAATATATCAGAGGAGAGTGTGTTTATGGACACAGAATCAAGTTAACTTCTTTCTTTCTTTCTTTTTTGAAACCTCAACACCAAGATCACCCAGTGGAATTTTGCTTTACCCACATGTTTCATATCAGATTCAAGCTTCAGTCTGCGCTCTCGTCTCTAAATAAAGAAACAATTATGAACTTGTTAGCCCAAATTAGTTACACGGTAAAGGATTCAAATTGCAGCTATTGTATCTCATCAGCCTTGTCCAGCCCCAAAAGCTTGCAGTAGATAATGGAACCTTAAAAAAATTGCTCTCATCTCTCAGTAAACGTTTAAACCAGGAGAGGTATACAGCTTCATATACAGCTGCTGATTCATATTACTAAATTACTAATAAAGACTTTGCAAGCTATTACAAAATTACCCTAGATATTTCTCTGATTTTTTATTTTGGACATCAAGAATGTTATCAAGATTTAGTTTTGAGGTAGAAAAAGACATAGCACTGCTATCTATCTGTTATCCACCCAATATTCTGGTAGTCAGCAGTACTATATCTTTCCACATATCAAAAATGCAATACATTTTGAAGAGATAAAAACTAAGCAAGATGTTACTAATGTCTTCAAACTAGCTATTTTTTTATACCTTATCAGTATTTCCCTAATCCAGAACAGTCAAAACATGATCTTCCTAGCTTGATTATACTATACTTATTGTGTGATATCTGTGCACACTGTGCATACACAAGTCATTTAAAAAAATCAAGATGCAACATTCGATTTCACTCAAGGAAATTGCATCTTTCTTTAGCTAGACAGTAGCCAATTTACCTTTTGAGCCCTGGGTCACATTGAATAATGTTTATGCCAAGACTTAAAACCAGAGATGCAACCGCCTTCCAACGTTCCCCTTCTCTAATATATAATTGAATTTCTCTGAAATAAGGCAAGCCGTAACACAAATACACATCATCCAAAGACACAATCATGATCCTTTATTTCAGAACCATTTACTCTTTTATAAATGAAATATATTCATACTCAAGAGAGTTAGGACTGCTTTATATAAACAGAGTTCTAACCTGACCAAAAAGTTGTAACAACAATGACAGCCATGCTCCAACCAAAGTCCACATTTTAAACAAGTAATTACACTTATCATAGCCTACAGTTTTACTACCACAGACCTTTACAGAACAGTATTACTGCTTGTATCAACTCACTTCTTTGGGCTCCAAGTCAAGTTTCTTTGGTCCAATCTGCTCCTTTGGCACAATATTTCCAGTTCCCCAGATCTTTGGAGGATTTTGCAATGGATGTTGAGCTGTTTGTTGTGGTCCTTCAGAGGTTTCCCAAGACCTGGGTGTTTGGGCTTTTGGTTCTGCTTCTTCCCCTACATGTGTCATCCATGGTTGTGCCGGTTCCTGTTTCTTTTGCTCTGTTTCCTCTCTGACAGATGCAACCCATGGTTTTGCAGGTTCAGGTTTATGTACAGTTTCCACCCTGGCCTGGGCAATCCATGTTTTTGATGTTTCCTGCTTTTGTTTCAGCTCTGCCTTAGCTTTCGACATCCAAGCTTTCGTGCTATCTTGCTTTTGTTCCTGCTGTTCTTTAACTGTAGTTATCCAGGGTTTGGAAGAGTTCTGCTGGTCCCCCACCTGTGCAACCCAAGGCTTTGAAATTTCCTTGTTATCATCTAATTTCCCTGGAGCTTCCCAAGGCCTTGAAAGTTCTGTTTTTTCCCCCTGCTGCCTGGCAGAGTCCAAAGGTTTTAAGGAGTCTTGCTTCTGCTTCTTCTGTTCCTCCATGTCAACAAGCATCTCCCAAGACTTTGGAAGTTCGTTCTTTTTACTGTGTTCTATTTCCCAAAATCTGGATTCTTCAGGCTTGATAGTATAATCAACTTCAGGCAAATATCGCCTATTAAGAAACTGCACAGAGCAAAGAAACTTAAAATGCATTGAGAGCAATAGAAAAAATGACACTGATGTGACGCATTCATTAGCCTCAAACACTTGTGGCAAGTTTTACAAAATTAGTTATTCAGGCAAAAAAAAAAAAAAAAGGTTGAACTAGGTCCTCTCCAACTAGCTTGACTCAGGGCAACTGAGGTGGAAATAAGGAAGATTGTTTATGAAATTTGTCTGAAAGGACTGTTTACTGGGCTACTTAACTTGATCCAGCCTGCAGGTTTTACTTGCAAATGCCTTTCCCTAATTATTTCTTCTTCACCTGGGTCTACTAAATTGTATTCTCATATTTCAAGAAAGACAGCAGTTAAATGTCAGGGACATCTGTGGAAGCAGATTAACCACTTTCTGTTTGCACTGGTTTTCTTCGATCTATTTCCAGCCACAACCCCCAATGACAAAAACACCAACTCAAACCCTCCATCTAAACTTATGGCTGACCTGTCTGCTTTTGCAAATTCAGTACTTAGTGAAGACTGACATTTAATTGCCAAGATGCTCATTTCTAGCCATATTCCTTAAAAAAACCAGGTCTTTTGCAACATTTCCCTTAAGCAGATTGGGAAATTCACAATATTCCATAACATTTTTGTGATTAACAGGTTTTTGCTTTGTATTTTTACATACTTATGTCTGATGATGAATAAAACTGCAGATCAATTAATTTTAATATTTGAAAACTCATAGTAAATATAGCAACCAGGCTTCTCTACAGACTCGTTTAAAAAAGTTATGTCAACCTGTATTCACAGTGTCATGAGAGTTAATACAAATACATTAGTCAGAATCCTACTGGAGCCAAATTAGGCAGAAGTAGCAGGAAGAAAAAGGCTAAAGCTCTAGCTATGAAAGAAGCACAACTAGGACTACACCCAGCAGATTGATTCTGCTTTCTCGTATCAATACTTCAGAAATCTGGAAAGCATGTAACCATTGCCATAGCGTGCCAATACGATTCTGGCCATTGTCCTTAGTCAGCTGCTAGGGCCCCTAGATGCCAATTCTCTGACTTTCAAAAAAGACAGTATGTAAGAGCTACCAATTATATTTCCCATTGCACTGAGTAGCAACACATTTGATTAGCTCAATTGCTTGAACAATGTGTGAATCAGTATTAGGACAAATGAATTCAGTGATGTAAACTGTAATTTTTACTGGAAGTTTAAGTCAATGACTGAAATCACTCTGATTTAAACCAAACCTTTAGATTGGTGGGTTAACTAAATCCTTCCTGCCTAGCCCTATCGCAGTTCAGTTAGCTACATTTTTGCTTATCGTACAGGCACCTTTCTTGAAAATAACATCCAGTTAAAGCCTAATGTGGCTGATGCCTTGATTCAGCAACTGTAGTACTATCATAGGGAGTCTACACAGCTACAGAGGTTTTCCTTCCCACATCCAAAAACTACAATGAACTACTGAGCATTTTACTACCTTGCATCTCTTCTCAAGGCCAAAAACCTTCTATGTATATTTAGCAATTGCCTTTGCTGAGGCCTAATTATAGTTATAAAATATGTTCAAAGGCAGTTTTCTGCTATATTATGAAAGGTTTATCACTTCGGCACTATTGTAATGTTGTAGAAATCTCTTCTGTTTCAATTTAGAAATATTACATTGCATCTATTTGAACACATACCTCTTGCGGCTTTATCTCAGACTGAATGTGATCCATCTGAGCTTCTAGGAAGGAAGATTAAAGGACCTGAAATTACTTATGAAGCGGAGTGATTCATTTTGGAATAAATTAAGAGCATCATTGATAGATTACACTCCTTTTAAGCATTCTTAAAACATCTGGTTTTGCAAAAAGCTATAAGTTTCATATTTAAAATTAACATAGTAACTTCTTCTTTAAACATTTGCAAAATCAAAGCAAGGGCTTAGATTCCTCTATGTATTTTGGATGCATGTCTGCATGCCATCTGAGGCCAAAAACTATGTTAATAGCTTTTTTCAACTCTGGATATTCAACAACTTCAAACTGTATTTTAGTATTTTTGATTACTCAAAAGCCAGTAACAGTAAATAGAACAGTTAAGAATAGTCAGAGTCTTCCTAATTTGGCTGATTGCATTGTGAAGGGATACAACATGATGGCAAAAGCCATCTTAGCTTGTAGAGCCAAAATATGTCTATCAGTTGTAGACCTGATACGAACTTAACCTTTCAGTATATGTACTACCTGGTCCACTGACAGGTTCCAATTTTGAGAGTTGTATTGTTTTTTCAGGTGTTTTGTTCTCTTCTAATTTCATGTCAGATTTTCTAAGTATTTCTTCTTTCAGTTCCTCTTTTTCTGGTATGTTGCAAGGTGCAGGAATGTTTTCAAAATAACCAGAATTTAATAATTTAGACAATAACTCCTTCAAGTACTTATCTGAAGGACAAATAAAATGAATGTTAGGTACATTCAGTGATTCAGAACAGTAAAGAGCAACACTAAAAAACAGGGCAATTCCAGACAGGAATCAATAAGGGCCAGATAACACCTCCCAACAAAGGATGCCCCCAGGCAGCAACCAGCCAGGCTTTGATGCTGCAAAGCCATTACATGCTAATCAAGGTGGCCAATTGCAACATTCATACTTGCCACAAACAGACAAGAGTTCTTTCTCCCACCCCGGACATTCCACAGATATATAAATCTCACTTGCCTCACAACCTCTACGGTTGCCTGCCATAGATGTGGGCGAAACGTCAGGAGAAAATGCTCCAGGAACATGGTCATACAGCTCGAAAAACTCACAACAACCCACCAATTACAAAAGCAGTTTATAGCTTTGTCTATATGGGAGAAAAAACCATTTACTCTCAACATACGTATGGCAAATATTTTAGGATAGGACAATGCCTTGAGGAAAGATTATCTAAACCAAGAACAAGACTGATGTGATCCACAGAAATTTTAGTTAAGCAAAGGACAGGAAAAACCCTCAAATACAAATTACTGGCAACACATCTAAGCCTAGAATATCTGGGTAACTTATAGTTGCAATCCAAATAACGTCCACAAGTATCTATGACTTAACAATACATGGCCTAACTGGCAGGAACCTAGCATGACAACAAGAATAAAACCCCAGTCTAGAGAAATCGACTGGAGATAACCTTAAGAAAACAAACTCCAAAGCCAAAATGTCAAGGTCAAATTGTTTAGAGGCTAAATTTCTGTAAACAGATGTTCCTCCCACCACAAAGACAACAGCATGAAAATCAACTGGTTCCTACTAAGGAGACTGGCTTCCTAGCCATAATCATTACTTGTACGCACTAATATACGACAGGCTCCAAAAGGGATTTCTTCAGACGTAATGTTTGATACTTTTTCTCCAAAGCAGCTATGATACATTTTCAAAACCAAGAAAGCAAGGACAAGACATAGAGGATAATGTACAAGAGGGCACCATACAGCCCTTGAAATACTCCCCTTAAAAGCAAGTATAACTAATGGTGAGGATGGAGGGAATATGTTGCTAAACCTTATCTTGAGAGATATAAAAGTCCCACCAAAGGCATGTAAATGTAAGGAATTGGAAGAAAAGCTCTTACACCAGTTTTACTATTTGACATTACAGGTAGCATATGATAGATATGAGTATAAGAAATCTGACCACATCAAGAGGCTCTTTCAAGTAAAAGCTACTTACAAGTTGTCCCAGCCACTGCTTTTTCACTGCCTTCTAGCAGATCCCAAAAGTAGAGTGATGATTGTGCCATCTGGTCTTCAATACTTCAAAAACAAGAATAAAATTAAGAATTTTTGGAAACATACCGTATTTACAATAAAATTTAATCAACATTCACCTAAAATAGCAGAGTAATTTTCAGGTTTGCTCAAAACAGTCCATAATGCAGCCCAGCAATGGAATGAATACATACTGTGTGTATGTATGACATGTGCTTGTGTCAACAAAATCTGCTACTTTCATTAATTCTTAGGATCATCTCTATATACACAAATGCTCCATCTAGATTAGGATTGGGCATGCTCTGGAACCTGGAATACCATATAAGCTGCAATGTCTTCTGACAGAAGCTATATGTGACAAACAGAAATGATTTTGTGTCAATTATAATCCGGTGCTGTTGTTCTTTGCGCTGTTTTGGACTATATAGTGAGATTGTCATTTATTGAAAACTTTGATCCAGTAAGCAGGGCCATGGCCAGAAAAAAATGGGGGGGGGGGGGGGGTTGAAACTTTTTTAAAGCGAATCATGAAGAGTAGCTCCATAACACAAAATAATTTAAATAGTATGGTTCATTCTATATTTTTATAGAGACTTAATTACATCAATTTTCTATTTTAGTTACAAAGTTTCAAGTCTTAAAATAAATGTACTTGTTAATTGGTAATTTATAGTTACACAAGAATACTACAACATCTGTTGGAAACACTTGAAAACTGTGTCAATACACTTTGACAGAAATCAGGCTCCACTGATAAACTTTGGTGAACGCTCAAGTGTGCATGTAAGAGTGCATGTCCAGTCAGTCTTTCTGAGCTTCTTATTGATGTTTTCAAATGTTTAATAGTATATAGGCATAGCAATGAGAACCCTACTACCCGGAAAAGGGAAGTGGGGGAGCAAAGAGTGAAAGACCTAATTCCCCATTAGGAACCTGACTCCTACCTCATGCTGAAGCAAAGAGCACAGCAGGGGAGCAGAGCAGCCTTAAACAGCCTGCAGCTCTGCCCCTGTCAACTTCCCCCACCAAGTCTGGTTTCCTTCATGAGGGCTTTCAAATCTTCCCCTTCTCTGCCAAGCTTTAGGATTTGCCTGCCAGTTATAGGTGGGCCAACTTGGTTGCTTACACTATATTGTATTGGCTATTGCTGCAAGTAATGACAGTGTGAATAAAATGTCAAAATTTGCTTGAGATAGTGCTTGCAGTTCTGGAGGGACTCATTTAATTTTTGCTTCTCATAGACTTAGTATGGGGATTTCGTTAACCAGTTAAAATTCATGAGTAAATCAGGTTTTTTTTAACCTGAAAAATTGGGGGGGGGGGTGAACCCCTCTCCCCTCCCCAGCTACAGCCTAGAGTACAGGCAAACAGTCAACTGCTACATAGTCAGCTTTACAGCTCAATGCAGAAAATATTGTTTTCTGTAACAAAAACTAAATCAAGTAGCAGGGTGACATGGGGGATGCCTGGCTCAACAGAAGTACATGTGAAAAGGATCTTGGAGTCCTCGTGCCTCGTGGACAACAAGTTAAACATGAGCCAACAGTGTGATGTAGTAGCTAAAAAAGCCAATGGGAGTATAGTATCTAGATCCAGGGAGGTCATGCTACCTCTCTATTCTGCCTTGGTCAGACAACACGTGGAGGACCTGGCATCAGCATCTTAAAATTATTTGAAAGAGAAGGACTTACTGACCTAACCATCTCATTCCTTCCTGAACATGTCAATTTTGCAAACTTGATGAGGTAGTCTAGGTCTTTAGAAGGCAGGAACATTGCTCCATTTAGGCCACTTCTGAAGTCTTTCTGCACATGCTCCTGAGTGAAATTCTGCAGCACATACTGGACCTGCAGTATGGTGCGGAGCTTCTTTTTTTCTGCCTCAAGCTTCAATAGGGTCTCCCTTCTCTGTGCTTTCTTCTGCATTTTCAGCAGCTGCATCGAAACAAGAAAAAAGATGCACACTATCAAAGTTTGCAATACATTTTGCCAATTAGTGTAGTTAGCTTGGGAAACGCTATTCATATTCTCCATATCATCTCATCCAAAAGGTAGATGCTCAGTTGGTAAAATCTTAACTTCAACATTTTACACAGTCAATTAACCATACAAATTCTCACAGAGCTTAATTAGTTACACATGTCAAGGCAGAAAAGGCATGATAAGCATTTAAGTAGAACAATGTCAGTCTTCATACAAAAGGGATGCTTATCTATCAGAGCAAAGGGACTCTAAAAGATCATTTTAAATCATACTAGGGGAACAGATGGAAGCTCTCCAAGAACAGCAGAGAACCTGAGATACAGTGACACCCCCCCCCCCCCCCCGTTGTATATAAAGTCAGCAAAACACTGGTCCATTTCTTGACAACAGTGTAGTCTACTTACATCTTGACTAAGCCCAGAAAATGTCTTCTGAAGTTCTTTAGCAAACTCCAAGTTATGTATCACTTCATCATATTTTTCAACCGCTTCCTGTAATTAACCACATATTATTAGGCTTCACTTAACGTGGCTACAATTTACTACTACATAGGCTAAGGAGCAACACCATCTCTCCAAAGGTTTGTAATCTAAAAGGCAAAGAAGATGGACTCTCCAAAGGTTTGTAATCTAAAAGGCAAAGAAGATGGACTCTGCAAACTCAGAGCCCTTCCAGACAGGCCCTATATCTCAGGATCTGATCCCAAGTTTTCTGCTTTAAACTGTATTATATGAGTCCACACTGCCAGATAATCTGGGATAAACAGATTCAATCCTGGGATACAGGGCCTGTCTGGAAGGGCCCTCAAGTACCACTTCTTGCAATTATCAGCTTGAAAAGGAGGAGAAACAATATAGGAGCCGGATATTATGAATTTTTCCATCCAGCAACTCATCAGCCTGAAGAAATGTACTTTACTGCTAATTGTACTGCTTTATTCATATATACAAACATTTGGATTTCAGCACTGGTATAGCTCAACAACAACCTCTTCCAGCACACTTTTAAAGAGAAATTACATTATCATGTTTACAAGTAATTGTATTTATTTATTTATCGTGTCAGGAGCGAACCAAACCAGTTGCACTGCGTTAAAAAAAAAAGACAAACAAACAAACAAAACAAGTAATTGTGAAATTTCCCAACCGATATAAGACTTGCCCGACTTTCATTTTTTTTATTATCAAGAAGTGGTCAGCAGTACTAGAACTAATGGCTGAAATTACTAAACAAAAGAGATCCAGAGAGAACTATAATTTCTGCCATACATAGTTAAATAGCACTTTTCAAAAAGAGAAGTGAACCTATACACAGTTTTCTATAAGCACAGTTCCAAGGTGGTGATTGATGATAATATGTGATAATGTTTATACAGTAATATTCTGACATAATCAGAAAGATGTAAACCTTATTGTAAGAGTGCTTAGTCATTTTAGATGGTAATGCACTTTGAAATACATTCTCTTGCTCTGAATATAGTTAATAACAGGGCCTCTTGGGGGTTTCCTTTATAACGTCATCCAGAGTCAAAGCCAATCTAGCAGCAAATAACAAGGACTATGGTGTGTTACTGAATACAAAGGAGTTATAGATCCATTACTTTTGGTTACAAATCCGTAACTTTGGGTTACAGAATGCTCTTCTGGCAGGCTAAAACCCGGAACCTCAAGCCATGGTAGGTATCGAATGAGGGATTCCCCCCGGGCACACAAAAGACTGGGCGACTTGGAAGGCACTGAACAGTCTGCCCTCTGGCACCACAAGATGCAGAGACAACCTTAAGAAATGGGGCCACAAATTGGAGTCCACAACATGCAAATGTGGAGAAGTGCAAACCACAGACCACAGATTACAATGCAATCTGAGCCCTGACACATGCACCATGGAGGAAATTCTTATAGCAACACCAGAGGCACTCCAAGTGGCCAGCTACTGGTCAAAGGACAATTAGTTTAATGCCAAGTTTTTTAAACTTTGTGTTTTTTAAATACATTACAACTGTACCCTCAGTTTGTTTCTGATACAATAAATAAACAAACAGAATGCCAGTCTTTGTTTTCATGATTGGCATGATGTACTTGGTGATGCCTTCACCAACTTGCTAAAACATAGTGGATAGCTCTCCTATTGCCTTAATCTAGTGTCTAAATGTAAAAGATTTTTGCACAAAAATAAGCCAGTCAAGATTCAGAACATCAAATATTACTGGAATTGAAATAGTTCTTGTCTGATACTGTAAAAGAGTGCCAAGAAGCTGAGTGAAGATGAAGAAAGCAGATTTACTGTTTTGTGAAATGCTATAAAGCAGTATGTAGGCTATTGGCCAGAGCATACAGGCCCCATGTTATAGCAAACCACATGATGAAGCAATCCATCACTCCAAAGGCATCCCCAATCATTCCTGGACAGAGTAAGGATACATCACTGGGGGCACTGTTATCTATGTTTAAAGGCTGTGTCTGAATCACAGACCAGAAATGAAAAGCATGTATTAGAATCCATAGGCCAAAGAAGATACAGGTCTTCAAGTGCTTATTGATGGCAGTACTTTATTTATTTATTTATTTATTTATTTACGACATTTATATGCCGCCCTTCTCACCCCGAAGGGGACTCAGAGCGGTGTACAAGGTATATATACATACAATATATTATTAACATAGTACAATATCAGTTTTAAATATTGCTATATTGCACTATATCAATTATACTGTAATATTATTAGTAATATTACATGTAATATAAATATATAATTATAATATCATATTATTATTACTAGTATTATATTGCATTACATTACAATATTATAAATATTATATGTATATACAATATATTATATATTATATTATAACATATTATTAGAATAGGACAGGAGACAAGATGGTGCTGTCCCCTGGCCTCCCCTCTCTTCGCTCTGGCCCAGAGTGGCAGATGGTGCCGGGGGAGGGGTCCCCAATGGATGGCAAATGCAGGAGACAAGATGGTGCTGTCCCCTGGCCTCCCCTCTCTTCGCTCTTTACAGATTTAATGTTTATCTTGCTTTGTAATAAGTTTTTTATGAAACAAGGTAACCATAAAACTTGTCTGTAGAATAAAACACTGTCATTAAGATCAATTTGTTAAATAACATCTATACAGTGGACACTTGGTATTTGGTGCAGATTGGCTTCAGGACCACACCTGGCTATCAAAATATGTGAATGTTCAAGTCCAATTATTTATAGTGGCACAGTAAAATGGTGTCCTTTATATAAAATGGCAGCAAGAAATGCCAGAAAATCCTAACAGAATAGATCAAGACAGGCATGAAAAGCTATACTTAAATGGTGCCATATAAGGCACCTTAAGTCCATAAATTAACTCAGTGGTATAGAACTTTTTTCCAACTCCGTTTACTTTCTCAGGTATTGCCACATTTTAAAAGCTTTATTCTTTTTTTACAATTTTGACCATTCTCAAATTTCAGTCATCAAGAGAAGATGGTTGTAAACATATATTTATATAAGCATGCCCTTTCCAAGTCAGTTTTGGCCCTCATATCTGCTTAAAGCACCATCATTAACACCACCATATGCTACCTGAGCTCATCAAATAAAAGTTTTAAATGTTTTCAATTGAAGATCAACAACAAGAACAGAGAGCTTACCAACTGGTCCTGGTTGAGGGACTCCCCTCTTTTCAGACGATCTTTATAGTCTTCTAATTTGAGCTGTGAACACACATCAAGCAAGCACAGGATTAATTACCAGTTTTTACCTATTCACCGTTACTTTCAAGTATTGGACTTAAATTACATTAATTCAATTACATATTGTATTTCTTCAATTCTAAGAAAGACTTTTTTCTCTATATAAACCTTTCTAAAAATCGGATGTATCTTAGAATCACAGATGTATCTTATGCATTTTTATTGCTGGTGGTGGTACTGAAATTAGAATGTGTCTTACAATCGATGGCATCTTATAATTGAAGAAATACACTATCACAAACATTACAACAGCTTCCAATATTGCTATTTCAAATTAAAAACTGACCTGCACATCCAACTTACATGCAAATCAATGTCAAGCCTAAGAGACATACCACAGAAAGCCTGTGATGTATATGAACTACATTCTTACGATTCTAATGCCCTAAATGTCAATTGAAAGCTGAAAAATTCCAAGGCAAAACCATTATGCATGAGATGTTTACTCACAAAAGTAGCATGATAAAGTGTTTAGAACAGTAGTTCTCAACCTGTGGTCCCCAGATGTTTTGGCCTTCAACTCCCAGAAACCCTAGCAGCTGGTAAACTTGTTGGGATTTCTGGGAGGAATAGGCCAAAACACCTGGACCCACAGGTTGAGAACCACTGGTTTAGAAGGTTGGAATAGGCCTCTGAAAACCAAGGTTTGATTCCCCACCTGGCTACAGAAATCCTGGGTTTATATTGGGTGAGTCACACTCTCAGTGCTAGAAAACCCCAGAATTGTGCCACCTTAGCATCGCCGTAAGTCAGTAATGACTTGAAGGCACACAACACAAAATGCCAGAATATTTAATATTTTACAATTTCATGAGCAATAAATACATGTCCCTGCCCCAAAGAGCTTATAACAATCTAAAATCTGTACCTTCTTTTTCTCAATGTTCCTGATCTTGTGTTTTAGACAGATAAGCCCATTATCAATGTACGTTTCATAAGCCTGGGAAGCAGTGGTGGTAGAATTCAAAGCCGCCTGCAGGGGGCTCAAGGGAGGCTGATTATCCCCTCGCGGACCTTGAGCCACCTGCTGCTTAGCCAGCTTCATGCTCTTCTCTTCCTCTTCTTCAGAGTGGCATGAAGGCGAAGGGTGACGGAGCGGCGACTGTGAAAGCTGCACCATTGAAACGGTGGCTAGGACTGCAAGGGAAAAAAACCTAGTTTTACTCTTCACTCATAGTAACGTCACTATTCATAGTTAGACCACTGGAATATCTGCTATGAAAGGCATTTTCAATAGAGGAAAGATTTCCACAAATGCAGAAGTTGGTTATATTCTTGTACTCATCGACACTAAAATTTAATATAGCATTAAGCATAAAGACTCAAACAATATTAAGTGTTTAAACTTTAAACAGCCAAAGATCTGGCAATGCAGTCAGCAAGAGACCTAAAAGGGTGTTAAGTCTGAAGTATCAACATTCACAGTGCACTACCTGCATAAACTCCTTTCTCTCCTTTATTGCTTTGAAAAGTTGCCTGCTGCCATTCGTTATTCAGCAACCTCTTTTTCACCACACACACGTCTGAAGTCAAACATCAAAATATCACTTAAAAGACCCTGGCCTCAACAACCAGGTTATTTTCTCAAAAACACTGAAGGCGGAGTAAAAAAAACTTCAACTCACTCTCTCTCTATTCCCTAAATGCACAAGAAATAGCAAACATCAGCAGTTCCACATCCTAGAGACAATAGAACACAGAAAAGAGCTTGGGCATCCTCTGGCAAAAGATATCTCTGTCATGATGAATGTATAGGAGTAAGTGATAGGGTAGAATAATTATTAGAAATAAGTAAGGCTATACAACTGAAACACTGGGAGAGAAAATAATCTTCTGGAACGAGGCAGGAGAAATAGCACTATTAATCTGCTGCAGCCAAAAAAAGTCTCCTAATTTCTAAAAGCCCCACAACTGCTTGTTCCTCCAGGGAGATGGAGGCAGGGTACAAAAACAAAGTTATTATTTGTAACAACTGTGGACTGCAGAGCACTTACATATAAAAGAGCAGTTGTGCCAGTAAGCAAAGAGAAGAGACAAAGGAGTGCCAGGGCATTTTTATTTTCAAACAGTGTAAGTGATGGATGGCACAAGCAAGGCCACCACATTGACTCTAAAGTCATCCCCCTGTGCTCAGCAAGGCTCCCAGATAAACATGCACAGGACTACAGCCAGACACCCGAATCTGCAAGTTTATTCAGGAACAGGCCTCATTGATACCAATTGGATGACTGTTTTTCAGGACATTCACATGGGTCACTCTGGCTTTGATATGAGGATAATGACAGAATAATTATAACTGATAACAGATACAATTATTTTTGCATTATTGTTTTGATTATATCAAATTATGATTACAGTAGACTCTCAATTCACAAGAAGCCAAGCAGCCATCAAAAATTAATAATACTTTAAGTTTTTAAAAGTATTATTTCTACAAGATAGTAAAACAATACATCATGCTAAGTTTGTTTTTGCCGCCGCCAGCGTGGTTTTTCCTTTGCTAGGGCAGCATTGCCAGCGTACTCTCGTTGTTGAATTCTGTCAACAATGAGAGTACGCTGGCAATGCTGCCCTAGCAAAGCAAAAACCATGCTGGCACGGAGAAAGGGGCGGAGAAAGGGGCGGAGAGAGAGGCGGAGTCTCATGATGTCATGGACGTGCTGGCACAGTTTGCTCCCGCAGGAGGCTAGTTTGCGGCGGCTCTTTGTCTTGCTTTTAACTACTGCATTCCAATTTTAAAATCAAGTCAATGCAGAGTTTATGACATGGTATAGTATGGAGAACAGTATCAGTTAGGCCCATGTTTTAACTAATTCATTCTCAAGCAATCAGAAACAACCCTTATATCTACCAATCTCCATAGGTGCTGGTTGACCGACAGAGTACTGTACTTTATTACTCATTTCTCCTACAACTGTTATTATTTCACCAATCCATTTTCCTGACAGCAGGTTGGCCTTGGAATTCATCCTTTTAGCCCAACATTTTATTACAATACATTCTATATGTCTTTTACTACTACTATGACTTTCCAGATGTCAAGTTGTCCCCGGAATTCAATTTTCTTAGCCTGAACCTTTATTATTATTATTATTATTATTATTATTATTATTATTATTATTACTATTATTATTATTATTATTTCTACTACTACTATAAGTATTATTTTACCAACACATTCCCAATTGATAATTTGTCCCTGGAATTTGACCTTTCAACCCAGGGCAAGGGTAAACTTTGGCCCTCCACGTGTTTTGGACTTCAACTACCACAATTCCTTCCAGCCAGCTTTTATGAATTGAGGGAGTTGAAGTCCAAAACACCTGGGGGGCTAAAGTCTGCTGATGTCTGAGTTAGGGGCACAGGACCACTGTCAAAGTTAAAAACTTCAAATAAAGAAATTTCTTGATTCGAAAAAGTTGCCCATGCTTGTTTTAACCCGACCTTATATTATTATAGCTGTTGTTGTCAACAGTATTATTTCTATCATTATTTCATCAACACATTTCCCAGGTGACAATATAGCTCTTAAATTCAGCCTTTTTGCCCAATCATATATGATAGTATTGTCATTACTATGACTATACAGTATATACCCACCCATTTCCCACATGACAACCTGACTTCTTTTAATTTATTTATACCCTGCTTCATCTCAAAGCGGCTCACAACTTTACAACTTTAATCCATACAAATTTACACTAATTAAACAGTATATTATATATTATATAAATACTATAAAATATTTAATATATTAGTATTACTATAATACATTATATATTATTATATTGTGTTATTAGTATACTGTATAGCATTATATTATCAATATTACATATATATATATATATATATATATATAGCATTTTATATTATTAGCATCGTACAATATTAGCATTATATATTACTATATTGTACCATATCACTTTATTGCAATATAATTTATTTATTTATGGCATTTATATGCCGCCCTTCTCACATTGAAGGGGACTCAGAGCAGCTCACAAGGTATACACATACATACACACACAAATATATATACATACATACAATATATTAGATTATTAGCACAGTACAATATCAATATTAAATATTGTATTGTCGAAGGCTTTCATGGCCGGAATCACTGGGTTGTTGTAGGTTTTTTTGGGCTATATGGCCATGTTCTAGAGGCATTTTCTCCTGACGTTTCGCCTGCATCTATGGCAAGCATCCTCAGAGGTAGTGAGGTCTATTGGAACTAGGAAAATGGGTATATATATATCTGTGGAATGATCAGGGTGGGGCAAAGAACTCTTGTCTGTTGGAGCTACTATATCGTACTATACCATTCTACTGTAATATTATTAGTACTATTACATGTAATATGAATATATAATTATAATATCATATTATTAGTAGTAATATATTGTATTACATTATAATATTATAAATATATGTATATACAATATATTATGTTATATTACATGTAATATATAATAATATTGCATTATATTATTAGTACTATTACATGTAATATATAATTGTACATTATATTATTGGCATTATATTGTATTATATTATTATCAATATTATGTGTAGATACATTATATTATTAGAACAGCTCAATATTAGTATATTACTGTACTGTACTATACCACTATGCTGCAATATTATTATATAATATAATATATATAATTATTAATTACTATATTAGCAGTAGTATACTGTATTACATTATAATATTATAAATATATGTATATATATTATGTTATATTACATGTAATATATAATATTAAATTTATATTATTAGTCCTATTACATGTAATATATAATATATAATTGTATATTATATTATTGCCATTATATTGTCTTATATTATTATCAATACTATTAGAACAGCACAATATTAGTATATTACTGTAATGTACTATTATATGTAATATATAATATTACATGTAATATATAATAATATTACATTATATGATTAGTCCCATTACATGTAATATATAATTATATACTATATTATTGGCATTATATTGTATTATATTATATTATTATCAATATTATGTGTAGATATATTATATTATTAGAACAGCACAATATTAGTATATTACTGTACTGTACTATTACATGTAATATATAATACTACATGTAATATATAATAGTATTACATTATATTATTAGTCCTATTACATGTAATATATAATATATAATTGTATATTATATTATTGGCATTATATTGTATTATATTATCAATATTATGTGTAGATATATTATATTATTAGAACAGCACAATATTAGTATATTACTGTACTGTACTATACTGCAATATTATTATATATATATATATATATTACTATATATTATTATATTGTACTATATTATTATACTTCTTTTTTAAAGCCCAACCTCCAGAAACCAGTTCCTAATACATTGTACATGATGGACAAACTTCGGCCCTCCAGGTGTTTTGGACTTCAACTCCCACCATTCCTAACAGCCTACCTGCTGTTAGGAATGGTGGGAGTTGTAGTCCAAAACACCTGGAGGGCCAAAGTTTGCCCATGCCTGCTCTACAGGGAAGAAAGGAGGGCGGGAGGCCTCCGCAGCGCCATCCCCGTTGTCCTCATTGGGCAGAAGCGGGCCTCCACCTCCTGCCTCTCTTCCCGCCTTCATCCGACTCACCTCATCAGCCAAACCAGCTCCAGCCCAGCCCGACGCCGGCCTCCCCGCTTATAAACCCCTCCTCGCCCCTGCGCGAGGGGAAAAGGGCGGGGTTAACGCAGCTGGCCAATCGCAGGCCTTGCTCGGCCTTTCCCCCCGCCCCCGGCCGCCTCGTGCCTGCCTCCTCACGCGCTCGGCCCCGCCCCCACGTGACCCGCTGGACCGTTAACTGCAGGGATTGCGAGGGAATGGGCCTCTCTCAGTCTCTTTCTGTCTCTGAAGGGATTGGGCCTGCTTGGCTTAGTTACTGTTCAGCAGAGACATTGAGACAGGCTTTCCCCTCAGGATGACATGTCTTTCACTCACTGCTATGGCTCAAGGCTATGAAAAGTTCTGGTGCCTCCAAGGATCTCATAGCTTTGAGCCAAGATAGCTAAAGCGATGTCAAACTGCGTTAATTTCTACACAGTGTGGAAGCACCTTTCCTCACACTTGAAATATTACTCCAGGAGTACTCTTTTGGGTATCCCTTCTCCCAAATGCTGGTGACTTCAGTGTTTTGGATATACATACCAATTAATAATAATCTATATAAATAAAAATGTAATGTTCGTTTGTGGGATTAACAGAACTCAAAAACCACTGGACGAATTGACACCAAATTTGGACACAAGACACCTAACAACCCAATGTATGTTCTCCACTCAAAAAAAACCACGAAAACAAAAAGCAGAAAGGACTTCTTGGTTAGACCAACCTGGAATATTGTGTCCAATTCTGGGCACCACAATTGAAGAGAGATATTGACAGCTGGAATGTGTCCAGAGGAGGGCGACTAAAATGATCAAGGGTCTGGAGAACAAGCCCTATGAGGAGCGGATTAAAGAGCTGTGCATGTTTAGCCTGAAGAAGAGAAGGCTGAGAGGAGACATGATAGCATGTATAAATATGTGACGGGAAGCCACAGGGAGGAGGGAGCAAGCTTGTTTTCTGCTTCCTTGGAGACTAGGACGCGGAACAATGGCTGCAAACTACAAGAGAGGAGATTCCATCTGAACATGAGGAAGAACTTCCTGACTGTGAGAGCCGTTCAGCAGTGGAACTCTCTGCCCCGGAGTGTGGTGGAGGCTCCTTCTTTGGAAGCTTTTAAACAGAGGCTGGATGGCCATCTGTCAGGGGTGATTTGAATGCAATATACCTGCTTCTTGGCAGGGGGTTGGACTGGATGGCCCATGAGGTCTCTTCCAACTCTTTGATTCTATGATTCTGAACTACATGTCCACAAAGGAGAAACTGCATGTCTACGAAGAGACCCATGGCCACACGCCCCCTCCTCGCGGGGAAACAGCCGGCCAGCCATTAAAGCATTAATGCCGCCCCCCCCCCCCCCCCCCACACACACACACACACACAAGCGAGAGTGGGCACCATGGGAGTGGAGGGGGAGGCTTGCCGCATGGAGCCCCTTCTCTTTCCCTGCTATGCCAGGAGGGCGGTCTCCTCCTCCACCACCTTTCCCTGTTGGAAGAAGCCGGTGGGTGGAGGACGGACTTTCAGTAGACCCTTCTTTCTTTTTTAACTCTTTCCTTTCTGTCTGACCTGCTCGCCTGTCTCCGGCAACACAAGCACACATTTAACACACACACACACAGGAGGTAGCTGCCTCTGCCACACTCCACCCGAAAGGACTCCCTTCCCTTCTTTCCTCCCTCCCTTTCTTTCCTTTTCTTCCTTCCTTCCCCTTCCTTTCCTCCCCTCCTCCTTCCTTCCTGTCCCTCCCTCCTTCCTTCTCCTTCCTTTCCTTCTTTCCCTCCTTCACTTCCTTCCTGTCCCTCCTTCCTTCTTCCTTTCCTTCTTTTCCTCCCTCCCTCCCTTCCTTTCCTCTTCTTCACCCCTCCTTCCTTCTCCTTCCTTTCCTTTCCTTTCCTTCCTTCCTTCCTTCCTTCCTTCCTTCTTCTCCCTCCTTCTTTCTTTTCCTTCCCTTCTTTCCCTCCTTCCTTCCTCCTTCCTTTCCTTCTTTCTATGTAAGATATAAATACAATATTTTATATATTGTTATATAGATTACTATATAATATGTTACATATATATATATATTACTTTATAATACAAATTAAATGGAAGGGACAGTCAAGAAGCAACGAGGGAAAGAGGGAAGGAATGGATGAGGGAAAGGGGAAAGGAAGGAAGGAGACAAGGAGGGAGGGAAAGAAGAAAGGAAAGAAAGAAAGAAAAGCAAGGAAGGAGAGAAGGAAATAACAAAAGTGAAAGGAAAAAGAGAGGGAAAGAAGGAGAGAAGGAACGAAAGACAGTGAGGGAGGGAAGGAAGGAAGGAAGGAAGGAAGGAAGGAAGGAAGGAAGGAAGGAAGGAAGGAAGGATGCAACCGAAGAGCAAAGAAGGGGGGAAAGAAACAGGTAGAGATGGAAGGAAGAAGAGAAATATAATAACTTCCTTCACGAGAGCAAGAAAACGTAATCAAAGCCCTCCTGACAGAGAGCCATCCAGCCATGGATATAGATAGATATATATGATTCACACACAGAGAGATATAATATCATAGATTTGAAAGAGACCCCAAGAAGGACAATTATATGTTGCATGTTTCAGAGTAAACAAACCAGACAATCTCCACATCAACACTGACATAGAAATAACAAGAAATACTGTTTTACCCATAAGCATAAAGGAATGACATATATTAGAAACAATTTATTTTCCAGATCACCAGACTGGGCCACAGCCACAATGGCAGGGGATGGCTAGTACCAATTAATAATAATGTAAAGGTTTTCTCCTTGACATATAGTTCAGTCGTGTCCAACTCTGTGGGTTGGTGCTCATCTCCATTTCTAAGCCGAAGAGCCAGCGTTGACCATAGACACCTCCAAATTCATGTGGCCAGCATGACTGCATGGAGCGGTACCTATTGATTTACACACATTTGCATGTTTTCAAACTGCTAGGTTGGCAGAAGCTGGGGCTAACCACGGGAGCTCACACCACTCCCTGGATTCGAACCTGCGACCTTTTGGTTAGCAAGTTTAGCAGCTCGGCAGTTTAACCCACTGCGCCACCGAGGGCTCCTAATAATAATAATAATAATAATAATAATAATAATCTTTATTATAAAGATCGAACTGCAAAGACTCTGACACAAGCCAGTCAAAGTGGTCCCAGTGATGATCGACACAATGGGTGCAGTGCCTAAAGACCTTGGCCTGCACTTAAAAACAATCGGCACTGACAAAATTAACATTTGTCAGCTGCAAAAGGCCACCCTACCCAGATCTGCATGCATTATTCACTGATACATCACACAGTCCTAGATGCTTGGGGAATGTCCAAAGTGTGATCAAATACAAAAGCCAGCAGAGTGTTCTTGTTTGCTGTATCCTAGTCTTGTTATATATCAATTAATAATAAATTTTATTTATATTCGGCTTTTTTCTCTAACAGGATCCAAAGCGGCTCACCACATAATACAAAACAAATCAAAGCACATTTAACATAAAATACCAGACAAAAATTACTCAAAGCATAATAGCATCCAGAAATAAGATATAAATAAATATTAAGCATTAAAAACATTTAAAACTAATTACAATTATTGGGGAGACTCATCAATTAAATAGTATTCGCTAAGGCTCATAATAACAACCTCCAAACTGCCAACATCTTCTGGATAATGGAGAAAGGCAGGGAGTTTCAGAAAAATGTCTACTTCTGTTTTATTGACTACTAGCCATCCCCTGCCACGCGCTGCTGTGGCCCAGTCTGTGTATATGTGTTTTGGATGTATATATATGTGTGTGTGTATATATTTATGCATATGTGTATATATGTGGTTTTGTGCATGCGTTGCAATGCATTTTTAATTAATTTTTTTGGGGCTTTTTAAATCCTTTCCACTGTGTTTTTCAGTGTTTTTGTGAGTGATGGTCACTCGTTGGCCTGATAGGTGTATTGTGTCCAGATTTGGTGTCAATTCATCCAGTGGTTTTTGGGTTACGTTAACCCCGCAAACGAACATTACATTTTTATTTATATAGGCTAGCTGTACCCGCCATGTGTTGCTGTGATCAACCTTCCCTTCCTCTCCTTCTTTCTTTCTTTCTTTCTCTCTCTCCCTCCTTCCCTCCCTCTTTCCTTCCTTCCCTTTTTTGCTTTCCTTCTCTCCTTCCTTCCTTCTCTACCTCTTTCTTTCCTTCCCTTTTTCTTTCTCTTTCTTCCTTCTCTATCTATTCTGGACTGTAACTCCCAGCAGTCCCCTGATTGATCTATCTACCTACTATCTATCTCTGTCTATCTAATAAATATATATCTTATCTATCTGGAGGATTGCTGGGAATTGCAGTCTAGGAATAGGAAATGTGTATGGATTGGGATGCTCTCAAAGAAATCCAAGGAGAGAAGCAAGCTTGCAGCTTGGAAGCAGTGCTTTTGGAGCATCCTCCTCCCCTAAAGGGCCTGGTCTAGGGGATGCTGGGAGCTGTCATTTTCATGCATGCACTCTATCATCATTTAGCTTTCTTCAGAGAGGTTTACGAGTGATGGTCACTCGTTGGTCTGTTAGGGGTGTAGTGTCCAAATTTTGTGTCAATTCATCCAGTGGTTTTTGAGTTATGTTAATCTCACAAACAAACATCACATTGTTATTTATATAGATTCTAAAGCCTTTGACTGTGTGCAGCATAATATACTGTGGCAAGTTCTTGGTGGTATGGGGAGACCAAGCCACCTTGTCTGTCTTCTGAGGAATCTGTATAAAGACCAAGTAGCAATGGTAGGAACAGACCACAGAATAACAGACTGGTTCAAGATGAGGAAAGATTGAGTATGGCAGGATTGTGTACTCTCACCCCACCTATTCAACACATCAGGCTAGAGTTAAAATTGCTGGAAGAAACACTAACAATCTTAGATATGTGGATGATATCACTTTGGTGGCTGAAAGCGAGGAGGAGCTGAGGAGCCTTTCAACCATGCTGAAAGAAGAATGTACAAAAGCTGGGGTGCACTTAAACATCAAAAAAGCCAAGATGATGGCAACCAGACTGGTTAATAACTGGGGGTCCTTTATCACAGCCATAGAACCCAG